GCTACGTTGCTGTTGACGGGCCGAGCGTTGGTGGATGCTTTTGGGGGCCTCCAAGATGGATCCTCAGCTGTCCCCCACCCGCCTGCCTGCCCTGGGCTGCTGGGAGGGCCTGGCTCCTCGGGGACACCGGGCCTCGCAGCTAATTGGGAACATTTATTGAGAGCCTCCAGGGCTCAGTGTGAAAGGCCACCTTGGGCAGGATCCTGTCCAGGGTCCCGTGTGGCAGCTGCTCTGACAGGGACTGAACTCAGGGGCACTCGACCACAGAGCCACACCCCCAGCCCTTTTTATTTTTTTTATTTTGAGACAAGATCTTGCAGAGTTGCTGAGGCTGGCCTCGAACTCATGATCCTCCTGCCTCGGCCTCCCAAGCCGCTGGGATGACAGATGTGCGCCACCACGCCCGCTTCTTCTTTTTTTTTTAAATAACTTTTTTCTTATGAAATAATCTTACATTTACAGGAAAGCTCCAACGACTGACCGTCCAGAGAGTCCCTGTGTACCCTTCCCCCAGAGTCCTCTGTGGCTAACATCTCACTTTCCCATGAAACATTTGTGCAAACTCAGAAACCAGCATCCGAACAACACCCTCAGCCACACTCCAAGTTTATTCCACAAACGTCCTCCCCCTTTCCCAGGACCTCATGCCACTTTTAGTCATCTGCACTTTTCATACCTCCTTTCGGGCCAGGTGCGGTGGCGCAGGCTTAGAATCCCGGCTACCGGGGAGGCTGAGGCAGGAGGATGGCAAGTTGGAGGCCGGCCTCAACCACGAAGTGAGACCCTGTCTCAAAATAGAAGATAAAAAAAAGGGGCTGGGAGTGTAGCTCCGTGCTAGAGCTCCCCCGGCTTCCATCCCTTGTACAAATAAAATAAAATAAAATGCTCCCTCCTTTGGGGCTGGGGCTCAGTGGTGGATGGTGGCCCAAGTGACAGACAAGGCCCTGGGTTCGATCCGCAGCTCTGCAGAAAATAAAGAAAAAAAAATCTCCTCTGGGGCCACTGAGAAGGGGAGATGCAAAGGGCCCAGATTTGGGAAGCTTTGAGGGTGCAGAGCACCAAGCCCCCCTTGAGGCCTGGCACCCCAAAGCCAACCCCCTAACGCCCCAGCAAGGGGAAGGGACCGCTGGGCACAGTGCCCACAGCTGCCACAGCACCCACCGCCCGGCCTCATCCTCTCTGAGTGCCCGGGAGCGGGGGGCTGAGGCTTGCTGGGGTCTGTGGGCAGGATGTGAGGCCCACAGAGTCCGGGCCGGGAGCCTCTTCCTCGGGCCGGCTTCCTGGGGAGAGAAAATCAACACGATTACAGTTGCTCAGGAAATCAATAATGTCAGCGTTTTAATGGGAGAGAGGGCAGAGCTGAGCGGAGGCCCCAGGAGGCCGCCCGCTCGAGAGGGAGGCCCATCCTGCTCGCAGGAAAGAGCTGAGGCCCGTGGCCACGGCCTTGACCCCATTTTAGAGAAGAAGAAACTAAGGTTCTTAGGGGAACCCAGACAAGCTTGCTGGGGCTCCTCACGGGCCCCTCCTGGGTTGCTTGGCGCACAGTAGGCGTGTTTTTTTTTTCCTTGGATCCTCTTGCACCTAGCGGCGTGGCTCTCAGTCCCTCTGCTCTGAAAGCAAACGGCTGGATGTAGTCATTCACACTTTAGTCAAAATTAGGGTCTTTTTTTCCCCCCTCCCTTGATAAGTAGGCACCCCAGGGAGCACAGTCTCCACCCCGGATGGCTTGGACGTTTGGGAAGGACACTGGCTGCCCGAGGGAACAGCTTGGCAGTTTGAGGAACTCCAACTGTGGAGCCCAGGGCAGGGCCGAGGGAGGAACTGAGACTGAGACTGAGTCCTTGGCCAGAGAGGAATCACAAAGGTCCCCCCCAGGTGCCAGGCTGGAGGGCGGGGGCCTGATCCCCGGGACGGTGCCCAGCTGGGCTTGTGGGCTGCAGAGGAAGGCTGGTGCTTTCAGATTGGATCTTCCTGGAACTTTGGGGGCTGTGGGGACAGTCCAGGCTGGCTCCTGCTGTCAGGGAGGGGGACGTGAAGGCAGGGCCGTGCTGGGGCAGGAATCTCAGGCAGTGGGATGGGGTCAGCAGGGGGACTTGGGGGGCCTGAGGGCTCAGTTTCCCCAAGGACCACGTTCAGCAGAGGCCACACTCACTGATGGAGGCCGCTGGGTCTCCAAGTCCCCTGTGTCCCTTCCTGGAGGCCTTTCCTGCCTGCCTGGGGTGGGGGGTCCCTTATCCCAACTTCCTCTTCTGAACCCTTTGCAGCCTGCAGATCTCCCGGGGCAGAGAGGCCACCCGCTTCCTCTCCGAGCACAGATCACTGGGAGCCTCCGATGGCTGACTTCTCCTTTAAAAAAAAAAAAAAAAAAGAGAAAAAAAATTTTTTTTTTTTTTTTAAGATTTTATTTTTAGGATAAAGAAAAAAAAAAGTTGGGGGAAAAGGCTTTTTAGAAAATTCCTTCGGTGCAGAATTAATGGCTTGTGAACGTCAAGGCGGGCGGCGAGAGCCGGTTCCCAGCCTGTGCCTGCCCCTTCCCCTCCCCTGCTGTGGCCCCCAAGTCACCCCGAGCTGGGAGCAGGGCCTGGCTCGGCCCACTTCACCTCTTCCCTGCAGGATAAGGGGGTTGGGAGAGGGGTCCCAGCCTGGGGAGAGGGAGAGCACCCACTTTCCAGGGCTGGTCCCCAACTTGGACACACACAGGATGAAGTCAGGCCGGGGTGGAGGCTGAAGAGAGAGGTTGAGAAAGAGCCTTGTCCGTGGTTTTTATTTTCAACCGTTTCAGTTACCCCATGGTCCGATGAGGTCCCCAAAATAGAAAATGGAAAGTTCCAGAATTGAACAGTTCATCAATTTTAAATCACCGGCCGTTCTGAGGACCGGGAGGAGACCTTGGGCCTGGGATGTGTGAATCACTGCTTTGTCCAGCGTGTCCATGCTGTATGCACTACCCTCCTGGAAGGCACTCAGAGTGTCCACGCTGTATATACTACCCTCCCAGTAGGCACACAGCATTATCCATGCTGTATACACTACCCTCCTGCAAGGCACACAGCGTGTCCACACTGTATACACTACCCTCCCGGTAGGCACTCAGAGTGTCCATGCTGTATACACTACCCTCCCGGTAGGCACTCAGTGCCAGGTTGGGTGATCAGATGCGATGAATGTCACAGTGTCTTGGTGCTGATGTTCCCGTGACTGTTATCTCAGTTAATAATATTTTAGTTAATAAGAGTCAGGGAGGTGCAGACCCTTCAGCAGTGCCGAGAGGCTGGGACGGGCTCTTTTGAAGTGGAAATGGTAAAGTTTCTTAATAAGGAAAGGAAAAGGTGTCATGCGCCGTCAGGTTGCTAAGATCCACCGCACAATGGGGTTTTTGTGAGTGAGCACCGCGCTCCTGTCACTTTTATCAGACTATTTTGGTGTCGTTGATCCATTCTTAGTCACCGTGGATCTCTTCCTGGGTTTGTGAATGACACTGTATCACAGGACACAGTCCACCCAGGGCTCTGCGCAGGTACGCAGCTTCAGACATTCACTGGGGGACATGGAATGAGTCCCCCCCATAAATGGGAGGGACAGGCTGAAGCATGGCTCTCAGGGAATAGCCAGGACAAAGACCCCGAGGAGGCAGACTTGGGTTCTAAGGTGCAAGTGACAGAGATGAGGGATGACATGGTGTTCCTGTTGGTGGGGGGGGACGACGGGGGATTGGACCTGGGGATCCTGACCACTGAGCCACACACCCCCAGCCCTTTTTATTTATTTTTATTTTTATTTAGAGACAGGGTCTCACGGAGTTGCTTAGAGCCTCGCTGAGTGGTTGAGGCTGGCCTCCCACTTTGTGATCCTCCTGCCTCAGCCTCCCAAGTCGCTGGGATGACAGACACGCACCACCGCGCCTGGCTTGTTTTTGCTTAAGCCGACGGGGGACGGAAGTCGGGGGCCTCATGCTGGGTGGGCAAGCCCTCTATCACTGAGCCACAACCCCAGCCCCCAATTATATTTAGTAAGAATAATATGAGCAACGATCACATCTGAAGCACAACAGGGTCACTAACGGTTTCCAGGAGGTTACCATGGGAGCACTGTACAAGGAACGATCTTGCTCCATCCACGACCTGGTGGGGTCCTAGTAGATGAGCCCATTTTATAGTCGAATAAACCGAGGCTCAGAAAAGCAAAGTGACTTACTCAGGTCACCCACAGCTGTCCTCTGGAAGATCATTAGTCCTGGGTTTTGCCCCAGGTCACCCCAGCCCCACCCTATCTCTGGGCTCCCAGGGACACCCTGGGAGCAGCCTCAGGCATGAACACTGTGGGTTTGCCCCAGGACAGAAGGAGTCACTACTGATTATTTTCTTTTGGAAAATTAGCTGAGGTTTTGTGCAAAAAAAAAGAAAAGAAAAGAAAAGAAAACATCTGGGCATACCATTCGTGACTTAGGCCTGTAAAAAAGATCACACAAGTAAAGTTCCAAAAATCTCTTTAGCCCGGGGCAGTGGCGCACATCAGTAATCCCATTGGCTCTGGAGGCTGAGGCAGGAGGATCACGAGTTCAAAGCCAGCCTCAGCAATTTAGTGGGGCCCTGACACAGTTCCCTACAAAGGTGGCCTGCCATTACCTTGTCATGGTGACACGTGTATTATTTGAACCCAGGGGCGCTTAACCCCTGAGCCACACTCCTGGCCCTTTTTAATTTGAGACAGGGTCTCACTAAGCTGCTGAGGCTGGCCTCCAATTTGAGATCCTCCTGCCTCAGCCTCCCCAGTGGGCTGGACCCTCTGCAGCCTCTTAAAAGTCAGGAGGACCTTCTTCCCTTGCCATCCCTCCTGGCCTCCCCTGCACGGCCCCCTGCGTCTTGGGTACCTGAAACATCAGTCCCTGGATCAGCTCCAGGACCCACACCAAGGTCAAGGTCAAGGCCAGGCCTGGAGCTAGGGCCATCCAGCAGGAGCCAGACACTGAGCTGAGGTCTGAGCTGCCGTCTCTCTTCCAGCTCCAGCCAGAGCAGCTGGACTGTGGCGCCGCCCACCTGCAGCACCCCCTGTCCATCCTGCAGCCCCTCAAGTCCTCGCCCGTGTTCCGGGCTCCGGGGCTCACGTCTGTGGCCGTGGCCAGCGCCAACAATTACACCGTGGTCTTCCTGGGCACGGTCAATGGCCGGCTCCTCAAGGTAGGGACCGGGTGGAGGGGGGAGGCGCCCGAGGGCTGGGCTGGGGAGGCCCATTGTGTACACCTGGCCTCCACGGGTCCAGCCTCAACCTCCTTGTTCTCCCATGTACCTCACCCTTTATAAATTACAAAGAATTCATGTGTTTGAGGGGCGCCAGGGGCGCTGAACCTCAGGACCCCACCCTCAGCCCTTTTTTACTTTTTATTTTGAAATAGGATCTCGCTAAATTGCTTAGGGCTCACTTAATGGCGGAGGCTGGCCTCCAACTTGGGATCCTCCTGCCTCAGCCTCCCAGGGGACACAGAGAGTCCTAGAGCCTTGGATCCTGTCCCCCACCCTCTATGACAGGCCACTTGCTCAGGGTGGACATCGGTACCTTCCAAAGCCCTTGTTCTTGGCCGAGTCCCAAACATCCTCCCAGAGAATGTTCTAGAAACCTTAGGTGGGGGGAGGGAAAGCCTGGCTGGGTTCCTAGTGGGGGTCCTGCTGAGCCACCCCCTCCCCTGAGTGACGGTGACCTGAGACAGGAGCGGGTGCCGAGTCCCCAGCCCTGCCTGGGCCAGGTCCCCAGGGATTGAGGTCCCCCTGTGACAGCCTCGCCTGACAGCCACGTCCCCGCAGGTCAACCTGAACGAGAGCATGCAGGTGGTGAGCAGGAGGGTGGTGACGGTGGCTTACGGGGAGCCCGTGCACCCCGTCATGCAGTTTGACCCCGCTGACCCCGGGTACCTGTATCTGATGACGTCCCACCAGGTAAGTCCCACTCGAGGGGCCCCAGGCCATGGGATGTCACCTCTGCAGGGCGGCCTGGCCTCCCTGTGTCCCCCCACCCCAGCCTCAGTTCGCCCAGCCTCCCCACAGGGAGAGGCCGGCAGCCTCCCTGAGCTGGCCTCTGCCTCCAGATGGCCCGAGTCAAGGTGGCGGCCTGCGACGTCCATGTCACCTGCGCAGCCTGCCTGGGTGCGGCCGACGCCTACTGCGGCTGGTGCGCCCTGGAGACCAGGTGAGCGGGCAGGGCGGGCACCCCCGGGGAAGGCCACCTCCCTGGTGGCATTGGGGACCTGACCCTGCAGTGCCACCCCAGGTGCACGCTGCAGCAGGACTGTGCCAACGCCACCCAGCCGCACTTCTGGACCAGCACCAGCGAGGGGCCCGGCCGCTGCCCGGCCATGACCGTTCTTCCCGCGGAGATCGACGTGCGCCGCGAGTACCCAGTGAGTCCCCATGTCACCCTCCAGCCTGGGGACACAGATGGGGAGCGTCCCTGGGCCCCGCAGCCACTGCCAGAGATGGGGAGGCCCTGCCCAGGGTGCCCCAGGGACTTGGAGGCACATCACGGGGAAGTGACAGGAACCCGGCTGTCCCCAGCCCTGGGGCCAGCAGAGGTCAAATGACTCGCTCAAGGTCACCGAGTGCAGGGGACCCGGGGCTTGAAGGACGGGGGCAGGTTCTGGAGCCGCAGGTGGAGCCAGGGGAGGACGAGGAGGGAGGCCCACCTGCCTGCCTCTCCCTCCACCAGGTCCCCACTCGACGGGGACATTTCTCCTTCCCAAAAAGAGGCCAGTGTGCATCATGGTGGGGACCTGGGCCCGGGAGGGGACTCCGGCCCAGGCTCAGGGTCCTGCCAGGCCTGTTCTCAGGGACCTCTGTGAGGGCTTCACCACTGAGCCACGTCCCCGGCCCTATTTATTTTTAATTTTGAGACAGGGCCTCACTGAGTTGCTGAGGCTGGCCTCAACCTTGTGATCCTCCTGCCCCAGCCTCCAATGGCTGCGGCCCTTGGGAGGGAGCCGGGCGGTCAGGGGGCAGCCGAGGCCCCCCCCAAACTGCGGCCCCTTCCCCCAGGGCATGATCCTGCAGATCTCGGGCAGCCTGCCCAGCCTCAGTGGCATGCAGATGGCCTGTGACTACGGAAAGGACATCCGCACAGTGGCCCGGGTCCCCGGCCCCGCCTACGGCCACCAGATCGCCTACTGCAACCTGCTGCCCAGGAGACAGTTCCCGCCCTTCCCCGCCCACCAGGGTGAGCCCACGGGGGTCCTCACAGCGGTTTTTGGGGGGCAGAATGGTGGGCTCTCACCTGCAGGTGACAGGGACCCTAAAGTCACAGCCTCTGGTGTGAGCCGAGACCCCTCCCCCATGTCTCTCCCTGGCTCCCCTGGTCCCCTGCAGACCACGTGACCCTGGAGATGGCCCTGAGGGTCAACGGGCGCAACACCGTCTCGGCCAACTTCACCATCTACGACTGCAGCCGCGTGGCCCAGGTGTACCCCCAGGCAGCGTGAGTCCCCAGGGAAAGGGGTCAGGGCTAGGAAACGGGGGTCCCTGCAAACAGCCGAGGGGGCGGGGCCTCCGGTCTCATCTACCCCAGGGCCTTTGCACTCACAGCTCCCCAGACACTCACCGTGGTTCAACTCCATTATTCAAAAGTCACCTCCTCACACGGTGTCCCCACCCTCTCCAAGACAAAGTCCTTTCCCTGGACTGGGACTGGCTTTCTGGGTCCAGTTCCTGGGGTCAGGGACAAGGAGAAGGGGTAGGGAGCCCCCCGAGTCTGAGGGGTGCCCTTGCCTTCCAGCTGCACCCGCTGTCTGTCGGCACCGTGGCCCTGCTTCTGGTGCACCCAGCAGCACGCCTGTGTCTCCAACCAGTCCCGCTGCGAGGCCTCGCCAAACCCCACGGTAAGCCAGGCTTGGGGGACACCCTGGTCCCCCCTGTTCCATTACTTTTTTTTTTAAATGTTAATTTGTTGAGGACATTTCCGCATTGTCACATCCTTGGCATTGAATTTAACAGCTGCGTGGGGCCCACACTGGGCCAATCCCCTATTGCTGGACATACCCATTGCTTCCCCAGTCCCCTATGGCTGGACACACCCATTGCTTCCTGTTTGTTTCTTTTTCGCTTTTGATTATGGCCAGGGACGACGCACACCCTTGATTCTTCTCAGAGGTGAAGTGTCTTTGTTTTCTACCATGGATTGAACCCAGGGGAGCTTAACCACGAAGCCACACCCATTTTGACTTTTCATTTTTAAACAGGGTCTTGCTGAGTTGCCGAGGCTGGCCTCGACCTTATGAGCCTCCTGCCTCAGCCTCCCAAGTTGCTGGGATTACAGGCATGTGCCGCCAGGCCTGGCTCCTAGACATGAGGCTTTGGTGTGACAGCGTGGCCATAGTTTAGCCCCACGGCCCTCTGGGAAACCCGAGGCCGTGGTCTTCCCGCCTGCAGTCTGAATGCCCGTTCCTGCCCGGGTCCCAGGACTGGGTCGCTGTCCATCTTAACCTTCCATGTTTTCAGCCTCCCTAGCAGCTAAAGGCATTTTGTCCCTGAGGGAGGACACCACCCAGCCAGACTCCTACCCTCTTCCCCAAATCCAGAACTGAGTGGGGAGGCCCTGTCTCAGTTTCCCCAGGGGCAGTGGGGACCCAGTGGCTGGTGGTCAGGAACCAGGATCAGGAGTGAGCACCCCATCTGTATGGGGCACATAGTAGGTGCTCACTAAAAGGCTGCCGTGTTCCTTGGGAGCTTGATGGCCCCTCTGCTTGGCTGGGACTGGGGACACTGCTCTCGAGAGGGGACTTTTGGGTGGGGCCTTGACGGGTGCATAGGAGCTCACCGGCTGGGTGGTCCAGCAGCCCGCTGACCCCCAGCCCTGCCTTTCTTTGGGGGGTGGGGATTGGGGCGCAGGGAGGCCTGTCTTGCAGGATTACTGTGATCTGGCAGGAGGCGGCCTCCACCCCAGGCCTGCTCCAGGCTCTCATTGAGGCTCAATTTGGCCTTTAATTAAGTGCCAATTAGCCACAGAGGCGCCAGGCTCCTCCGGGCAGCCGGCGGGCAGCGGGCTCTGCTCTCCCCCCAGACCCTGGGGAGCTGGGGTGTCCCCGGAGCCTCACCTCCTGATACACCTCTGGGGTCCCCCTGGGAAGGAAGTGGGGTGCAGCCCATATGAGGGCAGAGAGCGCCGGCTTTGGGGGTGCAGGGCCTGCGGCCACCCCAGCTCTGCCCCCTGGGAGCTGTGACTGGAGCAGGCTGGGCCACATCTGGGCCCACATCTGGCTCCGGGCCCCTCTCCCCTCCTCTGCCTCCTCAGCTCTGCCCTGGAGATAGTCAGCCGTGGCTTCCCAAGGCCCGGCCCTGTCCCATGCTGCAGCAGAGGGACACCCGATGGCTTGTGCAGGGACAGGAGGGCCAGCTCTCTGGGTTGCGTGCACGCAAGAAACCAAGCCGGCTGGCTTCCGTCCCGCAGAGTTCATTGGCTCCTCTGAGGGAGGGAGCCACCTTCAGGCACAGCTGGATCCAGGAGCTCCAACAGTCTCCGGGGGCCTCCCCGTCTCTCTCTGGAGGGGGCGCCCTGCTCAGGCAGGCTCTTTCTTCTTGGTGACAAGGCAGTGTCCTTATCCCCCCTCCTGCCTAGCCCCAGGAAAATGGAAGATCATTTTTCTCATGGAGTCTGGAGCAAGGGGGGGCCCGGGGCTCCCCTGTCCCTGGGGTGCAGCAGCAGGGCCAGTCTCCAAGACCGCAGGCTGGGGAGAGGATCCCCCAAAGGCCAGGCCAGTCTCGGGGACACAGGGGCTGGGGTGGCGCAGACACTATAAGAACCTGCCCCGGGGCTCAGCGTGGAGGGTGTCACGCAGCTCAGGGGAGCAGGGGGGCCCCAGGGGGGTCCCATACCGTTCACCATGGGGGCCCTCTTGGGAGGCCTCCCGCCCGGCCCCCTGCACCCCCCTGTTGGCCACCTCACCACGAGGGGGGTGGAGACCAGGACAGACCCCGGGCCCCCGGCCAGCTGCGAAGCAGACCTGGCAGCCACTGCGAGGCGGATTGGAAACATGTGGCCTCCATTCTCTGAAATTCCACGGGGTTTGCACACGAGCCTGCGCGGGGCAGCAGCCGGGCCTACCGTTCCCCTGGGGCCGGTCTGTCCTGAGGTTTTGCCTCAAAAGGCCCCATCATGAGAATAAAAACCAGGCCCAGAGAGGGATAGCAGCTAGTGTGAGCACACACAGCAAACTCCATCCTCCCTCCCTCCACCTGAGGCCTGTGGTCAGCTGAGGGGCCTCCCTCCCCAGGGTCTGGCCGTGTCACTGCTAGTCCCAGAAGGTCAGGGTCTTGGAGTATGAGGAGGCTGGACCCCAAGCTTCCAGCCTGTCCCCGGGGCCTGCACACAGCTGTCCCCAAACCACGTGCTGAAGGCCTGGCTGAGGGGCCGGGGTGGCCGACTGCCCTCCAGGGTCGGCACAGCCCCATTTTGCAGCTGGGAAAAGTGAGGCCCAGGAACCTGCCTCCATTTCTTCATCTGGAAAGAGGATCCCATGAACCCCGCCTCCGGGTGGCCCTGAGCACCCCATGGGGCGGCCGTTCAAATGTTATGACCTCGGGGGACTTTCCTCAGGGCTCCCTGGTCCTCCAGGCAGGCGGGACTCCGGGAGGCCCGGAGGCAGCGAGGCACCTCTTTTCCAAAATGTCCCTACGTGACCCTCTCCCTGTGCTTCATCCACAGGACCCTCAGGACTGCCCCCAGATCCTGCCCTTGTCCCTGGCGCCTGTCCCCACGGGGGGCTCCCAGGACATCCTGGTGCCCCTGGCTAACGCGGCCTCCTTCCATGTAAGTAGAGGCCGGCACAGGGTAGAGGCCGGGACAAGGTAGAGGCTGGGGACCGTTCCCCTGGCTTCCGCGGGGCTCTGGGTTTGCTCTCTAGGACCTTCTGGGTTCTGTGTGAGAAAGTCCCTGGTCGCACAGGACTGGGGGAACAGGAGGTGGCACTGAGGCCAGGCGATGGGGACAGCAGGCGGCCATCGGCTGCAGCAGGACACTCTGGCCAGGTCCCCAAGCTGCTCCCGCGCCCCAACAGGAGCAGGGACCCAGCCCGATCGCCTGGCGCTGCAGCCCGTGGTGGATGCGACCCACGTGTGCGCCCGCCTGTCCCCGCTCTGTCCCGGGGGTTGAACTGTGACCCTGGGCACACCCGTCCCCGAGGGGCTCCCACCCTGGAACATGGCCACCGAGCCCTGTGCCACCCCGCCCCGCTGTCCACAGGGAACTGAGGCCCAGGACAGGGTCACTTGGCTCCTGCTTGCCCGGTGACCAGCCTGTCCCCCAAAATCGGGGCAGGGAGGGGACGCGGCCCTCCCTGGGCTGTCCCCCCCAGCGTCCTGGGTGGAAAGCGATGACAGGTCTGGCCCCGCGCCAGCCTCCCCCTCCCGGCTCCCGGGGACGCGCCATCTGTCTCCTCCAGGGAGGAGCTGTCACACATGGGGGCCACGTGCCAGGCATCAGGCTGTGTCAGGAGGCCTGGTGGCCGGGGATGGAGCTGGCACCAGCCACCCCCCCGCCAGGCTGGGGACAGGGGGGTGGCACAGGGGGCGCCTGGAGGGTGCAAGGGCAGCTTTGGTGGCCTCCCAAGTGCCCCAGGCCAGCTTCTAGAATCCCGGGGAGGGGCCCGGGCCCTGCAGCTGTCCCCGACTTGGGACCTGTGCCCTGGAGAGCCCTAGGGACCCTGGCTCTGCTGTCACCAGGTCACCCTGGGCTCAGGGCAGGAGACAAAATGAGCCTTTGGCCGCCAGCAGCCACTTCCCTACCTCCGCTTCCGGACTGTGACCCCAGAAAGGGACCGACTGACCTTGTTCTCTGCAGGGTGTCACATCTGCCAGCGACAGGGACATAAACAGGAAGACCCGCCTGAGGCTGGCCAGGGGCTCAGCCAGTGCACACAGAACCCGCTTAGCTAGTTATCGATGCCGCTGTACTTATTGAGCACCTCCTGCATACCCATCACAACAAGCACATATTAGGCACCTAGAGCATGCAGACCCCTAAGAGTCACCATCTCCAGTTTCCCCACCAATGGGAGGGAAGTCCACCCCCAATGTACAGCTAGGAAAAAATAAAGCTCAGAGAGGTTGAACAACCTGTAGGAGATCACACAGCTTGGGACATAGCAGAGGTGGCATTTGAAGACTTGCTTGGTGGCCCAAAGGGAGACAGGCTGCCCAGGCCAAAGAACAGAGGGGGCTGGGTCAGGAGGAGAGTCAGGTGGAGGCGTGTCGAGGGGTGTCTGGGGCTTGGCCTTGTGGGGCAGAGGTGGAGGATGCTAAGTCCAAAGACTGCTGTCACCCCAGAGGCTTGGGAGGCTGAGGCAGGAGGATCGAGAGTTCAAAGCCAGCCTCACCCTAGGCGTGCCTGGGCTCCTGGTCCCCGCAACATCGGACATGAGGGGCCCTCTGGGAGATGGTGCAGCCACACCCAGACCTGAGATGGGACCAAGGCTAGCATTCAGGGGACAGTCCGGGGCGTCGTGACGGGGTTGGAGAAGAGGGACACTGGCTGGCTGTCCTCAGCCCCCTCCGTCCCTGTCTCCCGCAGGGGGCAGCCCTGGAGTGCAGCTTGGGGCCAGAGGACACCTTCGAGGCCACTTGGCTCAACGCCTCAGTTGTACGCTGCAACCAAGTGGCGGTAAGTGACGTGGCCTCCCCCAGGGGACCGGGGAGACCTTCCTCCCCACCCTGCCCTCTTCTGGGTTCCCGTCCCCCTTCCCCATCAGCCCTGCCCCCCTCCCCCAGAAAAGACGCAGCCGCCCACCCGCCCTCTCCCCTTCCCCCCACAGCTGCACACGACCCTGAAGACCCAAGAGTTTCCCCTCAGCCTCCAACTGAAGGGGCGGCCCTCGCAGTTCCTGGACAACCCCGAGCCCCCCATAACAGGTGGGCTCCCTGCCGGGTCTCCACACCCATGGAGGCTCTTTCCTGAACCCCACGGCCCCCTCTACAGAAGGCCCAGCGAGGGTCTGTTGAGCTGGTGCAAAGCCGTGAGAATAGTTTTGGGGTGTAGCTGCCCCCCACGTTGATGGTGCCATTATTATTATTATTATCATTATTATTATTGTACTGGAAGTTTAGGCCTTGGCCTCCCAGAGCCCATGTGGCTCAGCCCTTCCTGGCCTCCAGGAGGCCCACTGGTGGGCCTGGCTGTGAACCCCAACTCCCCCAGGGTCAGGCTGTGTGGCTTTGGGGAAGTGACTCCCCCTCTCTGAGCGCTTATCTGTAAATGGTGTTAACCAGTGGCTCTACCTGATGGGGTCACGCTAAGGAGCGATGAGTTCAGCCAGGCTCGGGGGTGCCAAGAACCTCGCAGGGTCCAGATGTGGGACGCAGCCCCTGCCTCTGGGTGACCCGTTCTCCCCCACTGTCCCCTGCAGTTGTGGTCTATAACTGTGCCATGGGCAGCCCCGACTGTTCCCAGTGCCTAGGCCGCGAGGACCAGGGTCACCTGTGCGTGTGGAGCGACGGCTGCCGCCTGCGGGGACCCCTGCAGCCCCTGCCCGGCTCCTGCCCCGCACCTGAGATCCGTGCGGTAAGCACACCCGGGGGCGCTCGCACCCCAGAGCCGCCCTGCGCCCAGCCTGGGTCTGCATCTCCGGGCTGGGGGGCTGGGGGGCCACCCCTAGGCACATGCATGCAAGTGACCCGTGAGCAATAGCAAGGTCAGGGAAAGCTGGGGGGTCTGGTGACAATCAAGGCCCCTCATATAACTCTTGTACCCGTTGCCAGAAAAGAAAAATCTCAGGGAAGGATTCTGATTGGTTTAGCCGAGGCCAGGTCCCGCCCCTTGTCCAATCAGCGTCAGGCTGCGATGTGAGCTCCTGGGCTCGGACACAGTCCTGGGAACTGGCCTCAGGGTGCCCCAGGAGGCTCCCCTAAGTGGCATCCCCGAGCCGAGTGGCGTCAGTCACCCTCAAGGCCAGGTGACCCGCAGTCCCAGCCCTCTCTGAGCCCCTGTATCCTCTAAGCAATGAATGGTGCTGGGTGGCCCTGCCTCCCGGTGGCTGCATGGGACAGTGGGAGGGGCCATTTGTCAGTGTCCCAGCCTCAAAGCCCCTGTCACTCCTGTCTCTGGTCTCCTGGCAGATCGAGCCCCTGAGTGGCCCCTTGGATGGCGGGACCCTGCTGACCATCCGCGGCAGGAACCTGGGCCGGCGGCTCAGTGACGTGGCCCACGGCGTGTGGATCGGCAGCGTGGCCTGTGAGCCGCTGGCGGACAGATACACGGTGTCGGAGGAGTGAGTGGCAGGGTCCCCAGCCCCCCGCCCTCCTCTGTCCCACTGTGCGTCCAGCGGGTCCCGCTGTGCCTCCTGCCTGGCTCTGCTTGGGACGCTCCTCTCTCCCTCCGGTTCCTGCTCTGCGCCGCCTCCTCCAGGAAGCCCTCCGGGCTCCCCAGGCCAAGCCAGCCCCTCTGCACACAAGCCCGCTCTGATGAGAATGATGGGTTTGCAGCTAAATTGGGGGGGGCTCCTGGTGGAAGAGTCCCTCTAGAGAATGTTCTAGAACGGAGGAATGAGCTAGAGTTCCACCTGGGGAGGCCTTGCAGATAAGCCCATCAGGTGACCAGATGATCTGATCACAGTCCTCCTGGTCCCCCTTGTCCTCTCAGAGGTGCAGAATTGTGGGAACGCCTGGGGCAGGGTGATCCCCGGACAGTGGTCACTCCAGGTGGCCCTCCAGAGGCTAAGAGGACTGTTCATTATTTCAATGTGGACGGTGCCCAAGGCCAGGTCCAGCTGAGAGTGGGAGGACACGGGGCACCGTCACACCCTCTGAGCGCGCCTGTCCCCCTCCAGGATCGTGTGTGCCACGGGGCCAGCCCCAGGGGCCTTCTCAGATGTGGTGACAGTCAATGCTTCCAAGGAGGGCAGGTCTCGGGAGCGCTTCTCCTACGTGGTAAGGAAGCCACGCCCACCGACCGCCCCCTCTCTGCGCTCCGCCCCTCTCTGCGCTCCGCCCCCTCTCTGCGCTCCGCCCCTCCCCGCGCTCCGCCCCCTCCCCGTGCTCCGCCCCCTCCCCGCGCTCCGCCCCCTCGTGGGTGCACAGAACCTGACTCCTGCCCTCCGCCTCCAGCTGCCTCTGGTCCACAACCTGGATCCTAAAATGGGCCCCAAGGCAGGGGGCACCAGGATCACCATCCATGGGAGTGACCTCCACGTGGGCTCCGAGCTCCAGGTCCTGGTGAACGACACAGACCCCTGCACGGAGCTTGTGTAAGTCCGAGAGCAGCCCTGCCCCTCCCACTAGAGAGACCCATGGGGTTGGGGGACGGGTGGGTGGGGGTGATGTCATTGTCCCTAACATCAGCTGGTTCTTTGTTAGCCATGGCCCCTTAGGGAAGCCCCTCCACTTCTCTGACCTTCAGTCTCTTCTTCTTGTAAGAACATCTTTTTTTTTTTTTTTTTTTTTTTGATACCAGGGATTGAATCCAGGGGTGCTTAACCACTGAGCCCCCTCCAGCCCTTTTTATATTTTATTTAGAGTCAAGGTCTCCCTGAGTTGCTTAGGGCCTTGCTAAGTTGCTGAGGCTGGCCTCCAACTTGTGATCCTCCTGCCTCAGCCTCCTGAGCTGCTGGGATGACAGGTGTGCTCAGCGTAAGAATGGCCTTTAAGTTCAGGGAGTGCACTGCCCAGCATACAGTAGGTGCTCCATAAATGGCAGCCGCAATTAAAATGGTGATTGCCGGCCCAGGAGTGTGACCAGTGGTAGGGGGCGTGGTCTGGAGCCTTTTGGTGGTGGAGCTGGGGGAACTTCTGTCTTTATTATGCACTTACTGTGTACCATGCCTCATTGATAGGCTTTTCTGGGGATACCAAGATAAGCCCGGCCCGGGCCTCAGGGAAACGGGAAGCTCCCATGGAGACAGGATCAGAGAAAAGTCAGGACTTTGGGGTTCTGAGTGAGATCTGGGGGGGGTTCCTGGAGGAGGTGGGTGGGGCACCCACCTAAGGGCACAGAAGACAAGGCGGGCCCCAGGCCAAGTGCATAGGGCTGAGACATTGGCAACCCAGGCGGGTCCCCTGCTGATGTCGCTGTCCCCCGCAGGCGCACGGAAACCAGCATCACCTGCACGGTGCCCGGGGGCGCCCAGGCGGCCCCGGTGCCCGTGTGCGTGCGCCTGGAGCGCAGGGGCTGCGTGCGCGGCAACCTCACCTTCTGGTACATGTCCAACCCCGTGATCACGGCCATCAGCCCCCGCCGCAGCCCCGTCAGGTGAGCCCCAGCCCCTGGCCCAGCCCAGCCTCCTTCCTTGGGGCCAAAGGTGTGCTGAGGGGGTCTGGCTGTCCCCCACAGCGGCGGCAGGACCATCACGGTGGCTGGCGAGCGTTTCCACATGGTCCAGAACGTGTCCATGTCCGTGCACCACATTGGCCGGGAGCCCACGGTGAGGGGACCCCCGGGGGGCTGCAGTGGGGGGTGGGCTGGGTACAGCTGGTGGCCCTGGCTGACCAGGCCTCTTCCTGTGACATCTCTGTCTCTTTCTGTCCCCTTTCACCCCAACCCCTGTTTGTCCGGTGTCTATCTGTCCAAACTGCATTCCTCACCTTGACCCTTGGGCCAGCTCTGCAAGGTCCTCAATGCCACCCTCATCACCTGCCCGTCCCCTGGGGCCCTGAGCAATGCCTCGGCGCCCGTGGACTTCTTCATCAACGGGCGGGCCTACGCCGACGAGGTGGCGGTGGCCGAGGAGCTGGGGGACCCCGAGGAGGTGCCGCGGGGCAGCAGGTTCCGCCTGGACTACCTCCCCAACCCGCAGTTCTCCACGGCCAAGCGCGAGAAGTGGATCAAGCACCACCCCGGGGAGCCCCTCACCCTGGTCATCCACGTGAGCCCCTGGGGACCCCCCGGTGGTGGGAGGGGGCAGGCCAGGCTCAGCCAAGAGCGTTGGCCAGCGTCCCTCCTGTACCCACAGAAGGAGCAGGACAGCCTGGGACTCGAGAGCCACGAGTACCGCGTCAAGATAGGCCAGGTGGCCTGCGACATCCAGATCATTTCGGAGAGGGTCATCCACTGTTCGGTCAATGAGTCCCTGGGCGCCGCCGAGGGGCAGCTGCCCATCACGGTGAGTGGCAGAGGCGGAGCTGACTCTGGCCCCGCCCCAACCATTCCCTGAGCATCCACCAGTTTTCATGCTCAATAGCTTAGGCCAGCAACGCAAGGCAGAGCTTCAGATCCTCCCTGGGCAGATGAGGACACGGAGGTCCAAGACCTTAGGGACCTGCTCAGTGTCAGTCATTCGCTTCAGCTGGGCCCTGAGGTGGCTGGGCTTTCAGAATCCTGGTGTCCTGCCTGGTCAAGTCTTGTCACCTGCTGTCCTGGTCCCAGATAATCAAGGACAGGAGCCAGGCCCTGTGAACTGCCCATCTTTCCCTGCTCCTCCCAGGCTCTAATAATTGTCACGGCCTCCTGTACTGACAAGCGTCATCTCAGATTACCTGTCAGTCTCCCCAGGAGGTAGAGATGGTTATCTTTGTATTATCACGGGGGGCTCAGAGAGGTTAGGTGACTTGCCCAAGACCACACAGCATTAGCCAAAACGTAATTCCAGGAAAACTACAATTCCCTTCCCTACCTCTGTGCAGATCCAAGTAGGGAACTTCAACCAGACCCTCGCCACGTTGCAGCTGGGGGGCAGCGAGACCGCCATCATAGTGTCCATCGTCATCTGCAGCGTCCTGCTCTTGCTCTCTGTGGTTGGTAAGGAGTCCCAGGCTTGGGACACAGGGAGGGCAGACCTGCCCCCCAGGCCCTGGCCTGTCTGCACATGGGCATCCAGGAAGGGCGTCATAAAATAATGTAGGGGCTGGGGTGGTGGCTCAGGGGTAGAGCGCTGGCCTAGCACATGTGAGGCCCTGGGTTCGATCCTCAGCACCACATAAAAATGAACCAACAAAATTAAGGCATTTGTCCATCTACAACTTAAAAAAAAAATTTTTTTTTAAGTAAAATAATGTAGTCTAGAAATCGGATCCCTCATATGCTGCTGGTGGGACTGTAAAATAGTCCAACTACTTTGGAAAACTCTGTAGATGGGAGGCTGAGGCAGGAGGATTGCAAGTTGGAGGCCAGCCTCAGCAACTTAGCAAGATCCTGGCTCAAAATAAAAAATAAAAAGATCTGGGGGTGCAGCTCCGTGGTAGAGAGCCTCTGGGTTCAATCCCCAGTACCTTAAAAAAAAAATCTTAATTCAGCAGTAATTCTTGGTCATTGAACAAAGAATGAAAAATACGAAAATCCAAAAAGAAAACAGAAATCACATCATTTTATCACCCGAGAGCCCCCGTGATTTTATACGCGCACATTTCTTTTTCTGAGCACTGTCCCCTGAGGAGCCTGGGGAGAAGCTCTCCCCCCCAGGCCTGGGATCTGCATACAGCAGGTGCCAATAAATGCTTTGCTGCCCGCAGCCCTGTTTGTCTTTTGTACCAAGAGCCGCCGCGCCGAGCGCTACTGGCAGAAGACGCTCCTGCAGATGGAGGAGATGGAATCGCAGATCCGCGAGGAGATCCGCAAAGGTCAGTGGGTGGCACCGGGCAAAGGCTGTCCCGTGGCTGTCCCGTCGGGAGGGCCAAATGCACAGTCCGCTGACAGCTCCCTGCCTGTCCACCAGGCTTCGCGGAGCTTCAGACGGACATGACGGATCTGACCAAAGAGCTGAACCGCAGCCAGGGCATCCCCTTCCTGGAATATAAGCACTTTGTGACCCGCACCTTCTTCCCCAAGGTCAGCCGGAGCACCCCCCTTGAACCTGGACAGGGCAGCTTAACCCAGGGCATGTGCATGTAGTACAGGGCCTCTTGAGCAGTGTGAAACCTGCACTCCCGTCCACGGCAGTCCTGCCAAGGGAGGGGATCTGTCCATATGGGAACCAGCTGCCAGCCCCCCCCCCCCGTCTCCTCCTTGGTGTCCTCCCCTCACCAAGGGTGACTTGGACTCCCAGGATTCCCTGCCAGCATTCCCTTGGTCTCCCTGTTGTCTCCTGTCCTCTGGGTTCTGCTTAACTATCCCGTGCCTCGCCCACGCCTGTCATCCCAGCGGCTCAGGAGGCTGAGGCAGGAGGATCAGAGGTTGGAGGCCAGCCTCAACAACTTAGCAAAGCCCTGTGCATAAATAAAGAAAGGGCCCCCGGGTCCTTTGGGTGCTGTGGTTTCCGGGCCACTGTCCCCCAGCAGAGGCCCAGGCTGGCGCCCCTTTCTGCCCAGCGAGCCTGGCCTGGCCGTCGGGGGGTGTCCAGCCGCTGAGGACCCTGGGATCTGCCTCTGCAGTGCTCCTCCCTTTCCGAAGAGCGCTACGTGTCGCCCTCGCAGACCCTCAGTCCCCAGGGGAGTGGCTCCCCGCCGCAGGAGACCCACCCGCTGCTGGGAGAGTGGACCGTGAGTACCCCAGGTCCCCACCCGGGCGGCCCCTCCCCGGGTCCCACTGTCCCCCTCCTGCCACTCGGGGACGCCCGCCGTTGGCACTGGGAGACGAGCAGCCTCCGCCTCCGCTGCCTCCGCAGATCCCCGAGAGCTGCCGGCCGCACATGGAGGAGGGCATCAGCCTCTTCTCGTCCCTGCTCAACAACAAGCACTTCCTCATCGTCTTCGTGCACGCCCTGGAGCAGCAGAAGGACTTTGTCGTGCGGGACAGGTCAGGCCCCGGGGCATGGGTACCCACCGGGGTGGACTCCCCGCGGCCCATCCCCGGCTGACACCCCAGGGCCCCGCAGGTGCAGCCTGGCCTCGCTGCTGACCATCGCTCTGCACGGCAAATTGGAGTACTATACAGGCATCATGAAGGAGCTGCTGGTGGACCTCATCGACGCCTCGGCCGCCAAGAACCCCAAGCTCATGCTGCGGCGCACCGAGTCGGTGGTGGAGAAGATGCTCACCAACTGGATGTCCATCTGCATGTACAGCTGCCTGCGGGTGAGGCCGCTCGCGCCTGCGCAGGGGAGGCCGGAAGTCACGCCCCCCGGGTCAGGAGGGACTCTCCTAGCCCTTGTGCAGATATGGAAAGGGGTGCCCAGAAGGGGCCCGGGAGCCGGTGGCACACACCTGTCCTCCTAGCACACACCTGTCATCCTAGCAGCTCGGGAGGCTGAGGCAGGAGGATCGCAAATTGAAATGCAAAAGAACCCCCGTTAGAACTCTTCTGCAGAATGGGAGTCCCTGGTCCTGTCTTGCCATCCGGCTGCCTTTACAAGGGCAGAGGCCACAGGGTCAGCTGGGGTTCATGGGAAAAAGGCAAAGACCTGGACAGAGCCCAGAACCAGGCCCTTAATTGTGTTGGGTCTCTATCTGGTCTTTGGCAGAACCCAGCTGTGTGACCCTGGGTAGGTCACTGCCCTCTCTGGGCCTTGGTTACCTTTGGTTAAGCAGATCCTTTGCCTCTGGCCTCTGGAGTCTGTGAATCCTCTCAGGGGAAGCAGGAAGCATGGGATGGGACAGACGTGGACCCTAGGGGCTGCTGGGGCTCTGGACCTAGCTCTCCTGGCCACTTTATGTGGCCTCAGTCAGGTCTGTCCCTGCTCTCTGGGCCTGTTCTCTCCTCTACAAAATGGGACATCGGTGGCTCCCAGCCCTAGATCCGGAGAATTGGCTCTGGACTAAGAGCTGGCCCGCTGCCTTCAGTCGTTGCCAAATCTGCTTAAAATGTACTTAACGTTTTTTCAAACACACTTACCGTTCTTACTTCAGTGTCCACGTAAATGGAACAGCTGGGTCGCTGGAAAATCAGCTGGAGACTGTGGGTGGCAGCAAGTCCCTTGTTGGCCGGGTGCCCACAATAAAATGGGGGTCCGCAGCAGGGGGGCTGCAGACAGCACAGGCTCCAGGCTCTGATGGGGGCCGTTTGTGAACACCTCTGGGTTCTGTTTCCACCTCGCCTCACCCTGGGAGGTCCCCGCTGGGTAGGTAGGGCCAGCCACGGGCTCAGGACTCGGTGGATGCACGACTAGCTGGGCCATGCTGGGCAGATGGCTTGCCCTCTCTGAGCCTCAGTAGTGTCAATGGAGCTGTGCAGGGGGCTTGTTGGTCCCTGCAAAAGAACTTCCGGTCCATAGAGACACCGGACAGGGGGTGTGAGCCTGGGCACTGGGGTCCCAAAGGAGGTGTTGGGGACAAGTGGGCCCCCAGATGGGACGGGGTGAGGCCAAAATGTAGAGGCTGGGAGATGAAGGATGGCCCGGGGCCCTTGACCCCTGACAGCCCTGTACCCACCCAGGAGACGGTCGGGGAGCCATTCTTCCTGCTCCTGTGCGCCATCAAGCAGCAGATCAACAAGGGCTCCATCGACGCCATCACGGGCAAGGCCCGCTACACGCTCAACGAGGAGTGGCTGCTGCGGGAGAACATAGAGGCCAAGCCAAGGGTGAGCCTGGTGGGCGGGGTCGGGGCGGGGCCAAGCAGTGGGCGGGACCTTTGGGCGGGGCCAAATGGTGGGTGGGGCCACGTGGTGCAGGGCGTGCTTTAGGCAGGGAGCGCGTGTGGGCGGGGCTTCATGTGGGCGGGCCCAAATGGTGGGTGGGGCCACGGGGTGCGGAGCCTGCTTTAGGTGAGGTTAGGCAGGGAGCCCTAGTGGGTGGTTTGTGTGGGCAGGCCTTGCCGGGGCGGGGCCATGTGGGCGGAGCCAAATGGTGGGCTGGGCGGGGTGGGACCACGAGGTGCTGGGCCTGCTTTAGACGGGGTTAGGCAGGGAGAGCGACTGGACGGACCGTGTGGGCGGGGCTTGTTGTGGGCGGGGCCTGCCAGTCCTGGGCGGGGCTGGTCCAGGCCTCCAGTCTTTCTTTTTTATTATTATTTATCTTGGGCCTCCAGTCTTCACCTAGCCTTGCAGCCTCCCAGGACAGAGCCTTTCCTGCCTGGGCTCCTGTGTAGCAAGGGTGACAATCTATTGACCCCTGTCCCTTTTGCCTTGTCCGTCTCTGCAGAACCTGAACGTGTCCTTCCAAGGCTGCGGCATGGACTCGCTGAGCGTGCGAGCCATGGACACCGACACGCTGACACAAGTGAAGGAGAAAATTCTGGAAGCCTTCTGCAAGAACGTGCCCTATTCGCAGTGGCCGCGGGCCGAGGACGTGGATCTTGGTGGGCAGGAGCAGGGGTAGGGGTGGGCGCAGGGGCCTGGGTGCCTGGAGGCTTCGGCCTTGGCCAGACAGTCCCCTTCAAATGAGCACATGTGCATGACCAGTGGCCCTGAGGACACCCGCGATGGCAGACTAGGCTCCCAAGAGCAAGCGGCTCTGGTTTGGTGGGACGTGGACTCTGTGGTGTGAGCGAGCTTTGGATACCAGCCTGTGGGAGGAGCTTCCCACAGAAGGGCACCTCAGAGTGGGTTTTGAAGGGTGCATAGGAGTTTCAGTTATGCCACAAAGAGAGGCTCCTAAAACTATGGGGCATCCCTGGTCATTCACACTGTGCCCAGTCCTGGACTGAGCTGGGCCCTCCCTTTATCCCCAAGACAGTGGGAGCCATGGGGGTTGTGTGGCCTCTGGTGCAGGTGACACCTTTTATTTCAGGAGTTGTAACATTAAGGACCCAGGGGAGTGGGGACTCTTCCTGAGTGTCTGCTTGGTGACAACTCCCGGGTACCTTTGTTGTATACCATCTCCCCATTTTCCAGATGAGGACGCAGAGGCTCAGAGAGGGGCCTGGCTTGCCTCGGGCGGCCCAGCCAGGGTGAGAGAGGCCTCTTCTTGGGTGGCCTCCCCGTCCTGGCTTCCCGCCCTGACCCTGACGATCGGCTCCTCTGCCCCCAGAATGGTTCGCCTCGAGCACGCAGAGCTACATCCTGCGTGACCTGGACGACACCTCGGTGGTGGAGGACGGCCGCAAGAAGCTCAACACGCTGGCCCACTACAAGGTGCGGCCCCGCCCCTCCCCTGCCTCCCTCCCTGGACTCCCGGCCTCTGACTTCAGCCTCTCCCCTCCCATCAGATCCCTGAAGGGGCCTCCCTGGCCATGAGCCTGTCGGACAAGAAGGACAATACTCTGGGCCGAGGTAGGGCTGGAGGGCAGGGCCAGGCTCCTCTGACCCACTCCTCCTGTGGCCGGGCCTTGGCAGGCCGATGGCCTGTGGGCAGCTGGAGGCCGGCCCAGGAGCTCGGGATGTGGCCTGGGCAGGGGCCAGGCGGAGGGGAGCTGGCAGGCCTCTCTGGGTCTGGGGCTGTGTTCGTGCCACCGGCCCCTGTGTGCGCCCTTGGGTGGCCCGGGCCTCTCTGCCCAGATGCCAATTCTGGGAACCGGGACTCCTCTGAGTCCTGGGGTCCACTCTGAGGTTGAGCGGAGGGTCCTGGGACCTCGGCCTTGCTGTCCCCTCTGGTTTATTTATCCTGTGCTTCCTCCTCTCGCAGTGAAAGACTTGGACACGGAGAAGTATTTCCACTTGGTGAGTGTCCAGCCTGGACTCCGGGGAGCCTGGCCCTGGCTGGGCGTGGCCTTGGCTCTGGGCCACCCTGGGCCTCTGAGAAATGGCTCCCAGGCCCTGGGAAGGGCTGGGCTGGGCTGAGGGAGCTGGGGATGCGCCCAGGATCAGTGGACGTCAGAGTCCCATGTGCAGAGAGCCAGAGCCAGGGCCCCACCCCCGTGGCCATGGCCGGACACTGACCACTGCCAACCTCCCAGGTGCTGCCCACGGATGAGCTGGCGGAACCCAAGAAGTCCCACAGACAGAGCCACAGGAAGAAGGTGCTCCCCGAGATCTACCTGACCCGCCTGCTGTCCACCAAGGTGGGCCCCGCCTCAGTGTCCCCTCCGTGAGGTGGTCCCAACTCCCCTCCCCAGTTCCCAGGGGTCCGCTGTGCATGCTCCCCTGTCCGCCTGTGGGGCAGTAGAGAAGGAAATGGGGGCCACATGGCTCTAGTGCCAAGGTTGGGGCGCAAATCCTGGCCCCTCCCCTTCCCAGCTGGGGACCCAGGATCTGTCACCACCCCCCGGGAGGTTCCACTATGGGACCCGACTGAGGTCACGTGACTTCCCCAGGCACCATGCACGGGCTGCCCTGGTGGCCCACGGCTGTGAGAGTGCCCCTGGCTGACCGTGGCCCCCCACCCCCCTACAGGGCACACTGCAGAAGTTTCTGGATGACTTGTTCAAGGCCATTCTGAGCATCCGGGAAGACAAGCCCCCGCTGGCCGTCAAGTACTTCTTCGACTTCCTGGAAGAGCAGGCCGAGAAGAGGGGAATCTCGGACCCAGACACCCTGCACATTTGGAAGACCAACAGGCAGGCAGGGGCAGGGGGAGGGCTGTGTAGACTTCACCGTATCGTTGGGGCAGAGCTGTGGCTCTGGGTCTCAGAGCCTGCCCTCTGAGGCCACCTTCCTGGGTTCAATGCCTACTGTGTCATTTTTTGAGCTGTGTGATCTTGGGTGAGTGACTTAACCTCTCTGTGCTCCAGTTTGCCCAGCTATAAAACTAGGGCAACAATAGTAACCCCCCTTCACTGTAAGAATTCACTCGAAAAGCTCCCGGGGAACAGTGTGTGTTCAGTGCCCTCATCCTCACCCTCGCTCCACCTGGGTTAGCAAACAGAATCAACTTCATTTGACAGAAGAGGACACCGAGGCTCCCAGAGGCTCCCTGCCCCCCATCATACAGCCCTTGGGATGGCAGAACCAGGCTCCACCCGGCATGTTCTGGTTCCCAGACCCAGTTTGTAGCCTTTCCTTGAAGCTGGAGGTCTCCCCGTAACCAGCAATTTATTGAAATCCTTACCCAAATGCTAATGACCCAGCAGGGTTTGAGCAGTGCCAGAAGTTTCTCAGAACTCCCAGGACCCCCATGCCCCAGGCTGCTGTGTCACTGGGTGGCCCTGAGCTGCAGAGTGTCAGAAGCTCTCTGGCCTTCCAGGACGAGGCTCAGGGTGGAGGCCCCGCCCACCCTCTCTGCTCTGCACTGCCTGCAAGGCTGGGGGCGTGGCCTGGGACTGGGCGGGGCCTGAGACTGGGCGGGGCCTGGGGCTGGGGCGGGGCCTGGGGCGGGGCAGGGCTGGGGGAGGGGAGGCCTCTAATGAAAACCAGGCTGTGGCTGAGGCTCCAGAGGGAGAGCCAGGGCGGAGGGGGGACTCTGCAGCGGGCAGAGGCGGCCACAGGGTGGACCAGCCACCCCAGCTGGCCAGGGAGAGTCAAACCTCAGTTCCCAAAGGTGACCCATCCTGGGGACTGCAGCGTCCTGGAGGGGCCCAGCCAAGTCGCATCCCCTGGGGCTGCCCTCCAGCCACCACTTGGTGGGCTCACGGCCACCCCTGCCCCTCCGCAGCCTCCCCCTGCGGTTCTGGGTGAACATTCTGAAGAACCCCCAGTTCGTCTTCGACATCGAGAAGACGGACCACATCGACGCCTGCCTCTCCGTGATCGCCCAGGCCTTCATCGACGCCTGCTCCATCTCTGACCTGCAGCTGGGCAAGGTGGGTCTTTTTTTGGGGGGGGGGGTACCTGGGGCTGAACCCAGGGGCGCTCAACCAGTGAGCCCGGTCCCCAGCCATTTTTGGGGTTTCACTGAGACACAGGGGCTGGTTAAGTTGCCTACAGCCTCCCTAACTGTTGAGGCTGGCTTTGAAATTGCGATCCTCCTGCCTCAGCCTCCAGAGCTGCGGGGATGACAGGCTCCAGCTGGCTTTAGAGGGTAGAGACCAGAGTGGCCTTGCAGGCAGTGACCAGGAGACAGGCAAGCGCTCTGGGCCCTGAGCGTCCATGACACGGCACAGTCAGACCTCCCACGACAGGCCCGGGCCAGGGGCGGTGGCCCTGCGTCTAGGCCACCACAGGAGAGAGAAAATGACCTCCCTGTTCAAGTCTGTGCCCCTCCGAGGGCAGGAGCTGGGGACATTGGAATCACGCAGCAGGAAACATCAGATCATTTGCAAGAGGCAGATCCAAGTCCCCAAGAGGGGTGTCACCAAAGCAGGCTGCAGGGTCAGGGAGAGATCAGGGCGGACGCTTCATGTCCAAAGCAGCCCAGGGAGGGGACCAAGGATCCCCTGGCCTGAAGCCAGCACATTGGGGACACTGGGTGCCAACCAAGACTCCTCAGTCCCCGAGGGTCCCCTAAGGCCACTTCTGGGGCCACCAGGACAGGGGCTGCTTAGAACCTGAGACCCAGCTGTGCATGTGGCCCTGGCTGAGATGTCCCCTGTCCCCAGGACTCTCCCACCAACAAGCTGCTGTACGCCAAGGAGATCCCCGAGTACCGCAAGGTCGTGCAGCGCTACTACAAGCAGATCCAGGACATGACCCCGCTCAGCGAGCAGGAGATGAACGCGCACCTGGCGGAGGAGTCCCGGGTGCGCAGGCGCAGGAGGGCGGGGGGCAGAAGCCTGGACCCTCAGATCGCTGCTGGGCGGGGGGCTCAGGGCATTTGGGGGGGCCCCCTGGGTGTCCCCTTGTTGTCTACAATTGCTCAGCACCTTAGTCCCAGGGGAGGGGGCCGCAGAGAACTTTCTAGAAGGGAGCTGGGAAGTCTAGGCCCAGGGGCTCTTGGAAGGTGGGGCTGAGGAGCTGCGAGGTCAGCCTCCCTCTCCGGCCTCCCCCTGCAGAAATACCAGAACGAGTTCAATACCAACGTGGCCATGACAGAGATCTATAAATACGCCAAGAGGTATCGGCCCCAGGTGAGTGACCCCCTGCACCTGCCCAGGTAGTACCTGCCCACGTCCGTTCTGCCCACCTGACATAGAAGATGCAGGAGAACTTCTCACCTTAGCACTCACATCCGGGAACTTTGCGCTTTAGGGTGGGTCTTTTTTTTTTGCTGGGGGTACCTGGGGCTGAACCCAGGGGTGCTCAACCACTGAGCCCCGTCCCCAGCCATTTTGGGGGTTTCACTGAGACACAGGGTCTAGTTGAGTTGCTTAGGGCCTTGCTAACTGTTGAGGCTGGCCTCCAACTTGCGATCCTCCTGCCTCAGCCTCCCCAGCTGCTGGGATGACAGGCGTGGGGGCTACTGCAGCCGGCGAGGGTGGGTCTCTTGGTGGGTGGACAGAGGCGCTGTGCTCTCTGCCACCATCTAAGGCGGGGACCCCTGAGCTGGGCCACCCGGCTGACCTCCTGCTGCCTCCTGCTCAGATCATGGCTGCCCTGGAGGCCAACCCCACGGCCCGCAGGACGCAGCTGCAGCACAAGTTCGAGCAGGTGGTGGCCCTGATGGAGAACAACATCTACGAGTGCTACAGTGAGGCCTGACCCCGGGCCGAGTCGGGCTGTGACACTGAGGAGCGGAGGAGGCTCAGGGGAAGGACGGACCATGAAGGCCAGGCCTGGAGCCCCCAAGCCTGGCCCCAGGGACAGCTCCGTGTCCCCTCCCACTGGCTCTGACTCTGGGATGGGGGCCGCTCTCTGGGAAGCTGTCCCCGTCCCCCCAGCACAGTGACCTGCGCTGCACCAGCCAGCTGCTAAGACAGCCCGGCCCAAACCGGGGGAGAGGAGGCTGCAGCCCCCCAAAACACTACCTCAAGCAAACTGGCCAGGGGGGAGCCCTTGATGGCTTTTTGCTTTCACCACCAAAAAGCTGTCACCACGTCCCTTGGCCCCAGAGGACCCTGGCCATGCTCAGGGTCAGAGTTTTCTGGTTTTCGGTGGCTGCAGTGGCCGGGGAGGGACAGAGGAGGAGGGGACAGGAGCTGGGAGCGGGAGGGGCGAGGGTGCACCGAGTCTGTAGCTGGGCTACTCGATCTTTCTGGAAGTGTTTCTAAAGATAGCACCACTTTGGGGGGTTGTTTTTTTTTTTAAAGCTTTTATATATATATAAAAAAAAATTATCACGCGCCAACTGTGAATGGCTGCCACTTGTGCAGAGGACCCGGGGAGGGTCCCCAGGGGCGCCCAACGCAACACTGGAAATGACTGTTCCAGAGACCCCGCCCCCCAGGAGCCTGGGAACGTCACCCCGTCTGTCCCTGCCTGATGTGACCCTGGGTGGCTGATCCAGCCCGTGGGTCCCCCTGGGAGCAGACTCAGCCAATGCCCAGGACTGGCCAGGAGCCCAGGGGGCGGGGGGAGGGGAGGGGAGGGCTGGAACTCTCTGGAACCTTCTTTATAATAAAAGTCTGCCGGGAAACCCACCAGGGGCTTCTGCCTTTGTCCTGAGATGGCCAAGTGGGGGGGGGGGGCGTTTGTCACTTAGTTTATGACACAAAGGACGCAGAGCCAGGCGGGCCTTGTCCCTAGGAAGACTTGGAGCCAGGCCTGATGGGGCTTGGACCCTGGACCCGAGGTATCACACCTGCTGGATGCTGCTGTCCCCTGCCCCAGGGCTGGGGAACTTGTCCCCAAGGCTGGATTCTGTTCCCCTGGGCACAGGTTGTCCCTTAATTGGGAACACAAGGTGGAGGGACAATAAATACACATAAGCAGGGGTGCCATTCAGCCTGCACCCCCAGGACAGGACACCCCAGGGCCACCTCCAAGTCACAGAGCCACCCACGCCACACAAGCTCTTCCCTGGAGGAAGGAAAAGTCATTTCCCACGATTCTTATCGAGAATAAGAAATAGAACCAAAGATTCATAATCTAGAAGCGAAACCCCACGAAAACCAGTTCTAGGGTCAATAAGAACAAAACCAGAGGAAGGTGACGTCACGCTTTGAAATCCGTCTCCAGTAGGGAGCATTGGCTCAGGCGGACGATCCCATTGGCTCGGGAGGCTGAGGCAGGAGGGCCACAAGTTGGAGGCCAGCCTCAACAATTTAAGGAGACCTTGTCTGAAAAAATAAAAAGGGCTGGGGATGTAGCTCAGGGGTAAAGTTCCCCTAGGTCCAATCCCGAGTGCCAAAAAATCAGAAATAAAAATCTAGGCCTGGGGCCATAGCGGGCCATAGCTCAGTGGCAGAGCGCTGGCCTAGCACGTGTGAGGCCCTGGGTTCCATCCTCAGCACCACAGAAAAATAAATAAAATAAAGGTATTCTGTCCACCTACAACTAAAAATATAATTTTAAAAAAAGAAAGAAGGAAGGAAAAATTACAGCCGGGCACGGTGGCCCACGCCTGTCATCCCAGCGGCTCGGGAGGCTGAGGCAGGAGGATGGCAAGGTCAAAGCCAGCCTCAGCCAAAGGGAGGCCCTGAGCAACTCAGGGAGACCCTGTCTCTCAATAATTTAAAAAGGGCTGCAGTGTCGCTCGGGGGCTAAGCCTCCCTGAGACACAACCTCCAGTACCAAAAAATAAATAAATAGAAATGAAGACGTCTTTCCCCCCCTGAAGTCACTGTGGGAAGGAGCTAGTTTTTCTCTTTCCCATTTTCTATTCTGAGCATTGATTTCTCCTTATTAAGCAACAGATTTTCTAATTTGAGTTATTGGCATATTTGATAGTTTTTTTTTTTCTCTCTCTCTCCCCTTTTGGGGGGAGGATGTGATTCTAGAATAAATATCACACATTAAAAAAAAAAAAGAAAAAATAATAATAATAAAGCCAATCTGTCCTCATGCTGCGCCTCGCCTCCCGGGGTCACATCGCAGGGTGGCCTCAGCTCTGCTCCTAGGGGCTGGGGACCAGGGGTCAGAATCAGGATGGGGGCAAACACACCAACTGCAACCTGACTCCCCCTCCCCGTCATGCGCCCATATCTGGTGACATCTTTGTGTCATTGAATATGCCGCAGCCTGTCTGAATGTCTGATTAGCATGCGGCTCCCTGGGAACGTGCGGAGAGGCTGTCAGGAAGCGGAGGTGCTCTCTCTGGTTTGGGGGGTCATTTCTGAGCACGGAAGGTGGCCAGCTTCAGTGAGCCCTGTGCAGTCTCCATCTGGGGACCCAAGACTGGCCCAGCCATTAGAGGTACCCAAGAGGGTCCCTGCCCGGTGGCTGAGGGTCACAGGACGGTGGGGACCCCTGATGTGGCAGGCTCAAGGTAACTTTCCAAAAGGGAAGGATTTGTACACAGGAGGGAGGTGACCTGCCCGAGGTCTCACGGAGGCTGGACCTCAGGGAGGGGGCTCTGGGCTGTCCCCAACTCTGAGGCAGGGTGCCCAGAGGGGGTTTCTGCAGACAGGTACGTCCCCCAGCCTCAGGCCAACCCACAAAGGAGCAGAGAGGCCCCTGGGGACCCTGCGGCAGCCAGGGGAGCAGTGGGCAGGGCTAGACCCAGCTTCCTGGGGGGTCCCAGGAGGAGGAGAGCCATGACATAAAAGTCAAATCTCTTAACTGTCTTTAAGTGCCCTCCACAACGTACCCATCTTTTTTTTTTTTCTTTTATGGTACCAGGGATGGAACTCAGGGGCCCTCGACCCCTGAGCCCCGACCCCAGCCCTATTTTGTATTTTATTTAGAGACAGGGTCTCCCTGAGCTGCTCAGGGCCTCACTAAGTGGCTGAGGCTGGCCTCCAACTTGCAGTCCTCCTGCCTCAGCCTCCCGAGTCGCTGGGATGACAGGCGTGAGCCACCATGCTGGGCCACTGTACCCATCTGTGGCCCTTTGAATACCCACAGCTTAAAAATAGCAGTGACTACTTACTTGGGTCCTGAATCCGCTTCTGGGACAGGACTCGGCCATGGAGGCATGTCCCCAACCCACCAGGTGTCAATGGGGTTAGGTCAGCCAGGGCTAGAAGATGGGACACCCACAGGGCAGCGAACTGGGCCTGGCTGGTCAGGGATCTGGCCCTGAAGACCCGGGGCTCGTCTTCCTGTCCACGAGCTGCTTGGGCTTCCCCACAGAATGGCGGCCGGCTTCCAAGATGGAGAAGCAGAAGAAAATTTAAAAAAAAAACACAAAACGTAAAGGCAGCCAATGTCTTCAGGTGGGGGCTCAGATACGCTCACGTCCTACTTGTCCAGAGGCTGAAACCCAGGGGGCAGGGACACAGACCACCCCTCCACCAGGGAAGAATCACACATGGGAAGGGGTCCCAGATCCCAAGACTGGGTTCAACACCCCCCTTGTCCCCCAGGACTAGGCCCAGCCCCTTCCAGACTGTGGGGTCACCCACCCCAGCAGAGGTCCTGTCCCGTCCTCTCCCCAGCACTGGCCAGATAAAGGGCAGGCGCTCCGTGGTTGTTTAAAAGGGACCGAGCAGCCCAGTCCCTCAACCTCAGCACCCATCGTCACCAAGATATAGGAAAAGGAATATGAAGCCTTTATTGATAAATAGGTTACATTAAAATTGAATAATGGCTGATCAGAGAATAAAGATCCAGAGAAAAATCACCATCTCTGCCCACCCTAGCCTCTACCTCTCGGCCTCTACCTCTCAGCCTCCTCTACCTCCTGGCCTCTACCTCTCAGCCTCTACTTCTCAGCCTCCACCTTCTTGCTGCGTGCTTTGGAGGATGGGGACTTGGTGGGCAGCCTGGGCTTTCTCAGGCCCTCAGGGGCCTCTGTCTTCCTGGCCACAGCTGAGGGGACAGGTGTGGACCCATCACCCTTCCGAGGGACAGCAGCAGCTTTGGGTCTTGATCTCTGCCCAGGCCCCTGGCCAACCTTCTCTTTAGGGGTCTTGGCTGCCATCTTCCTTCTGGGTGGGGAGGAGACTCCACTCTTGACCTGCAAGAAGCAAAGTCAGGGACAGGGAGACAGAGCTGGGTGTGCAGCTCGGAGCCCACGTGGGTAGGGTGGGAGGCCAGGATGGGAGGCCCGGATGGGAGGCCCAGATGGGAGGCTCTGGACAAGTGACCTCATGTCCCCTCCCCTCAGCCCCTTGGCCATGAAACAGGGAGGGCCACCCCCCAGAGGGGAGGAGAGCAGACTGCAGGTTGGGGGGAGATGGACCAGGGTTCCCCCACCCGGGCTGATCCCTGCAGGGCTCGGGTGTGGGGTGCCCGAGGTCGGCCTGCTCAGGGCGAGAGACAAGACCCCGGGGGTCACCCAGGTGCCCACCTGCCCGTCGGCGGGCTTTGAACCCGCGTTCTTCACCTCTGAGCTTGCATTCTTCACCTTGGGTCTCCCACAAGCCTCTGCATCTGGAGCAGGTTGGGGGGACCGTCATGGGGGAGGGAAGAGTCAGGGCCTCTGGACCCCCCCCCCCGGCACTGGCCAGAGCCTTGGACCCCAGATGCCCTCCCCGCACGGTGGACAGACTGAGCTCGCTGCAGACCCCCCACAGCGCCCACCCCTCCATCTCTGGGCCTCTGCACGTGATTTCCTGGGGCACCTCCTCCAGGAAGCCCTCCTGGATTCCTGCTTCAGGGACCACGGGGGGGGGGGGCTCTGGCCTCCCTGGGCTCCCTCCTTCCTAACGCTTAAGCTGCCTTCGTAACCCCGTGGGCCACCCCGAGCTGTCAGGGTTCACAGGGGAGCCCCTGCCCCACCCCCACGGTCCCTGTCCCCGTCCCCGTCCCCATCCCTGTCCCTCACCCACCTGGCTGACGCCTCTTGCCCTTGGCTCTCCCCTGCTCACTGGTCCCATTGGCACTGGAAGGGGCCCGAGTGGCCTTGGCTGGCTTGGGGGGAGGCTTGGTGGCCTCGGTGTCCTTGGCCTCCCCGCGGCCTCTCTTGGGGACCTTCTGGTTGGCTGGCCCTGGCCTGGGGACAGTCCTCGCTGCCTGGCCAGAGCTGGACGCTTCCTTCTGCTCCGCGCCTGGTTTCTTGGAGCCCTTCCCAACAGCCTCCCTGGGCCTCCTGGGGACCTTGGGGACCGACGTCTTCCTGGCCTGGACTTTCTTCTTGTACTTGGGGACCAGCTGGAGGGAGGGAGAGAGGGTGGGGTGGTACCAGAACCAACTCGGGGTGTCCCTGCCCCGCGCCCAGGAGTCCTCAGAGGGTGTGGGCGCGTCAGGGGGTGCGGGGACTCCTGACCTGGCCTCCCAGCCCAGCTCTGAAGGGATTGCCACCTCCAAACCCTCTCAGCACCACGTCACCCCAAAAACTGGAACCAGGCTCCCAATCATGCCTGATGCTGGGCACAGTGGCTCACGCCCATCTTCCCCACTCCTCGGGAGGCTGAGGCAGGAGGATCTCAAGTTGGAGGCCAGCCTCAGCAACTTGGTGAGGCCCTAAGCAGCTCAGGGAGGCCCAGACTCAAAATAAAATCTAAAAAGGGCAGGGGACGGGGCTCCTCCAAGCTCAAATCATTTATAGGGTCAGCGTCCTTTTTCGGGCTTGTGTTTGTTTTTCATTTTTCATTTTGAGACGGGGCCTGGGCTGGCTTGAATCTGTGACATTCCTGCCTCAGCCTCCGGGGTCCCTGGGGCTACCGGCCTGTGCCACTTTGTGCAGCTATTTTAAGTCTTTCATCTTTTCCTCCATTATTGGGGGGTTGAACCCTGGGACAGTTAACCACGGAGCCACATCCCCCATCCTCCCAACTTTTCCCATTTTGAAACAGGGTTTGCCAAATTGTCGAGGCTGGCCTCCAACTTGCAATCCTCCTGCCTCGGTCTCCCGAGTCGCTGGGAGTACAGGCGTGCGCCACCGCGCCTGGTGTGTCCTTATTCTTAAAGGGCAAAATTAAGTGAGGATTTACTTATATCACTTTGTAAACTTAAATGGAGAATTACGTTACTCTTTATACTAAGGAACGTATAATGGTGGCTCATGCCTAAACTCCCAGCAACTCGGGAGGCTGAGGCAGGAGGATCGCAAGTTGGAGGCCGGCCTCAGCAACTCAGGGAGACCCCGTCTCTAAATAAAATATAAAAAGGGCTGGGGACGGGGCTCAGGAGTGAAGCACCCCAGGGTTCAATCCCTGGGACCAAAAACAAAAGAGTGAAAATTAAAACCCACGGCTCCCCCTTCCAGACTGGCAAGGCTGGCCTCGGGGAGTCTGACCTCGGAGACTTCAAAGTCAACGTCAAGGTCAATAAAAGTGCTGAGGGGATTGCTACCCTCTATGGTCAGCCAGGACCCTGAAAGGACCCCTCTCAAGGGTCCTGCATGTGGCACTGGGGGTTAAACCCAGGGGCACTTCACCACGGGGCTACATCCCCAGCTACATCCCTCCGTGTTGTTGAGGCTGGCCTCTAACTCGCAATCCTCTAGCCTCAGCCTCCCGAGTTGCTGAGATGGCAGGCGTGTGCGCCATTCTGCTGGGCCTCGGCTGACTTTTCTAGTAGGAAGAAAAAAGAGGTTTGGGGCCATTAAAGGGGTCAGCCACTTACTGGTTCTTGAAAGCTCAGAAGAGAAAAATAACCAAGGAACCTGAGATACACAAAAATAAACCAAGCCAAGAGGTGACAGGGAAAAGCCTCTTCCGCGTGGCTGCCCGGCTCTAAAAGCCCTTCGGCCTCCTGCCTCTGCGCAAGACGGAGGAGCTCGGGGCTCCCCAGGGCCTTCCATTTAGGGGAAGATGGAAGAAATAACTCGGGTTCGCCCCGCACCCCTCCAGGCGCATGGGACATAGTGAAAGCCTGCGTTCCCAACCTTGCCTGGCCCCTCCTGCCCTGGGGACTTTGGTGACCACACTTCTGCTCCTAGTCGGCCTTCTGAATCTCACCGAGTTGCTGAGGCCGGCCTCCAACTTGCGATCCTCCTGCCTCAGCCTCCCGGGTCGCTGGGATGACAGGCAGGTGCCCACCCCACCCACCCAGCTAATTTTCCCCTTCAAAATTCTGGTTTCCCTTCCCACCAAATCAGGGTCAGTGCTAGTACCCAGATTCAGTGTCCTGTCCCATCTGTCCTGTAGGTGACGGCTCCTCCCCTCAAAACACTGTTCAGGTGGTTCTGTTAGAGGTTGGACCTCTGCAAATGGGTCCAAAGGAAGAGATGAGAACATGAGGCTGCAACTCAACCCCAAGGACCAGAGGAGTCGCTCTCTGTCCCCACAAGATCAGGAAAGACTCCAAAAGAGGCAGGTGTGTGACGCTTTATCTCAAAATAAAAAAATAAAAAAGGCTACAGATGCAGGTCAGGGGTAAAGTGCCCCTGGGTTCCATCCCCAATATCAGAAAATAGAAATAAACATGAAGCCGGGCATGGGGGTCGCACACCTGTCATCTCAGCAACTCAGGAGGCTGAGGCAGGAGGACCGCAAAGTGGAGGCCAGCCTCAGCCACTGACTGAAGGACCAGGGATCCCATCCTCTGCTACAGTGAAGGTGCCCAGGACTTAGAGCCAATATAGCAGACACGGTCCTTGACCTCTGAAAATGTCCCCAAAAAGCAATGAAGACACATACTGCCCACAGGGTGACCAGGAGCCCAGGGGAGGTCCCTGAGAACAGCCTCCCTGGAGGCTGGACGTGCAGGAAGAGCAAGCAGAGCGGATGAGAGCCGCGTGGTCTAGGACGGCAGCATGTGCAAAGGCCCTGGGGCCTCCCAACTCCCCACTCACTTTGAAGCTGCCAGTGGCGCCCCTGGCCCTGGAGTTGACCGGCCTGGTGAGCAGTCCTCTCCGCATGCCCGTGTCCAGGGCCTGCTTCAGCAGGTACTTGAAGCGCCCGGCGTCCGCCGCCGTCGGGTACTTGCTCTGGATGTAGACTTTGATGGCCACCACCGACATGCCCCGCGACATGCCCCGCGGCTGCTCTCTGGCCTTCAGCGCCTCTAACACCATGCGGAGCATCGTGGGATTCCGGCGGAAGACCCAGTTGTAGCTTTGGCCTGCGAGGGACGGCAGGACCTCAGCCGGTGCACCCTGCAGTCTAACCCTCTATGCACCAGCTGTTGCAGAGCCCCATGGGTGGAGGGTCAGGGCTTTTTGAAAAAAAAATAGACGGGGCCAGTTGTCCACATGTAATCACCGATGCAGAGGACGCCCGGGGGGCTCTGGGGGACAGCCACAGGGGCGGTGTCTGCAGAACTCAGGCTGCAGGGCTCGCAGCCTGGTTTCTTTTACCCATAAGCCATGGGGCGGGGAGGACGCATCCCACCAAAATCTGCTCATGGGGATGTGGGGGTGTGGCCCAGTGGCAGAGCTCATGCTAAGGGGAGCCACACCCTGAGCTTCATCCCCGGGGCCCAAAATACTGTGCATATATTTATATACAATATCCCAGCGGCTCAGGAGGCTGAGGCAGGAGGATTGACAGTTCAAAGCCAGCCTCAGCCAAAGCGAGGCCCTAAACAGCTCAGGGAGGCCCTGTCTCTAAATAAAATGCAAAATAGGGCTGGGGACCGGGCTCTGTGACTGAGGGCCCCTGGGCTCAATCCCCAGTATTTAAAAAAAAATCAGATTAATGGCTGTTAAGGGTTAGGGGTTTAGAGGTGGCGATGGGGACAGACTGGTAATTGGCACAGGTTTTCTTTTTGTGGAAATGAAAATATTCTAAAAACTGAACAGATATGTGCTGGATGTACTCAGAGCCGTTCTCTTTAAATGGGTGAATCATGTAGTTTGTGAATGATCCCCAAGTTATTTTTTAAAATTTTAGTTATTATTTATTTATTTACATCTCTGGGACTGAACTCAGGGACACTCAACCCCTGAGCCCCGTCCCCAGCCCCTTTTTATATTTTATTGAGAGACAGGGTCTCGCTGAGTGGCTTAGAGCCTCACTAAGTCGCTGAGGCTGGCCTCCAACTTGCCAGCCTCCTGCCTCAGCCTCCTCCCTCACTGGGATTATCGGCGGGAGCCATGCACTCGGCATCATTTGCAAAATCTAGGACTCCCCACGGGAATCCCCTGGCTGCAAAAGATTTTTTAAAATTTGTTTTTTAAAGTGGGGGACAGAAACGGGAATCTCACCCCAAACTCGAGACCTAGAAGCAAATTGTGGAGAGGCCTAACCCAAGGCCCCCTCTGCAGGCCTCCGGGGGGAAGGAGCCCAGGGCCTGGGGTTGCTCTGGGTGGGACGCAGCCTGGGAGCCGGGACGCCCGGGCTCAGCCCCCTGTGGGCCTCAGTCTTCCCATCTGCCCAGTGGGGATGGGCACCTGCCCAGGCTCTGGATGAAGAGTCCCCCAGCCCACCCTCTGTAGCACCTCCACCCCAGAGAGCCACCCCCAAGGGTGTTCCCTGGGCCTGTGTCCTCCCCCAGCCCTCATTCAGCACTTATTCCATGCCTGCTGTATACCCAGGTGCCCAAAACAAAAGCCATGCCCCCCCCAACCCGGGCTCCATCTCTCCCAGGAACCCTGTCCCTCCCTGTAGCTACCTCGAGGTCAAGTGGCCAGGGGCCTGGAAATCGGGGAGCCTGGCCCGGCATCCGAGGCCCCTGCTCCGTCCCCTCCACCTCGATGCCCCGCAGCTGTGGCCGGGCCTCCTCCCCCCACCAAGGCTGGCGATGGTTTGCAGCTGGGGAGACGCCATTGGCCTCTGAGGCCTCCCTGGGCCGGCCTCAGCCCCAGGCCCAGGCCTAGGCCTCCCTGCCTCTGCTGGGGCATGAGGTCTTTGGCCAAGTGGTCGGCTGTGGGGACACGGCTATGGGGACGGTGCCAGGGCCAGAGTGGGACAAGGGAGGACTGGGGGGAAGGGGAAGGGCTCCCAGGAGGGGCCCCTCTCTTGCTTACCTGGCTTCTCAGAACCAGAAGGCCCAGATGACCTGGCAGGGGCGCTCGAGGCGGCAACGCTAGTAATTCCGCTGGGAGCCATCAGACAGGGGACGCAGGCCCAGACGTGAGGACGCGGGGCCGCCTCCGCCTCCACTTATACCTTCCTCAGCCCCGCCCCTCCAATTAGCCCTGATGAGGCGTGGCCCACCCAGCAGCTGATCAGGCGGGAGGGTGCAGGGCTCCCAGCAGCTCCTTCGGCCCCAGAGTCCCGGCTCTGCCACCCCGTCCTGGGTCGCTTGGCTTCCCTGGAGCTCAGCCTCGACAGTGAGATGAGGACCCCAGAGCCTGAGGCCACCCCCCACAACCTCTGCCCACCAGGGGCTGGAGACAGGGATGGGGAATTGGTAGCACCTGAGTTTGTGGGCGACCACGGAGGCCCTTCAGTGCCAGGGTGCGAGGGATGAGCTGCTCCAGCCTGGGCCACTGTTCCCAGGCCACCCCCGGCCTCCGTTTCTCAGAAAGTTGGAGGCATGTGGCCACAGGGGCTTGCCTAGATCGGATGTCCCCTCGGGACGCCTTGAAGCCAAGGCCCTTCTATTCTTATTTTATCCTAGGGACTGAACCCAGGGGCGCTTTACCACCCAGCCCCAGCCCCAGCCCTTTTTATATTTTTATTTTGAGGCAGGGTCTTGCCGAGTTGCTGAGGCTGGCCTCCAACAAGCGATCCTCCTGCCTCAGCCTCCACAGTCGCTGGGATGACAGGAGAGCACCACGTTGCCCGGTGCCAATACCTTCCTTTTGTCTTGTCTTTTGGAGAAAAAATAAATAAATCAGGAAGGGGGTCAAGGAGGGGCTCAGCAAAAAATCTTAATCAATAAGGATCAGGAGGAGACCACGCACCCGAAAAGACGACAGGGGACTCTGGGCTCACCCTCTTGTTGGCACTCGACAGATTCAAACGGAGACGGTTCTCAGATACTATTTTCCCCCGTCAAACTGACCAAAGTTGAGATGTTGGCAAAGACGTGGGCCTGGCAGCCCCTGGCGGGGTGTCAATTGGAGCAGGGCCTCCTGGGGCAGGTGATCCCGGGGGCCCAGCCACTCCACGGCTCCCTCCTCGGGGCTCAGCTGTATTATCTGGAAAAAGGAAAAAAAATATATAGATTTATATATTAGAAGTAACTTCCACGAGGCTCGCAGGGTCCCGGTTCGATGATTTCGGGCCTGGAGACTACTTTTGCAGCCGTTTAAGATGACGAGGTGGATTCCAACGAGGGTGACGTGATGTTTCACACGGAGCAGGTGACAAATATTGAAGAGTCTGTCAAAACTGACACCCAGAGACGTGTCAAAACACGCAGCAGCTGGGAGGGGGGACTGGCAGGCAGCTCAGGCAGCCGTTCCAGAACGTCTGATATCACAAAAGATGGACATGTCCCACCACCTGCCCGTTCCACTTTTAGCATTCACTGAGGGACGCTTATTGTGACACGCGAGAACGTTTGCTGGGATCTCGGCAGAAATCCAAAAACCATCTAAATGCCCGCGAGGAGGAGGGAGCACTAGGCACCCTGTGGAATAGTATACAGCTGTGAAAATGGATGAGCAAGAATGCAGACCGGGCTCCTGCTTGAACACAAAACGTGTGTGTGTGTGTGTGTGTGTGTGTGTGTGTGTGAGAGAGAGAGAGAGAGAGAGAGAGAGAGAGAGAGAGACAGAAGGCACAGAAGGTCTGAAAAGATTCACTCCATCATCACAGCCATGGGCACCCCTGAAGGAGCTATATGATGTGGAAGGTGTGGGTTTGAAAGAGACTTACATTTTTTTTCTTTTTTGCACGTGGTCTCCCTATTGCTGGAACTTTCCCAGAGGACCCTCCATTACCAGAGGTTTGCACTGAGGCAAGCTGTGCCCCTCAAAATGTTATAAAGTTAAAGTGGACCTCACTCTCCTGCCTAGCACCTCCCATGGCTCCCTACTGCCCTTGGGTAAAAGTCGAGGTCTTCCGTCTGGCTTCCGGCACCTTCTTTTCCCTTGAACTCCACCATTCAAGCCCACTGTGGGGTCTGGAGGTGTAGCTCAGAGGCACTGTGCGTAGCATCTACCAGGCCCTGGGTTCAAGGAAGGAAGACAGGGAGGAAGGACCACGATGCGGCTCTTGGAATGGGCTGTGCCCTGACACTTGGGCATTACCCTCTGTGCTTCCTCTGTGTGTGTCAAATTCATGCAAAAACATCCCCACTTTCCACCACCGCCCACATCCATCCTGATCTGCGATGTAACTTTCCTTAGATCTGAGCTGCAACTTGCTTTGATCAATACACTATGGTGGGAGTGATGTCATGCACGTCCCACTGCCCTACAAATTAGCCCTAGCTGGCCTGCTGGAGGCTGAGAGGCCCATTACCCAGTCACCCCTACTGTCCAGCCAATCGTTGGCTAGCCAGCTAGTCCCCAGTCAACCTTCCAGTTGACCCGATGCTTGAATGATCCCAACAGAGCTTCCCCAAGCCTGATCCAGATCAGCAGAACCACCCAGGTAATCCACAGAGTTGTGAGCAATGATATGTGGTTTCTTGTTTTAAGCCATGATTTCTGGGACTGTTTGTCATGCAGCACTAGCTAACTGATACACCAAGAATTCTGGGGCTGTTTGTCACGCAGCATTAGCTAACGAATACACATGGCCTAGAAAGTGACCTTCACCCCTATCTAGCTTTTCTGGAATATTTCCCATGCACCTCCCCTGATCCCTAGAAGGTTAGGATGCAGCCACCCCTGGTCTGACCTCTCAGGAGCTCCCAGCATTCCAAGTTACAATTCTGCTTTACCTGTCCTTCACCCTTGAGCTCTGGGGCCTGGGCCTGTTGTGTTCCTTGGAGGTACCCCCAGTGCCACCCATGACACCTGGCATACAGGAGAGGCCTCATGCCACTTGGTAGGACTTGCTAGCCTGCTGCGGAAGTTCCGGTATCACAGCCCGGGGAAGGAGATCCAGACCCCATCTGCTGGATCCAGTGCCAACCGGGGGCAGCCATTTCAATCCCTTTGGTGGGGCGTTTCCAAGAATTGAGAAATACAAAAAAAAAAAAGTGACATAAACATTCTCATGAGCTTTTGCAGAAGCCCCGCTCCGGGGCTGTGCCAGGAGAGATTTTTGCATCGAGGGGGAAGAAGTTCTAAAATGTGCAGCATGATCTAAAAATTCCTCGGGGGGATTTGCCATTTTACAGGGAAATGGTAATCAGGAGCCTCAGACTGCGGGAGAGAGCACGGGCCATTTGATAGACTTTTTTTTTTTTCTTCCCCTGAGGCTTGTCTGAGGTTGAACTTCAGCTGAAAACTTTGCTGCCGTCTTTGGGACCGCGGGCTCCTACCTGTGGACTTTCCTTATGGACTTTCGAAGCGGTTTTAAAGCGTCACTCCAGTCTCTGTAGGATCAGGACATTTTATTTCCGGATTTTAGGTCAATAAATGTAACCTTAATGTCATGCTGTCGCAGGTGCAAGGGAACCTTGCCTGGGGCTGCACGCCTGGCTATAACTTAGGAGGATATTATTCATAGAAGGGGAGTGATGGGGATGAATTTTGGGGGCAGTGAACCCCTGCTTCCCTTTTTCTCTGAGATCCCCCACCATCATATTAACCTCTCCTCCTGTCTCTCTCCTACCACACCCCGGGGCTTTCTCTTTTGAACTTAGTTTTCATCCCTGGGGAGGGAACTCACATTTAACTGAACACCTACTATGCACGGGATCCTTTATAGCAACCATCTCATTAGTCCCTTTAGGAAGTCCTACCAAGTGGCATGATTCTCCTGTTTGCCTAAGGGAGCTTAGGTGTGCGGCAGTCCAGGAGCTTGCCCTGAGGCCACACAGCTGGGAAGACCGTGCACTATCTTTTTGGGGGGACAACTTGGACTGTCAGGGAGGTGTCTCTCTCTACTGGAGACCTGGAGACCGCGGTGAGACCTGCTCCCACCTGACCCCTCTCTAAGTTCACCAGCACATTCTGACCTGGGACGGTTTGCTCGGATTTGGTTGGATTGTATACAACAGGTGATCTAGAAGTGTCCTGGCTGCCTGGAGCCTGGGGTCCAGGTGGGGACAACCTTCCTGCAACTGACACACCCTTCAGGTCTGGCAGTCACCCTGTAAGAGGCGGTCAGGTCCATCTAGATCCAGGGGTAAAGGGGGACATTCTCTCCACCAGGGAGAAGACAGAGAATGTTCTGGTTGGTCAGGAAGCTGTTTCCCGGGACACGAGTCCTCAAAATAAGCAGATGGGGGTAGGGGACCTCTGGGATAGGACAAAAGGGGCAGTTAAAACGCCTCGGCCCTGTTCATTGCCACCCCCCGCCCAACAGAGCAAGGGGCCAGCCATAGGAATGTGCCCAGGGTGGGAGGGCGGCGTGGCGGGGACCTGACGGGCTTAGAGCCCGTCCCTCTGGGCTGATCGCGCCGCAGTTTCCTCGGCCTCCCAAGAGCCCCCTTTGGGTAACAGCTCCCCTGTTTCTATGGGCGAATCCTCCTCTCCCGCCCTCACACTGCTGGGCTCATGTCAGGTTGACGCCATCTTGTACGCTAGGGAAGGGAAGATCAGGTGACCTGAGTCTGGCCAATCAGAGGATGAAACCTCCAACCCAGCCACAGTGATTGGCTTAGGGGGTTATCAGGTGACCCAGGCCTGGCCAATCAGAGGATAGATCTCAGCCCAGCCTCAGTGATTGGCTTAGGGCTTATCATGTGACTTGGACCTGGCCAATCAGAGGATGAATCCTCAGCCCAGCCACAATGATTCACTTAGGGGTGATCACGTGGCCTGATCTTAGCCAATAAGCATCCTGCTGTGGACCTTAGTTGTCCTAAGGGGAAAGAGGCGCCCACTTTCTGCAGGGCTCGCTGAGCTTGGAGTTCCTTGAGCTGTTTCTGCTCCCTCTTGGGGACAGTCGGCCTCTGAATGAAACAGGAAAGAAAGAAGGAGAAACAGAGCTGATCACATCGTTGGAGCCCCTGAATTCAGCTGTGCCTGCAGCCCTGGGCTTTTAATTTAAATGAACCAATAATATCTCCCTTTTGCTTCTGCCCAGCTGAGTTGCAACCCAAGGCATCCTGGCGGACATCTGGAGGGAGATAGCAAAGAGTGGCCATGATTGACGCCCCAGCTGTCCCCTGCCCCACCCCTACGGCACTGAGGTTCTTTGATCTGGGGCTCCTGCATGCTTTCCTGCCTTGGTTTCTCATGGCAGCTGTTTCTCCATCCTGATGCCCCTGGGGGGCGTGTCTCTGGGAAGGCCACCTCTGAGCCTGGTAGTGCCAAAGTGGGTGACCATCTGCAGCATCCAAGGGAGTATTTAAGCAGCTAACAAAAAACTTAGAGAGATAATATAACTTGCTCCTGGTTTCACAGGTCCCCTGGGTCTCTCTGGATTCCCAAGTTAGGTTTCCTCCATTCTGAGGCTGCGCCCACCCCTCACCCCCAAAGGGGCTCTGGGCTGCTTGTCTCTGCCCATTGGGCAATCCAGCACCCCCAGGGCCAGGGATCAGGTGGAGGATGCCCAGTTTCATTCCGTCCTGCAGGGGAAAAGCTTCAGAGGGAAAAAAAAAAAAACCACCACAGCTCATGCAAAGTCTAAGAGATGAGCTTTTAATGCCTCCATTTGTCCTGGTCTCCCGGCAGAGATGGAGACAGCTAGAGCTTCCAGCTTTGGTTACGTGGCAATGGAGCCGCTCATTTTTGATGTCCCAGGGTTCCGGCATAGACAGAGAATGGGCCAGCAGCTGCCTGAGACGGGCTCACCCATCAAGGGAGCTGGAAACCGGGACCCATGAACCTCCCCCAGGGAAGGGCACCGGGCTCTTTCCTACCCTTTGTTTCTAAGTTCTTCAAGCTTAGAAAATAACCCTGGGGACTCAGCTGTCCATTAAGTTTGGCCAGGTCAGCATGGCTTCTAGAAGTTTCCTACTGGCCCTGGGCAGAGAAGCAAAGCTTCCCAAAACCCAAAGCGTCTCCATATTCTGCATTGGGACGGGGAGGCTCTGGGCCAGGGGCGCCACACTGGAGGGGAGACCCCAGGCCTCCTTGGCTCCAGCCCCCACACCCAATGTTTGACACTATTCTGCTTTCCTGTTATTGTCTCTTCCTCGAGGCTCCCGGCCTGTCCCCAGTCCACGTCTGGACCCAATGCCTGGCTAATATTTAAAAACCTGCAAAGGGTGCGCGAAACCCCATTGTGCTGATGCCCTGTCCCCAGATGGTCACTATCAAGCAGAAATGATCAAATTAATTGTATTGATTGATGTTACCAATGACGGTCACAGCCGTGTGGACAGCCACTCAGTCTATTTACAGAGAGATTAAACACACTCACGTGCACTCACACTTGGTGTTTGCAGCAGCTGCGTGTTGGTGTCAGGGAACTGGGATTTCATTCTCGGGGGGACAGAGTGAGACCCCGTCGAGGGAGCAATGAGTCCTGGGCCACCTGTCCCACTTTTGCGGAGCGGGTGGGGGGGGGTCTGGGAGGACAGACGTATATGTTAACTCCTTCACCCACTCCTTCCTTTGTCTGTCTAGCATTTATTAAGCACCTACTATGTGCTCCGTTCGGTGCTACCACACCGAGCCCTAAGCTGAGACACCTCCCCAGAGAGGAAAAGTTCTCATGTTCCTGAGAGATGAGTTGGGGGGAAGAGGGGACAGATCCTGCTGGCCCCTGGGAACCGGGGGACCTGAGTTTGGGGGTGGTCTTGGTTGTCAGGCTGTCCTCTGAAATTAGGGAGCCTCGTTTTTTTCTTCTCATTCTTTTTTTTTTTTGGAGGGGGGAGAGGGTACTGGGGGATTGAACCCAGGGGCACTTAACCACTGAGCCACCTCCCCAGCCCTTTTTTAAAAATTATATTTTATTTAAAGACAGGATCTCCTGGAGTTGTTCAGGACCTTAGTAAATTACGGAGGCTGGCCTCCAACTTGCGATCCTCCTGCCTCAGCCTCCCGAGCCGCTGGGATGACAGGCGTGGGCCACCACTTTAAAAGCAAACAAACCCAGGGAGTCTGTGTGACCTCCTTCGACAGGCACTGCTCCTGGGCAGGTGGCTGTGGCTGGGAGGGGAGGTGGGGGATAGGAGACTCCTACAATCTGTCGAGATCCGTTGGCCACAGGGTCCTTGGCAGGGCTTAGGCTGGGGCCACCTGGCTGGTCTCCGTCCTGGATACGGTGGTCGAGGCCTCGTCCTCACCCAGTGGGTTCTTGCCACAGCAGATGGTGGTGAGCATGCAGTTCCGGAACTGGAAGGTCAGGGGGTGGAGTCAGGGCCAGGTTGTCCCCAAAGAGCAGAGCAAACCGGCACTGGTCAGTGAGGCCCCCTGCCCTGCTCCTGCCCCCCACAGCCTCCACTCCCCTCTCCAACCCAGCTCTCTGAAGGAAACCTGTTGAATATAAGTTCCCCTAGGCCGTGGAGACACCCGGGATGCCACACAAAGGAACTTTGTCACCCATGCCACCCCATGGCATCCTCCATGTGCCAAGGGCATTCCGTAAAAGTATCTCATTTAATTCAAGAGTGATCCTCCTGCCTCAGCCTCCCTAGCCACTGGGATGACAGGTGCGTGCCACCTCGGCTGGCTCTCATTGATTCTTTAAAAGCAAACAAACCCTTTGGAATGCTGCCCTTTCAAGGGAGGAGGAAATTGAATGAAGCCCAGAGAGGGAACTTGAGCAGCCTGAGGTCACACAGCTACGTAACAGCAGAGCTGGCATTGGAACCCAATGTGCCTTGCTGCAGAGAACAGCTCCCCACCGTGGATTCCACAGAGAAACCTGCGATTTTTGGTACTAGATCCCTTTATCCTATGATTGGTTCGGTTTTATGGAGACTAGGACTGTCCCGATCCCAGGCTTGGAATTATTTGACATTAGTTTGTTCATTTTGGTACCAGGGACTGAACTCTGGGGTGCTTCACCCCTGAGCCCCGTCCCCAGCCTTTTTTATATTTTATTTAGAGACAGGGTCTCCCTGAGTTGCTTAGGGGCCTCACTAAGTTGCTGAGGCTGGCCTCCAACTGGCGATCCTCCTGCCTCAGCCTCCCCAGCCATGTGCCTAAGGAGGCTGTACCATTTGACTTTTAAACCAGGCTTCCAGAACCCCCTGGAGCATCAGGTGACAGTCCCACCCTGGAGCATCAGGGGCCCCCAGAGGGCTTGTGAGAAATGCAGGTTCTGGGGGGACGGGTCACCACCAGAGTGAGCTCTGAAGCCACCAGCTCTGGGTGGGACCCAGGAATCTGCATTGATCCCGAGCTCCCGGGTGGGACTGTCAACCCCAGGTCCCTCCATCCCAGCCCGCCACCAGGACGGCCCTGGCCCCAGACTGTAGCTCGTGCCCCCTGGGCAGCAGCCCTGGCCCGGGGACGGTCCCCTCCCACCTGCTTGTTCATCATGATGTAGATGACAGGGTTGTAGAGGGCGGAGCTCTTGGCGAAGAAGGCGGGGATGGTCATGAGGACGGGGCCGAAGTCGGAGCCCTGGTGGGTGAAGATGTGCACGGCCACGCTGGCGTAGGGCACCCAGCAGATGAGGAAGGCGACGACCATGATGATGACCATGCGGGTCACCTCCTTTTCTGCCTTCTGGGTGGTGGCCGACTCCTGCTGCTGGGCGGCTGCCTGCAGGGACACGGGAGAGGGACAAGGGACCGGATGGCCTCGGATGACAGCGCCCCGCGGCCTTCCCCTCCAGCTCCCCGCCTGGGCTCAGGGTGGGAGCTGGGGCTGCGCATGCGCGTTAGCGGGTGGGCGGGGCTCCGCGGCCTCCCGGGCCTCTACCTCCTTGACCGTGAAGAGCAGCCGGCCGTAGCAGAAGAAGATGATGACCAGGGGGATGGCGAAGTGCACCACGAACATGTAGATGACGAAGGACTCGTTGTTGAGCTCGGGCTTGGGCGTGTAGTAGTCGATCCCACAGGAGCACTGCATGCCTTCGGGGAGGTACCTGGGGGGAACAGGGCATGGGGACACGGGTAAGGGACACCCCAGCCCTGAGCTGTCGACACACCTGCAGCAATGGCTGCACCCTCACAGAACCCCCCCACCCTGTCCCCATTCACCAGGCCTCTGCCTTCTGGAGGCCCCAGGTTATGCAAGGCAGAGGGGACATGGCTTGCAAGTGCCCTGTGATTGCAGCCCTTTTGTACAAATTGGGGTCTTCGGGCCAAAGATGGACGTAAATGCATTTAAGGGGTCTTTGTGCAATAACGGAAATCAAGAGGCCTGACGCCCGTGCTTGTGGCACACTCCTGTCATCCCAGCAGCTCCGGAGGCTGAGGCAGGAGGATCGCCAGTTGGAGGCCAGCCTCCATAATTTAGTAAGGTCCTGAACAACTTAGCGAGCCCCTGTCTCTAAATAAATCCAGAGTGGCCGCTGGCTGTGACAGAGGGTGTGGGGGCCAAATTGGAGAAGATGGGCAGGAGCCGGGGTGGACTTGAACCCAACCAGCCTGAGAGCTGGACCCCAGGAGGACGGAGGGAGGAGAGAACTGAGGAGAGAGGACAGGAATTTCCCAGAACAGAGGGACACGAGGCCTCCGGGCACCTGAGTCACCTCTCTGGGTGTCCAAACCACTGTCCCCACTTCTTGTCATCTGGAGACGGTGGCTTGGAGGTCAGATGGGACTCAGTTGCCAGGGGACACAGGGTGGCCCTCTGAGGCCGACTTGGCTTTTCAAGGTGCTGAGGCCCAGGGTCGGGGGAGCCTCCTGTGGGACGCTGGGCCAAAGAGGATTGGAATTTGGCCTTGGGCTTAGTTGAGGGTTATGGGGGCTCAGCCAAGACGGTGTAGGTTTGGCACGATTTGACCCAGCTCTCCCACTCCTCGGGGTGGACCCAGAGGACTTAAAATCAGCCTACAACAGTGACGCAGCCACATCGGTGTCGACTGCAGCTCATTTCACAATAGCTGAGCTCTGGAACCAACCTGGGTGGCCTTCAACAGGGGAAGGGATAAAGAAACTGTGGTCTGTATACACAGTGGAATATTACTCGGCCATGAAGAAGAATGAAATCGTGGCATTTGCCAGTAAATGGATGGAACTGGAGACTCTCATGCTAAGAACCGGAGACCCGTCCCCCCCAAAACACAAAGGGGATGAAGGGAAGGGAGGGGGATGGGAATAGGAAAGACAGTGGAATGAAGGGGACCTCACTTTCCTGTGACACTCCACATCAGGTCCAGCCATTAGGGTCCTGACTGGGAGACCTGCAGCCCGCTCTCTGCTGCTCGGTGTCATTACCTGGACCAGCCGAAGAGGGGCGGGACGGCACAGGCCGAGGCCATGATCCAGGTGAAGATGACCCCCATGACCGCGTGGTTCTCCCCAAAGCGGAAGTTGCTCATGGGTTTGCATACCACCATGTACCTCTCGATGGCGAGGACCACCAAGGACCACAGGGCCACTTCGCCTGCAAGACAGTCAGCCATCAGTCACCTGCCAGCCCTCGGCCTGTCCAGAGATGGGGAGACGGTGACCGGAAAGGCCACCCCAAGGACTCAGAGAGGGCTCAGACAGGGAGAGAAGGGACAGGGGGCAGGGCAGGGGCCCAAGATGCCAAGGAGTGGAGTTTGTGGGGGCCACAGCAGGGTTCCCTGCAGGGAGGAGGCTGATTCCCGCTGGGGCCCCCGGTGGCGCCGGCCTGTGATATCTCAGCAATTTGGGAGGCTGAGGGAGGAGGATTGCAAGTTAGAGGCCAGCCTCCGCCATTTATGGAGGCCCTAAGCAACTGAGCGAGAATCTGAGAATTAAAAAAGTAAATAAATAAATGAAAAGGGCTGGGGATGTGCTAAAGCAACTCTGGGTTCAATCCCAAGTAGCCACACACAAAAAAATGTCATTATCTCCAAGGTCCCTTGTCACCCCTGCCACCCCTGCCACCTACCGCCCAGAGTGGCAAAGAAGCCCTCCACGAAGCACCCGGTGCGCCCGAAGACGAAGTAGCCGTTGAGCGAGGTGTAGACGGTGGTGGTGAAGCCGAAGAGCACCATGAACAGGTCGGCGGTGGCCAGGTTGAGCAGGATGTAGTTGAGGGGGGACCGCAGCTTCTTGTGCTGCACGGTGACATAGAGCGTGAGGAAGTTGACGGGGAAGCCCAGGAGGATGAGCAGGAACATGTAGGCGGCCAGGAGGGAGAACTGCCAGGGCTCGGCCAGGTAGTACTGCGGGTGCTCGAAGGGGCTGCGCACCACCCCGGTGGCATTGGAGAAGGGGACATAGAAATCGGGGCCCTCGGTGCCATTCATGGCTGTGGATCCCACCCCAGAGGGCTGCTAGGCGCGGCCACCCGGGGCTCCCGCTGGACTGCGGGCTCTGATCCCCGCCCCCAGGCCCTTATAAAGTGACCTTCGGTCCCTAAGCTCTGGGCTGAGTCAGCGCCCTGGAGATGGGGTGCTCCTAATCACCTTAATCCCCGCTGCGACCAGGGCCACAGGCACCTGCTAGAGGGGCCAAGGTGACACTCTGGCCGGGAAGCCTGGGGTCAGGGCGCTGTCCCTGGCTGGTGTGTCTCAAGCTCCTCCTGACCTGGGTCTGGGACCTTGGGATGCCAGGATCGTCTCCCCAGCCGCCTCCTGGCTCTGCTGTCACCTGCCCCTGACACACAGGCTGCTTGGGGTTGGGACCCACTGCTCCAGGAGCAGCCACAGGGGATCTGAAGACCCAGAAGGGAGTGGCCCTGGCCAGGGCGGCTTGTGGGCTGAGGGTCAGGGAGGGACCAGAATCCAGCTCCGGGAGGGGGTGGCCGTGAGGCTGTGGAGACCCCCCGGGGACAAAGAGGCAGGCCAGGGAGCCCAGGGGGAGGACATGGGCCGGGGGCTGGGGGGCAGAGGCTTGGGCAGATCTGCAACCCAGAGAGGTGACGCAGGGGACAGAGACACCAAGACCCCCAGCCCACCAAGCTCATTTTAGGGGGGAAGGGACTGAACCCAACACGCTGAACCCCTGAGCCACATCCCCAACCCTTTTCATTCTATTTCGAAACAGGGCCTCCCAGAGTTGCTGAGGCTGGCCTCCGACTTGCGATCCTCCTGCCTCAGCCTCCTGAGGCCCTGGGATCATAGGCATGCGCCACCATGGGCCTGGCTCAGACTCTCTTTTTACAAGATACTTAATCCCTGGCTTCAGTGAGGTCACTCATCTTCTTGCTGACCCACAGCTCCTGTCTCTCTGGAACGTAGGCTCATTGCTGCCTGGGAGCTGGCAGTCCATGCTAGTAGGTGCTCAATAAATACTCAATAAATACTGGTGCAGGACTGTGACTCTGGGGGAGGATTTGCGCAGGGACAGCCCTTAAGCCTCCACTGGAAAGTCTGGGTCAGCACCCCCCCCCCATGGCTTAGCCTCAACCGGATGTGTCACCAGTGAACGCTTAGGCTGAGCCGAGAGTGTCAAGGGAATGAGAGAAGGTGACAGACCCTCCCTCCTTCCCTCCTTCCCTCCTCTCTTCCTCCTCCTCACTTTTGCCAAACACCCTCCAGGGCAGGGTGCCGGCTGGGCACTGAGGACCCTGAGCTGCATCCCGAGGTCTCCACCCTCCTGGTCTCGGGGGACAGCAGATGGGGCAATGGCTAACTGGAGAGATGGCCATTTGCTCCCAGTCCCAGCGTCTTTGAGGCCAGAGGAGCCAGAGGTGGGCCTGGAGGGTGCCTGGGGGCTCCCCAGAGGGGCTGCCGGCCTCAGCAGGGCATCTGGGGGTGCCTGTCCCCATTCCTGTCATCATCATCGGGATCCTAGGGGTCCTCAGGAGCACCTCTGAGCCCCGTCGGCAGGTGCACACCGAGGCTAGCCTCCCGTGCTCCAGGGGGAGGACCTTGGGTACAGAGGGAGACTAGGGCTGGGTGGATGCGCATGCGCATGCGCAGAGCCTGCCTAGGTTCAGTGGGAGGAAGAGTCTCCGGGCCTCGGTTTCCTCGTCTGTGTCCTGGGCAGCCTTGGGGGTCCTGGGGGTGCCACCAGAGGAGCGTGGCCATCCAGGGCTGCAGGACTGGGTCTAGTTACTGGGCCCAGAGGAGGGGAGCTGCAGCCCCAGGCGGCCCCCCTGGCTCCCGCCAAGACCATCTGATCTGTCACTGTGATTGACGCCTGTTGGGGAGCTTCTTTCTCCCAGCCATATGCAAATGACTTCAGTTGAGGAACCGCTAATGGGAACCCTAACACATTAATAAATGTTTAGCGAGAGAGCGAGCACGCACGCTCCCAGTCATTAGCCGCTGACGGGGGAGTCTGTTGGCACAACTGTCTGGCTGCCATTCTTTGTCCCCCCCCATCATTTCCAAAGAGCGATGCGGAGGGAGGTGGGGAGGGGGCGGGGTGGGGGCAGGGAGCCTGGGGGCGGGGCTCCAGCCCTCCTGCCTGGGCCTCTGCCCCGCCCCCTTCAAGAGGGCCCCTAAGGTGTCATCGAGATGGAGTCCTGCGGGGTGGCCTTCTGCCTGACCCACAGACAACTCCTGAGGAGCCCCTGGGCCTCGGCATCTCCCTTCCCCACTGGCTGCAAAATGGGGCTGATGTCCCCCGCCTTGCTCAGTGGCCTGGCTTGGACTTTGGCAGTTGGCCGTCTCCAAGGGAACCCACTGGCTTGGGGACCTGGAGGGGAAAGGCCGACTCAGGGGGGCTGGGGCGGTGTGGAGGGAAGGTTCTAGAAGCTCTGGGCAGGCGCCTTTATTTCAACCTCTGCCATCTTGTTGGGAGCCAGGTATCTCATTTTCTTGTCAAGACAGATCCCCATTAAACCAGAATAAATAAACCAAAAAACCTTCCCGGCTCCCCTGCCCCTTCCCATATTGCCATTCCGATTAGATTAGATTTTAAGAGCGCAGCGAATGCGATGTTCCTTTCGGATCAAATTAGAAACAGGTGCACTTTTGCATAAGGAAATTAAGTTGCAGACAATACGAAGCTTTGCTAAAACGCAGACACTGATGAAAATAAGTAGCCCTTTTATTTGTCATTATTGAGGCAGTCTGTTGGCCTGCGCGGTGCGCGCCTCCTGGGCGGCCGGCGGACTCCACTACCCGGGCTGCCCCTCCACTACCCGGGCTGCCCCCCCACTACCCGGGCTGCCCCTCCACTACCCGGGCTGCCCCCCCACTACCCGGGCTGCCCCCCCACTACCCGGGCTGCTCCCGAGCTCTCAGGTCTTTTCTTTTTCCTTAGAAAATATAGGTGCGTCCTCTCCCCAGCCCCTGGTGCTATTTACAAGGCACAAAGTGCCAGAAGTAGGAATCCTGCGGTTCCGGGAGGCCCCTCCCTGGAGCACCAACTGCATCTGGGCGGCCGGGACCCTCCTCCTTCCTCTCCGCAGGCCGCGGGTCTGCAGGGCGGTCAGGGGCCGGGGTCGTCGATGCGCCTGCGACAGTAGGGGCAGCAGGTGTGCTGCAGCACCAACAGCTCATAGTCCTCCGAGTGGAACATCTGGGAAGAGAGGGCGAGAGCCGGGTCCCAGCCCGCGCCAAGTGGGAGTCAAGGCCAGAAAGAGCCGGGTGGGCCGGGTGGGGGGTCGGGGCTGAGGCGCCCTTTTCCTGAGGGAAGTTCAAGGTGCGCCCTCGGTGGCCCCGCCCACCGCCCCTCCGTCCCGGGAGGCGCAGAGCGCGCAGGCCACGTGACGCCCTGCAGACAGCAGGTGGACTGCCCCTGTCCTCCTCGCTCAGGGCAGCGGCCCGTGCCCCTGATGCTCCGCCTCCCCAGGGGACACTTGGGAAGTGGAAGGACAGCACAGGGAGCCCCTGGGAGCCGTGCGGGCTGGGGGCGCAGTACCTGGAAGCAGGAGGGACACATGGTGATGGAGGCGTCGGGCAGCAGCGAGCGGAAGTACTGCCACTGCAGGGGCGGCGGCCAGCGCTTGATGAGGACGTCGCGGCGGCTCATGGAGCGCAGCACGGTCCGGTTCACGACCACAGGCACGAACTCGGAACCGCCTTGCTGCAGGGGGACGCGGGGCAGGGCCCTCACTCAGCCTTGGGGACACGATTGTGTGCACCGTGGTCCTGACTCTAGGGTGGCCAGGAAGGGCCCGGGAGCTTCCCACCCCAGGTGGCCCTGGCAGCCTCAAGTGCCTCCTGGGGCCAGAGTTGCAGGGAAGTGGTCCCGTCCCTCCCTCCAGCTGCCACCTCCTCCTTGGCATGTCCCCTTGGCAGCCTCTGAGGCCCCCACCTCGAAGCTCAGCTTGGCGGTGAACGGGTCTTCGCCTCCCATGGGGTCCATGGCCTCGTCCAGCCGCAGCGACTGGGAATCTGGAGGTTTCTGGTCAAGGTCGAACTGAGAGGCCGGGCAGGGGACAGGCACCACCCTCCTCCCAGTGTGTTTTGACTCAGGGGCACTCAGACAGGACGAGAGGGGCGACCAGGTCCCAGGAGGAGGGATGGAGGGGCAGGGACCAGGAGGGAGCCAGGCCTGACTGCAGAGAGGGTGGCCGCCCTGCCAGGCCATCTGCGGCCTCCCCACCTGCTCCCAGGTCCCAGGGGCTGCACAGGGCCACCTGTTGGGGGAAGGGTGAGGTGGTTGGCAGGTGCTGTGACGGCTCTCAGGTCACAGGGCATGGGGAGCAGGGGTGGGGGAGCTCCACAGACCCCTGGGCTGGCTCAGGCCAGCCTGAAGGTGTCCGGGTCCTCCCCTCTACGAGGACGGTGGCAGAGGCTGAGGGGCTCTCGTGGGGACGACCCCTGGAGGCTGCTGGGAGCGGGGCAGGGAGCATGGGGCTGATGGCCAATGGCAGCTGACTCTCGGGTCCTCTTCTGGCCTGTGCTCCTCGCAGCATGGCCGTGCTTGGCGGAGTCGCCTGGGAGCTTGCTAGAGGCAGACTCTCGGAGCCCCCTGACCTGGTGACTTGGCCGCCCGTGACGGCAAGACCAGGCGCTGTGTGGGCCTGTTCCTGTGAGAGGCCCCTCCTGGGTCCAGCCTAGGGACACAGGGCCCAGCTGGGCAGGTAGCATCCCCCTTGCCCGAGGACAGCTGTGGCCCCAGGTTGCTCCAAGGGACTGTGCCCTGGGGTTCTGTGGTCAGGAGGAGAATCGACTCTTCTGAGGGTGCTGGGCTGGCACCGTAGGTGGCCACCTCTGTCACTATGTCGTGGGACAGAGCTGCCTAGAGACAAAGCTTACCCAGGGACAGGACAGGCGGCAGGAGCCGCGCAGCCTCCGGCCATGTGGAGGGGCACCCTCTGCTCTTGGCTTCTTATTCCCTCTGTTTGCTCAGCTGTCTCTGAGTTGAGGTTCCTGTCACTGGCATGTAGGAGTGACCTGACTGCCAGGCACATGGCACACACTGTAACCACCCATGCAGGAGGGTCGCAGGTTTGAGGCCAGCCTGGGCGACACAGTGAGACCGTGTCTCAAAATAAAAATAAGGCGGGTGTGGTGGCGCACACCTGTCATTCCAGCGACTCAGGAGGCTGAGGCAGGAGGATCTTGAGTTCAAAGCCAGCCTCAGCAACAGCGAGGTCCTATACAACTCAGGGAGGCCCTGTCTCTAAATAAAATGCAAAACAGGGCTGGGGACAGGACTCTGTGACCGAGTGCCCCTGAGTTCTACCCCCAGTACCGAAAATAAAGAGTAAAACCATAAAAGGGCTGGGGGTGAGTGCTGCCCTGGGCTCAGCCCCCAGGGCTGCGGAATGGAAATACCTGACCATGACGCTGAGCTGCCGGCCACGGAGCCCGCACTCGTCTGGAAGGCATGGCTGCAGCACCTTGAGGAGCCGGGGTGGGGACAGGCCCCCAGGAAGACCAGGTGCCCCCCCCCGCGTCTGGCTGTGGACCCTGGCAGCCCGCTGTCCGTCCTCACTGCTGTGGGGGACTCGCCGACCTTCCGCAGCGCTGAGGCTGGGGTCAGCAGGCTGCCACCGGCTGGCCCTCTTGATCTGGCCCCGACTGTCACAGGATACTGGGGCTGGTCACCTCTTGCCATTTGCTCTCTCGCTTGTGTCTGGGGGCCTCCAGGTCGATGAGGGCGACGGCCTCTTCGTCGGTGATGCCCTCCTCCAGGTAGAACTCCACCAGGTGCAGCACCTCTGGGGCACGGGGAGGGTTGGTGACAGGCTCCGGGGGACCGGGGCCAGCGCTCTCTCTAGGCCACCCGCGGGCAGCCAGAGTGACCCAGCAGGCTTCTCCAGGGGCCAGAGCTGGGCCTGAGCAGTGCCTCCTCCCGTAGCTGAGGGGCTCCTCAGAGGGAGGGGGCTTCTGGGGGTGTCCACAGGGAAGAGGGGACCCGATGCTGAAGGCCTGGCCCGGCCCTGCTCTGGGCACTTTGTCACGGCGGCCTGCACCGGGAGCTGGCTGGGCTGTGGGGGACCCAACAGTGGCTCTGTCAGGCGGGGTGGGGACACACAGGGCCCAGGTCACCAGTGATGACCCTCAGAGGCCTTCGGGAGCTCGCCCCGTGTCACGTGGCTGGGCAGCAGAGGAGGGGCCATCTGTGTGGCAGGACTCACCGTAGGACGAGGCGGAGAAGACGAAGGGCTGGCGGCAGTTGACGCAGACGTTGCCCAGGTTGTTGAGCAGGGGGTTGTTGGTGGAGCAGCGGTAGCACAGGGGGACCAGCTCCTGCCAACGCAGCACTCGGTGGCCTGGGCCCGAGCAGAGGTGGCACCCCACACCTGCCCTGTCCCTGGCCTCGGCCCTCTAGGACCCGATGTCAAAAGGTGTGGGCAGGAGGGGGCCCTGGGGCCAGGAGTCACATGCTGGGGACACAGGTGACACCCTACAGGAGTAACTGGGGCCTGCCACTGGGGCCACTGCCCAGGCCACCTCCCAGGCAGGGCTCAGCAAGGCGCTGTCCTGGTGGGAAGGACAGTAAGGGCAGCCATCCTTGCCTACGCCACCAGACACCTGTGCTGGCACGTCTGTCCCCACCACCAGCAGTGGGGAAGGTGTCACGGGTCCCCAGCTGATAGCAGGGCGGAGTGTGGAGCCCAGACCACAGCGGCCATCTTCCCACAGGACCCAGGCCCAAAGCCACAGGCGCCTGGAGGGAAGGAGCAGCCCCGCCAGGGAAGGGGGCGACCTCACCTCGCTGTCGTGGAAGGGCTTGGAGCGGATGGTCAGGCTGCCCAGCTCGATGGACTTCTGGAAGCGGGCGGGGCTCTGCAGGCCCTGCAGCCGGTCGTAGGCGTGTCGCGCCAGCTTGTAGGCGCCCAGGGCCTTGCTCTGCTTGGCCAGCGTGAAGAGCGTGTTCCTGGCAGGGGCGACGTTAAGGACGGCGGGGGCCGAGCGGGCGCCAGAACTGCGGGTACTTCCCCGGCCCAGTGGGCGACCTCTGAGCCACAGCCTCCCGCTCTCCGGGGCCATCCAGCTGCCCAGCCTGAGGTGACGGGGCTTTGTGCTGGGACCTCTGGCTGTGACCAGGCCCTGCCTACCCTCCCAGCCCCCTGTGAGCCTCAGCTCGCTCCTGAAGCCAAGTCCCATGTCCCCACACTCCTGTCGCCAGGTGGCCCCTCAGCTCCAGCAGCTGGGGGCTGGTGACTCCTCTAAGGCAGGGACTATGCCGGGAGCCATGTCCAGGTCCCAGGACACAGCACAGGACAAGGCTCGGGGCAAGCTCTGCTGACCTTGAGAACTTTCTGGAAAGGCCAGGTAGCAGGGGCTGAGGTCGGCAGGCGTGGCTGTCTCGCCCGCCACTCAGCAGGGCCTTGGTGGGTGAGGCACCCCTGGATTTGGGGACTTTCCCCTCAGGGGTGAATGATGGGCCTGGAGTCATGAGAGAGGCCAGCTGTCCCCAGGCCCTCTGCCAGGGGGTGCCTCATAGAAAGGCGGCAGGGATGGGTTGAGGAAGAGTGCACTGAGGAAGGGACAGGGGACAACTGTGGCTTTCATGATGCTCAGGACCTTAAAGACAGGTCCTTCCTGGCCACACAGGCCCTGCAGGCCCTCACTGGCCACAGGACGAGAAGCCAACCCGCGGCGAGGTGCTCCACTGGGCCCCCAGGGTCCTCCCACAGCCACTTCCCCCGGCATCCCAGCCCCGGCTGTGTCTACTCTTGGGCACGACACACACTCTCTGAACCTTGCTGCCTGTCACCTCCACAATAGCTGGCAGCCTTGTCACCTGGTACCTGGGGCCCTGTAGGCCTGGCTGACAAAGGCCACCCCACGGGCCCCAGGGAGTGTGGAGGGCCTGGGCTGACGGCCTGCTGCCTCCTCCAGTCTGTCACGCCCACTGCGGTTTGGGGGGAGGGGGGGCTGGGGACAGTGTGTTGGCCAGGGACTTGGGCCGGGCTGGGCCCAGAGCTCGGAAAACTAATCCTCTCCTGGCAGCGGCCCCCCTGGCTGAGCCTCTCCCCAGCAAAACAGCAGCAGGAGGCGGGCGGAGAGGCTCTGCCAGGAAGGCCTCCCAAGGCCATTAGAGAGGGCGGGCGGGCGGCGAGGGGACGGGAGGATACACTTTAGAGATGCCCAGGGGGGTGTCCTTGGTCAGGCTGTGCAGCAGGAACCTGGAGATGTTGAAGAGGGTTTCGGGAAGATGGAAGCTGAATGGCTCCTCCTGTGGGGAGAGCAGATGAATGTGAACTTGACCCCCCAAGGGCTCTGCGGGTCAGGCCAGAGGCAGACGCAGGATTCTGAGGCCCTTCAGTGCGTGAGCCTCCTACTGTGTGCTGGGAGCCTCCCGCCACAGTCTCAGGCGGTCTCTCACGTGGGGGATGTCGTGGGGTGATGCCCAGGGAGGGGACCTGCCCGATCAGAGCTGGGGTTCAAAGGCAGGGCTGAGTCCCGAGCCAGGCCTCTCTGCCCAGCTGCGCTGCCTGAGGGGTCCTGATTCCATTTCTCTGAGCTCAACTTGTCTCCAATTAGCTCTAAAAGAGAAGGTCTTTGATGCACTCGGGGACAGGGCCACTGACACAGGCAGGTCCTTGTAGCAGAGGCGTTTAACCCTTTCTGCGCCACCTCCTGGCCCTCTGACAGCCTCCTGAGACATGGGCCACCAAGCATGTACCCAGGCGCCTCTCACTGCCAATCCCGAGCCCCCTGCGCAGCCCTGATAGGTGACACTCAGCACCCATTAGTGCAATGAATGGGTCCCCTGCACCCAGATGCTGCCAGAAAGGCCCAGCAGGCCGCGGGGAATTCTCTACCAAGAGGGCCTGTAAAAGGTTAAGAATACCCTGTTCTGGAAGATTCTGGCACATTGTGTACAGACTGAGGCTGCAATTGCTAATCAAGCTGTGGCCATCGGGGATTCGGGCTGGCCAGCTCCCCGCCTCCCGAGCACTTAAATGGTAATAAGCCGTCACCTCCCCGAGGAGGGTACTGGGCCCTGCTCACCACGGGGCCCCCAGGGCTTCGCCCCTAATTGGTCTCGACCCGAGGGCTCGCTTTCTCCGCCTCTGGAGCGGAGCCCAGCCCCTTCCCTTCCCTTCCTGCCATCTCTGTGGGCTCCCAGAACCCCAGAAACCCTCAGCCACTCCCTCTGCGCTGGGAGCCAGGGAGACGGCTCCTCTGGTTCTGCGGCGCTGGGTGAGGAGGCGTGGAGAGTCCCAGAGAGAACGTGGGGGGCAAGATTAGCACCTCTCCTCTGGAGAGAAGCCATGCGCCTCGAGGATGCAATGCCCCCCTTCCCCGCTCTCCCATCTGTGGCCCTGGTGACAGACCCTGGCCTCCAGCCTGGCCCAGGTTGCACGAGGACCCCTGAGAGGGTCTCATCTTGGGAAAAGCAAAGACGATAAGGGAACGAGGTCCCCGCTGGGGGAGAGGAATGCGGGACTGTCGCAGAGCTAGCTGTGGGGGCTGTCATCCTCCCCCATGACTTTCCCAGGAGGCAGAGGCTGGTGAAGAGGTCTGTGCAGATGAGCAGGAGTGCCAAGGGGAGGCAGGGCCTCGGGTGGCCCTTGGGCAGCAGCCTGTCCCCCACTGCCACGAGACTGCTTTAAAATGGCTTCCTTGAAATAATCAGGGAAAGACTACAGAGCACTCGGTTGGTCTCTGCAGACGAAGCCAACCCTGGCACACCAGTCGGGCGCAGAGAGGTGGGTACGTGGGCCCTGGGGGTTCTGCCCGCCTGCATTTTGGAGAGGTGGCCCCTGCCTGGCTCACCCACTCTGCCTGGGTCATCAGAGGCTGAGCTGATCCGCAGGAAGGCCCGTCCAGCTCTGCGCCATCATCAGACACCCCCCATCATGGCCGCACATCAAGCATGAGGAACACCCAGCTCTTCCTCCCCAGGGACATCAGGAGCAGGTCCTGTTGCCCCAGTGGGTCGGGGTCCCACCCACAGCCTGCTGCTCCTAGGAGGCTCGGGGCGCCTTACCGTGTAGCGGTGGATGGCGTGGTAGCCGTGGTACAGCTCGGCCAGGTGCTGGTAGTGGTGGAACTTGGCCAACATGGCGTCCTTCTGGACAGGATCTGCTGCGGGGCACATGCGTCAGTGGCTGTCTGGAGCCGCTGACCGGCCACAGCAGGGACGGTCGGTGGCGCTGTCAGCACCAGCTCTTTTGAAACACTGGGCCTACCCCAGGGAGAGGGACAGCACTGTGCTTGGGGGCCACACCTAGACGGTGGCCTCTCAGCTGGAAGCATCTGAGGTAAAGAGAAATGCCACCTGCCACCTGGGCTTGATGGTTCTCACTCTAGCAGCCTCCTGGAGGGAGTGGGCCGGGGTCCCTCTGGGGTACGTGGGCACAGAGCTCAGGGAGGAACAGTGACTTGCTGCAGGTCCCTCTGTGGCCTCCGTTCCCAGTGCTGCCCCTCCTGCGTGTGCCCTTGGTCTAGAGGAGATGCACCTCTACCGCCCTGTCCCCCCTTTCTGGACTCTCCCAGTGCATCATGGGAAGTCCTGGGAAGGACGGCATCATGGACACAGTCCTCTGGCGGGGCGAGGGGCCTGCGGTGCGTTATGGTAACGTGATCTCTGCTTCATCTTTTCATTTAATTAAATTCTTTGAAGCCGGGGCCAGCTGCAGGCTCCCGGGCTGCAGCAGAGAGCTGTGCTGAGTTGGGGAGGGAGGGCGGGACCTGCCAGGCGTCACCCCTGCGTGGCCCTGGGACCAGCCGGCTTCTGGCCACACGAGGAGGAGATGATACAGGAGATTGTGCCACTGCGAGGCAGGCTTGGGGACAATGCGCCCCGTAAACAAGCCCAGGGCTTTAATTAAAATGTCCCCGCTGGTCTGATGGTATCTGGGTGCCAGGACGGAGGGACCCACCCTGGGCTATGTCGAGGCACTGCATGGACAGCATCCAGTAGTAATAGGCGGCGTCGTTGAACCTGCTCTCCACCACGGCGTTGTGCGTTAGCTGCTCCAGCACCTGGACCGCTTCCCGCTGCCTCCCGGCCTTGTGGAATGCTGCAGGGGACACAGAGCACTGTCACCAGGGGAGGTGGGCGAGGGGGCCGGTGGAACTGCTCAGAAAGTGGGGCGCCCCACGCGCGCGCGGAGGGAGCATCTGTGGGCCTGGTTGCCGGGATGCTGCCTCTCCGGCCGGAGGCTATAAATAACCGAGGCGACATCCTGAAAAAGCACAGTGCGACGCGCTCCGTTTTGGCTGGCAAGTGGTGACAACCTACTTCAGAGACGCATGGCAGGGAGAGGAACCCGGGGAGCCAAGTCCCAGGGCACAGTCGGAGCGGGAGACTGGCTTGTCCCTCGTGACGAGATGCTCCATTCCACAGAGGGGTTCTGTGACTCTGAGGTGACACCCACGGGCCCCAACCCTCGACGGAGCTCAGTGATTTATAAAGTGCTTTTCACTGCGCCTTAGGTCACTGGGTCACCACAGCAGACTGAGAAGGGACGGTCAGCCTCCGTTTTATCAGGCAACAAAAATGCGCTTTGCCAGGTAGAAGTATAAGGGTCACGTCCAAGGTCAGAACACCGGCCCGGTCCATCTTCGACAGAGCGCTTTTTTTTTTGGTACTGGGTATTGAACTTGGGGGCACTCGGCCACTGAGCCCCATCCCCAGCCCTATTCTGTCTTTTATTTAGAGACAGGGTCTCACTGAGTTCCTCAGCACCTCACTGTTGCTGAGGCTGGCTTTGAACTCGTGATCCTCCTGTCTCAGCCTCCTGAGCCGCTGGGATGACAGGTGTGCGCCACGGCACCTGGCCAACAGTGCTTTTTGATGTCAACCTTGAAAGATCTGTCTCCATCCTCAAAGCCAGACATTTGGGATGAGAAGCAAAATCTTCCTTAATCATGCCCACATCTGTGTACCTGGAATTTCCTGGGCACCTACTACATGGCCAACGGCTCAGGATATTGAGCGCTGCTGGTCAAGCGCTTATGGCTGGGACACTTGACCACAGGTGGACACTCAGAGGACCCAATCCTCCGCCTTTAGAGAAGGAAAGGTCTGGCCTTTGTTCCGTCTCATCTCCAGGCTCCTGTCTGCGTACCAAGTTACTATGGCGATGGATTCTTGGAAGGGCGACCAGACAGATGGGTAGGTTGATGTGTTTTGCCCAAACATGCAGCTCCGTCAGCAACTGGGTGCTCTGGAGATGCTGAGGTGCTGGGGAACAGGCTGTCCTTCAGCGCGGGCTCTTCTCCCCACAGGGAGCCACAGACTCTGCACTGTGTCAGGGGCGACTGTCACCATATAGAGGTGCGGGTGCATCGCTACGGACTGCCACACACCAGGTCGCAGTCAAGCGCCGTCCTGCCCAGACAGCAGAACAGCCAGGTTCCCTGGCGGGACAGATCCTGGTCCAGCTGTGCCTCTGCCTGCCACTTACTAGCCTAGTGACAGTGCAGGGCACGTTTAGCCTCTGCGTCTCTGCAGGGCTGTGGGCAGGATTCAAGGCTGGGCAGGTCAGGTTCCCAGCCATGCTACCTGTGTCGCAGGGCTTTGTGGGGGTGACGGGGAAGACACGCTGCAGTGCCCGGTGCTCTGCTCAGTCACACAGAGGCGTGGAGGGCGGCTGGACCTGCCCAAGCTCCTGCAGCAGGTTGGTGACAGGCCCACACTCCACGTCCCTGTCCTGACTCCCGCTCCAAAGTGTCTCTCAGCGCCTGGGTTGTGGCTCTGTTTGCCTCGCATGCAAAAAAAGCATTTCACCCCAAACAGCCATCCCAGGTGACACCACCTGCCTTGGGACCCGCAGCACAGGCCTGCTAGCTTCGCTGAACCGTGTCTTGGCAGCGCCTCCTCCCGGCCCTGGGGCACCAGGCCAGCCCACGTGGCCTACCTTTCTGGGCTTCTTCGAAGCGATCGTTCTCTGCCAGCCACTGCGCGTAGGGCACATAGATGTCGTCCTTGAACTCGGGGTGCTTCTCGCCCAGAGCAAAAGCCTGGGGGGCAGGGCACACAGTCTTAATGAAGCAGTCCCCGCAACCCCGGGAGACATGGCACTTGGCTGGATCAGGGATGTCATACTTTGGCAGCCTGACATCAGGGATGTCATATTTTACCAGCTCAGAGGGGGAGAGGGCCTCCCTCCCAGCCACCCCCAGCAACACAAAAACATCTCGGCTCTTTGGAAACAAAAGGCAATTAACAGCAATATGCACGCGCCCGCTCCCAGTGACAACACAGGCTGTTTCTGGACCCCAGAAGCCGCTCGGAATCGGAAACATTTTATTTTGAGGGTTTGCGTGGGCTCCTGTCGCCTGCAAACAGATTTCTTTTAATTGCAGGCGACACCTAGGGAAGCAGGACTGACATTCTCCTCGTCACTGCTTGGGGGCTCAGAGGGGACTGGGGCTGTGCTGACGCCTGGGCCCAGACCTCCGGGCAGGCCAGGGGAGCCGGAAACGGGCACAGGGAGGAAGGGCAGGACACCAGCGAGGGCCACGTGGCCCCGAGGTCTCCAGCTTCTGCTGCTAGCGAGTTCCCCTTGAGAAGCCATCGCTGCCTCTGTCCTTGGTGCCACCTTTTCTCATCAGTGTCCTCTGTCCCCTCCCCAAGTGGAGTCACCCAGAGGGCAGGCAAGAGGTAGACTGCTCACCCAGAAAGGGCCCTGCTGACACCCTGGGAAGCAGGCTGCCACCTCGGCTGGGGCCACCTCTCCTGCAGGGGTGCAGTGTCCCCAGGACACAGCCAGCCTGTGAGCTGGAAGGACAGAACTAGGCCTCAGGGCGGGCAGTGAGCCTCAGGTGGCCACGCTTGTGGGTCTGGCCAGTGTGCCCTTCGCCTGCCCGTCCTCCATGCCAGGGGCAGAGGCTGGGGGTGGCGGGTGGGAAGGAGAAGCGCTGCCCTGAGGCGGCTGTGGCACCCTGTGCCTGGAACATAGGGATTGCGTTTCCTGCCAAGATGCCACCCGGCAGGTTTTAAATATCACACAGGTGCACCTCCACGTCAGGCTGCAGGGTGGTCAGCAGCAGGCACAGGGCCGTCCTGCCAGCTTTCCCCGCCCAGAGCTGCCATCAAGAAAGAGCTTCCAAGCTGGGCGCAATGGTGCCCGCCTGTCATCCCAGCAGCGGAGGAGGCTGAGGCAGGAGGATCGCGAATTCCAAGCCAGCCTCAGCAAAAGTGAGGCCCTGAGCAACTCAGTGAGACCCTGTCTCTAAATAAAACGCAAAATAGGGCTGGGGAGGGACTCAGGGGTCGAGGGCTCTCCCAAAAAAGAGCCTCAGAATGCATGAAATCTACACAGAAAGGCCCCTGAAGCTTCTCTGGCTCAGGGACTCAAGGACAGCGCTCCCGATGGCCAGGCCAGGCTCCCCCATCAAGGGAGCACCTCTGCCTGAGGCTCGGGCCCCTATGCCCGGGCGCGCTGTCCCCTCACCTCTTCCCAGCGCTGGGTGTCCACGTGCAGCTGCACCAGGGACTTGAGGTCGCCGATCTTGAGGTAGGTCTCGGCGGCGTAGCCCGGGTTGTCCAGCTTCTTGAAGTAGTGCGCGCACAGCAGCAGGGACTCGCGCTCCGCCTTGTCCAGCTTGCGGGCGATGTCGATCAGCCTGGGGACAGCGGGGAAGGGGCACCCTGTGGGCTGTGTGGGGACACATCTGACGTGCCCGGGTGGTGACTGAGCGAGTGAGCGCCCCAGAAACCCTGCTAGGGACCGTCCAAAGCACCGGGGAGGTGCTGCCACTCCCACTCACAGATGGGGAGACCTGAGGGCAGGGTCACCAGGGAGCAGGAAAGCGGTCTCTCCCCCAGGGTTTCTGGAAGCCTCTCAGCCACGTGGAGGCTGGCATGAGAGATCCCCAGGGCCCGGCCTCTAGAGGAGGAGGCCAGCAGGGCCAAGGTGCTGGCCACTGGAGGGGCCGCGGGAAGCGCTGCTCACTGCATCTGCCATTGTGACCAGCTCGCCCCCTGCCCTTGGGGACCTGGGCTGGTGAACGGGCCTCTTGGTTCTGGCCAGGCCGGGATTTGGAGCTGACCCAGTTCTCTGAGGGCAGGGCCCCCTGTGGCCCGTCTCCATGGGAAGGAAGGCCCGGGATCCTAGCCTCAGAGCCACGCTCAGGAGGGTGTCAGTCTGCGCTCAGAATAATAATGGCATCCAAAAATAACACTGCTCCGCAGAGAAGGGACAGTTTTTAGAGAAGTGGCAAAGGCAGTCGAGAACCTTCGGGCTCCCCGCCCAGTAGCCACATCCCTGGAGGAGAGGCACCTGTTACAGCCACTCCAGGGAAAGGGCCACACAGCATGGAAGTGGCTCCTTCTGGAACTCGGTAAGTGTCCCAGGGTCACATGGATCCGCAACACTTGCCAAGGAAAGTGACATAAGGGAAAACTAAGGGGAGAGGCGGGTCCCGAGAGCTGCCTGGCTTGGTCTGCACCCCCTTTTGTGGACAGGATGATTTGGGGGCCCAGCCTGTGCCTCTGCCTTGGAGACGCTTTCTTCTCAGACAACAGGACGGGTGGTGGCTGCCCACCAGGGTCCCTTTGTGAGGGGCCCCCACACCAACCTCCTGGTGGGCTCGGGGGACCACGTGGCCAGCCCTCTCCCCTCCGCAGGTCCTGGCTGGCCACTGCTACCTGGGGACCACAGTGCGGCTTCCGGAACACCCGGCGGCCCTCAGAGCTGAGGCTCCATCACTTCAAGTGCCTAGGCCAGTGTCCTCCGCCAGCCCAGTGTCCCTGACTGGAGGACCCTGGAGGCCTGCTGTGCATTGGTGTCCCACGGCGTGTCTGGGTGGGAACAGTCACATATCCCTCAGACACAGAGCCACCACCCACATCACAGCCCGAGGCTCGGCCCCACGACTCTCCAGTGGCCAGGCCCTTGGGGACCCCGTGGGTCCCTCCTTTGCTAGAAGGCTGCAGAAGCGCCAACTCAAGAGCCTGGGACAGAAGCAGGTGCTTGTGGTGACTGTAGCCCTGGGTGGTAGCGAGTGCCCAGGGAACAGGTGCTCTGACACTGGGCGTCTGCTGGCCTCTGTCCCTGTCACCCTTTCCCCATCGAAGGCGGCGACTGCCTTGTCCCATCTGGGTCTCCCAAAGAACCGAGTCACTTCCACGTTTGGTGTCGACATTTCCAGAAACACCGTCAGTCAAACCCCACAGGTGACACAGCACGACGGGTGTGCAGGGCCACCTACATGTCGATCCAGCCGCGGTCCCCGCTGATCTCGATGGCTTTGATGTGCTCCCCGGCCGAGATGTACATCTCCACGGCCGCCTTGGGCTCGTTGATGTTCCTGGCCCAGTCGGCCTGCTTGGTGATCAGCATCTTGGTCTCCTTGGGGTCCCCAGATCCGAGGAAATCCTGAGGAAGCAGGACAAACAAACACTCCGGATGAGGGCTTCCTGTGCACGTGACGTCAGGCTGCCAGCGGGGGCTCTGCTTGGCCACACGGCCACCAGGATGCAGAGGGAGCCCGGGCGTGGGGGCTGAGTGTCTGGGAGAGGCCCTCCTGCCTACCCACTGGTGACAAGGACGCAGACCCTCCATGTCCCCTCCCTTCACACTCATGGACGTTTACTGTCCCTCAAATTGCAGCTCATGGAGACCTTGACCTTGCGCAGGTTCTCTCTGCTTGACATGTGGCCATTCCCACAGGGCGACGGGACCAGCTGGTCGTACAATGTCAACTATGCAGCCCAGCAGGCTTACTGATAGGATAGGTGTGAAACCACTCGCCTCAGGCTGGGGCTGAGCACAGGCCCCCCCAGGGTCAACCAAACACATGCACAGCTCCTGGCCAGGCCCCTGGTTCCTCCCCCGGCCACCATCACACTGGAAGTGCTAGTCGCCTGTTTTCTGATGTTTATCTCCCCTGGCTTTGCCCCCAGAGCTCTGCCTGGGACAGATAAGAAGCCAAACAGCCTTTGGTGAATTGTTCCCAGCTGAATGGCAGCCGGCCCTGTGTGGAGATCAGGTCTGCAGGCATGAGGGACTGATCCAAAGTGGACAGCCGGAGGCCCCAAGTATGGGGAAGGGGTCCCGAAGAGGAGCCTGTGGTCCTGAAGGCCCAGAGGTCAGCCTGTATCCCGTCGGGGGCCGCTGCAGGGCTGAGCCCGACTTCCCTGAGTGAGCTCATGAGACTGTGACAGAAATGGCCTCAGGAAGCCACTTCCCTTCAGGAAAGGGTCCCTGCTGTCATTTTTAAAGGTGGGGCTTTTCAAAAAGGGGGATGGGGAGCAGTTTGTGTTAGAATCACACACCCTGCAGAGAGGGCTCCCTCTCTCCCACCCTCTCTCCCACCTTCCCTCCCCCTCCTCCTCCCTCCCTCCCTCCCCCGTGACCAGCACCCCGTGTCAGGGAGGCAGTCAGGTATGCTGGGAACCCACTCCAACAATTAGCTTTTTTTTTCTTTTTTTCCATTTGCTTTCAGAGTAATTATGTAGCCTCTAAAATGACATATTAGGTCTCGGCCTAGGACAAGCCCATGTCTCAGGGAGTGGGGGAAGGGCACGTCCCCCTCTCACAGGGCCACCTGGGCCTGCCTGTTCCCTCTGGGCACCCAGGCGGGCAGGGAAGCAGCCCTGGCTGGGCCACTCAGACACACTCTGCTCTTGGGTGGCTGCTCCCACATCTACTCCTCCTGGCACAGAGGTTGAAGGGGGTGACCAGGGGGTGGGGCAGGGGTGGTGACCAGCTTCGCAGAAGAATGGAGACGCCCTTCCAGGGGACATCAGAGGGTGTGCTGTGATCTTAGGGTGGCTGAGGGAAGAAGGTCAGAGGCTAAGAGGGAGCCGTAAATTTGGGGTGTCTCCCTGAAACCATCTGCCCGGCAGCCTCCTGCAAGGCCCGGGGTCTAGCTCCCAGGGCTGGGCCTTAATTGAAGCTGAGTCTTAATGGCTCCTTCGAGGCTCAGCAAACTGGGTTTTGAAAGGCTCTTTGGGTCCCTGAGGCTAACTTAGACGTCATCCAGGGCCACGGCCAAGGCTTTGTCCCGGAGTGGACAGAAAGAGGCTGCGCGGGTGATGAATGAGACCGGGCCGTGTTCTCCTCTTGGTGACTTTGATAAGGACATACTACATAAGAGTTGAGAGCATTATAATTCCCTTTATCACCATATAAACATGTCACTTATCCGGAAAGCATACAATTTATTTGGACGTGGGAATGTAATTTAAAAATTTTCCAAAAACCAGATTGAATCTTGGGAAGCAATTTTCGAGTAAACAAAAACATGCCATGTTAATAAGCACTGTGTCCCCCGCGCACCGGCCACGTCCACATTTCCTCAGATTCAGCCTATTGGGCTGTGGGGGGCGGGGGTGACCTACTTAGAATTGTGACCAAAAACAGCCCCAGAGTACTCACCGTCACAGAGACGCACAGAGGGAGCCTGTGAATGGGTCCGCTCCTGGGTGGGAGACTGTGGGCACAGGGACCCCGGGCAGCGGTGGGCTGGCAGGGAGAGGCCCCAAGTGGACCTACTGTGTGCTCGCACCTGGCCCCTCACTGTGCACAGTTCTCAGGGCTGAGCTGGGTGCACTTCTGCTGCCCTCTGGGGAGGACATAGAGGCCTGCCCTACCAGTAGGCACGACACTGGCACCCACCCAGCGCTGGCTCACGGTCTCACTGTCACATTGGGTCCCTCTGAGGTCAGCCTTCAAGGTCGGCTCTAGGCCCATCTCAACCTGTGGTTGAAGGTGGCCCCTTTGGAGACACTGGCTCTTTTGTGTTTGCGTCACCTCCTGGGCACACACTGGGACACCACAGGTGGGCCCTGGGCCCCGGGTGGCGGGGCCTTACCTTGGCGTAGTCGAACATGCAGAGGTCGGTGTACATGTCCAGCGCCAGGTTCTCGTGCCCGCAGCGCCTGTACAGCTTGGCCGCCTCGTGGAACTTGCCCTGGTAGGAAAACACGTCGGCCAGGAACACGTCCTGGTTGGTCTCGCCGCGCTTCTTCCTCTCCTGCAAAATCAGAGGCGCAGGGAGTGGCCTCCGCAGCCCTGGACAGGAGGCGGCCTCACCCACGGGTGAGCAAGGTGAGCCCCGGCCTCCCACTGGACCCCAGGCCTGGCGCTCGGGCTGCTGTGCCGCCCCCCTGCGTCTGCTGGGAAGGCCTGCGACTAAGGCGACCCTCCAGACCGTGGGGTCAGGGAGGGGGACCTTTGCTGTTCAGTGGGAAATCCCTCGGGGCTGCCTTCCAGAACATTCTTCCAAGGCAACACTGGACGGTTGGGACCAGGCGCACTGCTCCCTCATGGATGGCACCTAAGCTGCCAAGATCTCCCAAGTCCCTGGGCCTGGCTAGAGTAGCGACCCGGGAGGATGACAGATGGGGGAACTGTCCCCACCCAGCACCTTCCCTCTGCTTGATCTCCAGCAAGCGCGTCCCCCTGGAGGACGAGGAGAGGGGACAGACTCCTGGACGAGCTGGTGAGGTCTGAACAGCGGGAAGCAGCCGCTCCCCAGTGACAGGATCATTTTGGGGGAAACCTTCAGGCCACTCAGGCTTGTCACCAAATAAACTAGCTCCTAGTAGCTGGGAATGAAGGAGACTGCGCCTGAGACTGGAAAGAAAGCAGGTCTCTCTGGGCCAGCATTGCTCAGGCCTCAGCTGTCCTAAGCCACAGCCCCAGCCCCCAGCCAGCGGGGTCCCCGCACCCTGTGCCACCTGCTCAGTGACACCTCATCTCTCCACAAGGAGCTCCAGAGGACGCTGGGTTCCAGGAGCAGCACTGAAGTCCCAAAGCCGCAGTGCAGGCCTCAGACAGTGTCACTAGCTCACTAGCTGCCTGGCTCACCAGGCGCCAGCAGCAGCGGCCATCTTGAAGGGTGACAGGACACCAGAGCTGGTCCCCACAGGAGCCAGCCACTTTGTGTACAAAAGTTATGTTCTGTGACTGCAGAGTGAGACCCAGGCCAGTTGGTTCCCAAGGGCCAGCCCCGAGAGCAGGGACACCGCGCAGCACGGGGACAGCTTCTGGCAACTCTTTGTCCCACAGGGACATGACCAGGCCCTGGGCCGTGCTGGGATGGGGTGGGGACCCGGGGTAGAGACGGACAATTCTGGAAAAAAAAGGCAAAATGGGTTTGGAATCCAGCCACGCTGTTGGCTGTGGATCCCGAGGGAGGTGACAGCCTCTCTGAGCTGTCCCTGTCCCTTGCACAGGGGTGGCAGCGCCTGCCCTACTGAATCGTGAGGACTCCCTGGATCAGGCATGGGGACGGGTGAGCTCAACTAATGGCAGCTGTCACCGGCTCCCGGGACTGAGAGCCCCTCAGCTCTCTGCCCACTGGGCTCGCCGGTGACAGGAGTTGATTATGCTGAACTGAATTAGAGGGACAAGACATTTGCCGGTTCCCTCCTGCTTCCATCTGGGAATTCAAATGTATCTCACATTCTCTTAGCCTCACAATAAATCTGTTCAGGAGAAGAAATATGTATGCCTTTTCACAGACAGTCAGACAGCACTGTGATACACAGAGATTAAGAAGAGTGTCTACCGCCACCCGGCAAATGGTGCTCTGAGAGCCGGCTTCCGGGCCGCGCCAGGCGCGCCGAGTGCGAGGAGGAGGAGGAGGCTGACGGAAGAGGAGGCCGAGGGAGGAGGCCAAGGAAGGAGGCCGAGGGAAGAGGAGGCCAGCTCTCAGCAGCAGATGGGCGCGGAGCCCTGGGGTGCTCAGGTCTAGGGCAGCCTTTCCTTGGCCGTTTCTGGGGTGGGGCACAGATGCTGCTCCTTTGGGAACCACCTCCTGCACTGGTAAGTCACCAGAGGGTGGTGACCAGCCATCCACCACCACAGAGGTGCCAACCAGGAGTGGAGGAACCACTCATCTTCTCAGCCATCCTGGGAGAGTCAGGCGGATCCCGTGTCACAGAAGGAAACCAAAGCTCAGAGAGCTTAGGAACCTGTCCTCCTCGTCCCACTACCAAGAGACAGCGTCCCCCCTGCTCCAGGTGCTTGGTCCCTGGTGGCCACTCTGTCCCCAGAGCAAGGCGGGGCCCCAAGGCCATGGTGGGCTTGGCCCCTCCTTTACCTCAATGCTGCTGATGAGCTCCAGGTACCGCAGGTCCTGCACCCTGGCGAAGGCCTGGGGAAGAAACAGGGCACAGTCAGCCACTGGCTTGGTTTCCAAAGTGGGTGGCTGGCTAGGGGACAGCAGAGCTGTGGCAAGCGACAGGGACAGTGAGCGTGGGTTCCTCATGGGGTGGGCCACCAGTGGGGCTCGGCCTGACCCCCAGGATTAGTCCTTACAAAGGGCAGCAAAGAAGAGCTGGGTGCACCCGTCATTTGGGGATCAGGTCTGCGGAGGGTTCCAGGGGCCCCTCCATCCGCAGGGAGGAAGGAGCAGGTGGACTCGGAGCTGGGGACAGGGGGTGAGGCGCGGCCACCAGAGACCGCAGGCACATCTCGGTGGCTTGGATGGGAAGCAGGAGACGGCTCTGCTGACCCAGGGGTGCCATCCACACAGCACCCAGAGCCCACAGCAGGGCGCAGAGGGAGGGAGGGGAGGGTCAAGCAGAGAAGAAGGACGGAGGATGGCTTTGGGAGGAGGGGACGGGGGTGAATCACTGGCGCGTCTTACGTAAACCCCGAAAGCACAGCCCTTGCTTGGACCCACAATAAAGCTAGACTTTGACCCCTGGCTGCCCGAGGTGTCTGGGCCCAGGAGGACTGGTGCCAGCTGCACTTCTTTTGCTGCTTCTAGATTCTTCCAGGGGCTCTGAGGAAGGCCACCCAGTGTCAGGCTGGTCTTCCTGCGGCTTTGCCATCAACATGCTCTGCCATCAGCTTGCTTCTTCGCGCTGTCCTGTGGGAAGTGGGCTGGCGTGTGCCCAGGGCAGGCAGCGACTGAACAGAATGGCCCTCGTCCTCAGAAGACTTAGGGCAGTGAGCAAGTCACCAGCCTCTGGGTGCCACGCAGATGAGCACAATGTGACTTCATGTCTTCATCCAGTAGGGCTGACACCCTCACCGACTGGGGACCCAGGTGACTACGATGAGGCCTCTGTCCACCTCCCCAGTTCAGGGGCCCACATTGAAAAAGGGGAGGCAGGCAGAGCCAACGGGTCACTACATGTCCCTGAGCGGAGGGCTAGACAAGTGTGCACACCCTGCATAGAAGCCGGTCCCTGAGCACGGGCAGTGGCAGGCGGCAGGACGGGACCCTGGCTGGTGGCCTTGCTCTCTGTCTGTCTGGTTTGGAGACAGGGCCTCACTCTTGAGTCCCAGGCTGGTTTGGAGCTCTGGGCCCCCAGTGATCCTCGCAGCTCAGCCTCCCCAGCTGCTGGGACACGAGCACACGCTGCCACGCCCAGCAAGTGGCTTTTCTTGCAGAAGAATCTGCAGAAAGGTACGGCAGCCATTGCACCAGCAAAGGGATCCCAGGACTCCTTCTCCAAGGTTCTTTCTGGTTCTGCTGCGTGCAGTCCCCGTGAGACTCATCTGTGTGTGAGTTCCTGCAGCCATGACGCATGCTGCAGAGTCAGGGTGGCTGGTCGGGGTGGTCAGAGTCACAAGGCCTGAGTACCCTCAGCGGAGGGAGTGGGCAGCCACAGCCGCAGGCCGGGCAGAGGGCGGCTCTCCCCTGCCATCTAGTGGCCACGCTGGGCCACGGCAGCAACCCGCCTGCACAAGCCTGAGCCCCACACAGCGCAGAGGGTCAGGGCTCTGGATGGACCCCCACGTCCAAGTCCAGGGGCAAAGTCTCGCAGCGTTTCTAGACATCACTCTGCCTGTGCCTACATGACTGTCGGCACAATTCTGTCAACAAGAACACCTAGACACACACTGTTCTAAGGACAACCATGAGCTTTAGACAAGGCTTCTGTTCCCAGGGAGTGTTCCGGGGACACAGGGTGGGACATTAAGTAAACAGAGGGCCACCCTCCAGAGCCTGCCAGTCATCCCAACACGGGCGACATGGCGAGGGCCTGGCCCATGCTGGGGGGTCGGGGGTACTACGTGAGGCGGTGTTCAGTTCTAGGTGTGACGAGGTGACAGTCTGGGGGCAGGTCTGGATGTCACCCCAGCTGCAACAAACCAGCCCCTCTCAGGAAGCCTGCGCTCGCTCCACCCTTCCTGGCATTGATGGTGGAACAGAAGGAGCCCTCCAGGGAGACGGCTTCACTCCTCGGGATTCCTAAAGTCCCTCTGTGTCACCACATTCCTGACACTTACCAGATCTAAAAATACATTCAGAGAACTACCGTGTCACGATCACTTCCTTTTTTTAATTTTTTCGGTGGCCCCGGGAGGGAGCCCAGGGCCTTGCCTGTGCGTGTAGCACACAGATGTCCCTTGACTGTGGGAGAGAAGGAGGGGAGGGAGCAGGAGGACGGAGGGGTTGGGAGCCAGCCCTCTGCCACCTCTTGTCCTCGATGCAAATCCAAGTAGGAAACACACTTATGCTCAAAGTCCACAAAGGGGCTGAACGGCCTGAGCCACTTCTGCAGCTGTAACTGACTAAACCAGGAAATGGCGCGATGAATCAAGTCCGTGAATCATGCCGTGTAGGCATGTGGGAAGTGGCCGTCCTGCTGTCGGAATCCAAGTGTGACCATCCCCATCCACTGGACTTGGCCGAGAACCCAGAGAAACAGCATTGTGTCAGCAACGGCCTAATGCCGATGCTAATCAAAAAGGAACCATTTATTGAGTGTCTATTATGTGCCAGGCTCTTAGTCAGATGCTTTACAGGAGTGACAGCCAGGAAGAGTGACAGCCAGAACCTGCCTCTTCTGCGTGTGGCTTTAAGGCCTGTCCATTTGGATCTCTACCACTTTGCAAGCGTGCAGCCTAGCACCACCAGAACCTTCCAGAAAGGTAATCTCGGAAAGGTTGTTTCCTGCTCAGGCTCACTGCCAGGAAATGGCTGAGCTGAGACGCAACCCAAGTCATGCTTTTGCCTCTCGGTGTCACCTGGATCCCCCTCTGCCTCCTTAGGGGACCCTCCCGGGACCCCATACCAGCTCGGGCCCATAGAGGCTTACCTTCTTTGCAGTTTCGAACTCTAACCCTTCCAGGGCTTCCATAGCCAGCTCCCGCCAGTCGGCGTCCGTGACGCCCAGGCACGCGATCTGGTAGGCTTCCTTGAACAGCTTCCTGTCCAGGTACTGGTACATGGGAGCCGACTGCGGGGTGTCACCAAAAGGAGAAGACGAGTTTCAGAGCAACGGAAAGGGCAGATTCCTATGCAGCCTGCTTCCAGATGTGCGCAGCCTGGTTACGAACTCCTACAGAGCAGCCCCCCGGGGATCAATCGGGGCGCCCCCCCACCCCAGCCACCTTGCACGCTCTGCTTTCCACTCTGCACCCGGACCTCAGCAGAGCTGCGTGCTCTGGGCACAAGCTTCCTGCCCATCCAGCCCAGGCCGGCCTTCCCATAAGATGTCCCCCAGCCTGGACAGGCCTACTGGGCTGTCAAGGCCCTATCCAAATGTCCCCTCTTCTGGAATCTTACCTGACCCCTCCACCTCCCACCCCAAGGGAGATCTGCCCTAGGTCCAGACTCGGGTCAGGCTCTAGTGACACGCTGGTCTTCTTGACAGAGCCCTGCACTACCTGGGTAGGGGTCCCAGAGGCTTTGGGTTTTAGGGTTACAAAGTGCTTCTGGCTCTGTCCTAACAGCCCTGAGTGGGTGAGTGTGGCCACTTCCTGAGACAGCCCAGGAGGCCCAGGCATGGCCAAGGACACCCGACCCGATGCTGGAGCAGGAGGTGACCTGTGTCGGGCCCTGGGACCCCCTTGCTTTGAGCATGCACGCAGACACGCATGCGCACACCAGAACCAGCCCCAGCCAGGCCTGACGTCGTCAATGAAGGCCCCTGTCCCTGTCCCAGGCCAGCCCCGGTGCCTCGGGGACCTGCATCTGCCCTTCTGGGTTCCCGGGCAGGGGAGATCAATCAGCCAGGACCTCTGTGCTAATGGTTCCCAAATGTGGAGCTCGACCACTGTTTTCTCCATTTGGGGGCCTTTATCTTTGAAATTTCCAGTCTTGATTTCTTAGCTTCAGTGTTGAAGGAAAGCTTTTTCCTTTCAAGCCAGTCTGCCCTCCCGACAGACAGCAGGACACGGCTGACCCTTCCCACGGTGCCAGGCCACCCACCTCTCCTCCCTGGAGGGAGCCGGCTGGGCACAGGCGGGGGGCCACACCCTTGCTGGCCACCTTGGGTTTGGATGCCTGGCCCAGCTGAGGCTTCCAGGGGCAAAGGAGAGGTTCTGAGAGTGACCAAGGGCTGGGCAAGGAGGGAGCAGCAACACCTCCCTGTCTTTCCCAGCCCAGCTCCTCAGCCTTCTGGAACTTTCTGGACTCCTGGAGAGCCGTCCCCCTCCTGCAGGCCCCTGCAGCCCTCTGTGGGCTCAGGTTTCACCCCCTCCTGGGAGCTCAGCCGACTCCCATGCACCATGAGCTGCCTCCCTAACCCTCTTACTGAGCACCTCGGTTCCATCTGAGTTCTGCTTTGTGGTTGGGGCTGGTTCGTGACAGTCTGTAATAAGGAGAAATGATCATGGGAATGGAGCCAGGCAAAGCCTGAAGATGGGCATAATTAACCCCAATCCAGGCCGGGCACGGCGACGCAGCCCACGGTCCCCACCACTCGCAAGGCTAAGGCCGGGGCTCGCTCCAGTCCACAGACCTCAAGGCCAGCCTGAGCCACAGGGCAAGAATCCATTCCAAAAACTGACAACGAAAATTAACCCCATGGCACAGGAAAGAAAATGAGGCCCCAAACAGTGACAAGACAGTCAGCTGAGGTGGCGGGGCCAGGGTGCAGAGTCTGGGTGTTTCTTCCTGTAGACGACAGGAGGGTTGTTTTTTTTTTTTTTTTTGGTACCAGGGTTTGAATCCAGAGCACTTTACCACTCAGCCCCCTCCCCAGCCCTTTTCTATATTTTGTTTAGACAGGGCCGCGCTGAGTTGCTTAAGGCTTTGCTAAGTTGCTGAGGCTGGCCTCCAACTTGCGATCCTCCTGCCTCAGCCTCCTGAGCTGCTGGGATGACAGGCGTGTGCCACTGTGCCTGGTAAGAGAGCAGGCCTTCTTGCCTTGCTGACTGCCTGGTGACGCTAGAACAGGCACAGGGACAGGATCACCACGACAGACAGACAGTGAACATGCACTGGCACCATCTGAGTGGGAGTTTTAAAAACCCACTAACTGAACGGGCACCCTGGGAGGGACACTTCACCTCGCTGTTGTTTTCCAGCATGAGGTCACCCCGCCCCAGGAGCCTGCACAGGCTCGCTACCCTACTTGGCAGCTCTGACCAACCAGCTCTTGCACAAGATGATGTAAACTTCCAGAGGAAACCAAAAATCCCAAGAGCGGTTCTGGGGCTTTTTCCCCCATCTGGAGGCCTAGACCGCAGGGGGGCGGAGGCAGAGGCCACAGATAGACAGCCTTTGTCTCAGAGCCTCTCCCCAGCCCACTGTGACCTGCTGCCTCAGCAGGACGCTGGCCCAGGACTCTTAAGGTCCCAGCAGAGGAAGCCCCGGGTGGCCCCCTTACTGCAGTTGTCTTGGAGGTCAGAGTGCAATCTGGGACCAAGACCTGTCCCCAAGCACAGCCTGTCGGGCACACTGAAGAAGAGCGGGCTCCTGGCGGGTGGGGTACAGGGATTTGGGACAGCTGATGGAGAGCAGATGGGGACATCACCCGGGCCAGGGGACAGTTATTGCCCCTCCCCCGCCATTGCTCCCACGGGCCCCCTCCCTTCTCTCTCTCTCCACTTCCTCAGATCGAGTTCAGCACCACTTCTTGAGTAAGTGCCCGGCGGCCGCTAATAACAGACGCTGGCCCAGTCAGGCTGCAGGAGCAAGTCACAAGGGCCTCACTGGCTCAGAGGGAGAAGGGGGACCAGCCTGAGAGGCGGGGAGACCCACCGAACCCAGCGGAAGGCCATCTGAGCATACGTCCAAACAGCTCCAAAGGCACAGTCCTTGGTCTCCAGCAGCCTCACCTCTAGGAACTCAGACCCAGGGGCTGAGATGGGAGAGATGGAGACCCAGCTAGAGAGGCGCCCACTGCTTATAAGAGAAAAGAAGTGACAGTGTCCATGTCCAATGGAGGAGCCAGTCAGGTGAGCTGTGACCACCCATGTGACAGGATCGACCACAACACTGGGAGCCGGGCGCGGTGGCTCGCCCCTGTGATCCCAGCAACTTGGGAGGCTGAGGCAGGAGGATCACAAGTTGGACTGAGGTCAACTTGGCCATTTAGCAAGACTTTGTCTCCAAAAAAATAAATAAAAGGACTGAGGTGGCAGCTCAGTGGAGGAGCATCCCTGGGTCCCTACGACTGTCAAAAAAATCCTGAAAGAAAAACAATTTAAAAAACCAAACCAAGCCAGGTGCGGAGGCGGACGTCTGTAATCCCAGAGGCCTGGGAGGCTGAGGCAGGAGGATCGTGAGTTGCAAGCCAGCCTCAGCAACTTAGCAAGGCATTTAGCAACTCAGCAAGATCCTGTCTCTAAGTAAAATATAAACAAGGGTGAGGATGTGGCTCAGTGGTTGAGCACCCCTGGGTTCAATCCTCAGGACCCAACAAAAGAAAAAATAAAGAAAACTGAAGTTGGAAATGGGCAGGGACCAGCAGATGTGGTCATGGAAGGACAGCACAGCACAGGGACCCTGGGATCCTGGCAGTGCTGGGGGGCAGCCTGTGGTGGTGGGTCACACAACCCTATGACGGTTTGCACACTGTGAGCCTGGGGGACTGGACACAATGTAAGGACTCTCTATAATTTCTTACAAGTATAAGTGAGTCTATAATCATCTTAATATTCGAAAATGCTGAGAAAGTATAATTATTGACATGGGACCAGGTTTCCAGTATAGACAACTGAGTGAAAATGCAGAAAACCAGTTTATAGCCAGTAACTCACTGGAAGGCATCCCCACGGCGTGTGCAATGTCTATATGTCAGATTGAATGAGAGGATTGGCACAGGGAGGAATTTCAATCCCCCCACCCTTTTTTTTTTTTGGTACTGGGGATTGAACCCAGGGGTGTTTTTATCACTGAGCCCTCTCCCCAGCCCCTTTTTTGTTTTTCTATTTTATTTAGAGACAGGGTGTCACTGAGTTGCTTAGGGCGTCGCTAAGTTGCTAAGGCTGTCTTTGAACTCGAGATGCTCCTGCGTCAGCCTCCCAAGCCACTGGGATTATAGGAGCCCACCTAGAAGTTCCGATCTCTGGCTCACAGGCCACATTCAGTAGACACAAGAAGTCTAAGGTTCATCTTTAGGTAGCAATGCTTCTGAGGATAAGAGTCACAAACAATCTTTACCTTGTGTTCACAGGAAATCCTCTACTCGTAACTGTACGTGGTGTATGTATTATATACGCATATACAAAGGTCTGGATGTACACATTCCAAAATGGTAAGAAATGACCCTCTCTCAAGGACCGATGCTGGAGTTCTAGGGTCTGTCCTTGTCTCATGACAGCTTACAGTGAGCATCATTCACTGGGGGCAGATGTGACGAGGCGGCCCCCATGTGGGCTGCAGGGATGCGCTCTCCTGTTCCCCTCTGCCCTCCCCCACTGTACCTCACACACTCCAGCTCTGCCTTTCTGGTCTGGCTATTCCGAGTTCGGGGGTCCCATGCTTTCTCCCCTGCCCCCCAGGGGCCAGGCCAGGGCCAGGCTTACCTGCGGCACCTCCACGGCCGTCATGGCGAAGAGGTGGAGACAGAAGATCTTGGAGCCGTTGTAGCCGACCACGAAGCCCTGCAGCCTCTGCTGGTGCACGGGGAAGGTGCTGGCCTTGATGTTGAGGTAGCCTCCGCCCGAGAAGCACAGCATGTCCTCGCACTGTGTGTTCCAGGCCACGCTGTTGGCATTGGGTTCCTGCAGGGCGGGCGGGAGGGAGCCTGTGACAGTCACCCTGGGCCTTGGCACCACTCGGTGGCTCCAATCAGAGCCGTCCCGAAGACTGAATCATACTGAAAGGACCAGGGGGTGGAGGGGCAGGTAGGAAGGACCAGAAAGAAAAGTGTGGTGGCTCCTCTAGGTCCTGCTGACCCCGGGGGCGCTCAACCATGGAGCCCCGTGCCCTAGAGACAGGGCCTCGCTAAGTTGCTGAGGCTGGCGTCGAACTCGTGATCCTCCTGCCTCAGCCTCCCAAGCTGCTGGGAGGACAGGCGTACACCACCCAGCATGGTGCTAGTGTTGGAATTTTCAAAAAAGCACTACTTTGGGGGAAAAAATATTATTCTCCCCACGTGGTGATCACTCTAGGATTCCACCTCTTTTAAAGAACAGATTCGCATCTCTCTACGTGAAGAGGACTGAGGGGAAACATTCCAGAGGACCAGCTGTGAACGCTTCTGGGTGGGTGTTCATCCTCTGTTTTTTGTTTGCCTGAATTTTTTCCCCTCCGTGACTACCTATTGTTTTCTGTAATAAGAAAAGAACAGGGAGTTCTTTTTAAAATTAGAAAATGATATATTGTCTCTGCATTTTCCAACTCACACTCTCTAAAAACTGTCACCCTGGGAGGTGCCTCGCCCCATTAGACTGCTCCTCCACCTGGAGCCCTAGGGACCAGCAGAGACTCAGACCCTGCTGCTTGGCGTCTTTTTTTTTTGGGGGGGGGGGGGTCTGGGGTGATATTGGAGCCCACGCTCCCACTTAGCTACACCCCCAGCCCTTTTTATTTCTTTTGAGACAGGGTCTTGCCAAGTTGCTGAGGCTGGCCTTCAACTTCCGATCCTCCGGCCTCAGCCTCCTGAGTCACTGAGATTACAGGTGTGCACCTCTGTACCTGACTCTGCTGAGAATGTGTTGTGCCTACGTCTCTGCAATTAGCAGGGATTGCTTTTATAATGAGGGGAAAATACAGCTGGTTTTATTTGGAAAAGAGAAAGAGCCAGCAGGCCAGAGACACTGGAGCTGGGCTGGCCTCCTGGAAAGGCCCGGGAACCTCCTTCCCTGGCCTCCTACCTCACGGGGGCCTGTTAACCCCCTCTGGAGGAGGTGGGCACCATGGCATGCTGTTTGTTCCTGTAGCAATTCTGAATTTCCAGTTTCATTTCAGAGACAAGGAGAAACCGAGGCTCTGAGAGAGTCACCGACTTGCTCAAGATCACACAGTAACGGATGTGGGCAAGAGGAAGGCAGGCCCAGATCCATCTGGAGACAATGGCCGCCCTTTCTCTCCCCTAAACACCCTCTGCGTCTGGGATGTGAGCTGACATTAACTGGGAGTCACCTCTGTGCTAGTGGCAGCCAGGTAGCCTTGGCTCTCCCCATGATACTGAAAACCCCGGCACTGGGAGAGGGCCCGGTCAGGAGAGGGCACTCACTCCCTGACCACTGTCAAAGCCCCAAGGAGGCCACGAGGCCTGGGTCCAGCAGGAAGCCAGCCAGGCGCCAGTCCCAGGCCTTCTTCTGCAGTGACACACTCCTCCCAGCCACAGGATCCATGATGTGTCAGCAGTGCCCAGCCCCCAAAGGCCCAAGCAGTCGTTTCCTTGGCTCATCGGCCGCTTGTGCAACAAGGACAAGGGTGGGCTTCCACCCGGCCCTCGCTCCCCTTCAGATGACCGTCCTGTAGCTCGACTGTGCCTGAGGTCACCCGCAGACACAGGCAGCCACCAGAGGTGGCCACAGCCCTCTGGAAGCCCATCAGAAGCTCCATCTGGACATGAGCCCAGCCAGTCGGGTTTTTTAGGATCACTTCATTTTCCCTGGTTTCTCAGGAACCAGGTAGGACTCGGCTGTGTGGCTGGTGGGGAAATCAAAGGTGGGAGAGGCCAGTCTAGGCCCCACTGTCCTCAGGCCTGTGGGAAGAGCCAGGTCCCCACCTGCGCTGCTTCTCCCAGAGACCAGCCTGGGCCAACAGGGGCGCACCTCCTGCAGGGCCTGGGGGTCCACAGCCAGCGGTCGTCCAGCAATGTCCCCATGTCACCTGGAAGAGCAGCTCCTTGGTGTGGACGTCGTACACCAGGCACATGTCGTTCTCGTCCACCACGGCCAGCTTGTTCCGGGACGCGCTCATGTCCAAACAGCGCACGGCGGTGGCCTGCTTCAGGAGGACGATGGCGAAGAGATTGTCCACAAAGATCTTCAGGATCTGGCAGAGTTTCAGAGGAAGAGGGAGAGTCGCCATGGCAACCAGGGCCTGGCACCCGGCCAGCCACGGAGTCCCATGTGTTCTTAGAACAACTCCCCCAATGCCACCAGGAGGCCTGCAGACAGGGGACTCGCTCAGGGAAGAAGGGGAAGGGGGTGGGGGGCTTATCCTCAGGAGACCAGAGGGGGGTTCACCCAGGTGGCCGAGGGAGTGACAGGCCTGGGCCAGACCAAACGCACTTCAGTGTCCGCTCGGACAGGGGACGTGTCACGGCCTTACTCAAAGTGCAAGGTGCGGGGACACCAGTGAGTCACCAACTAACACAGGAAGAGGCGAGCACAGACCCTGATAGGACACCTGGTGTGAAATCACAGTGGTGAGGCCGATGGTGACAGCCACCATTGATTGACACTCCCACCAAAAAGGTAGTATCATCCTCATTTGTAAAACTGGAGCCTCAAAGAAGGAAAGCGACCAGGCCAGGGTCACAGTGAGCAGCTAAGGAACAACACGATCCCAGGGTGACCTGCCCCCAAGTCCACCTCGAGGGAGACTCTCCCCCCACACCACTGCGGTCTCGCTGCTCGACGGCTCCCACTGATCGATCTCGTGCTCTGGGACTTCTGTCCCCAGCAAAGGACCTGACAAGCCTCAGCCGCAGCCATCTGCTACACAGCCTGGCTCTCGAGCTAATGCAGTTATATTTTCACTTTTAAATTGCTATGTAGCCCACGTAGAAATGTCCTTATTTTGAGCACAGAACACACATTCACACACTCGCACGCACACACACACACACGCGCACACACACACACTCCCGCACCAGAAATCTGTCTGATTTAGTGTGACCTGCATGTCCTGCATCTATCTGCCCAGAGGGTCCCCTTTGCTTACAGCATGTGGTCATGTGCTGAGGACCTGGCACTGTCGAGGTCCCTGGCCAGGACACCCTGCGTAATCCATTCCCGCCCTAATAGGGATCTGACCCAGGACCGGTCCCCGTCTCCCTCCCCCGCCATCCACTAAAGCTGCATCTCCACCAGATAATCGCCCACCTTCCGGGTGACCCCAAGCCATTAATCCGTCCTACGTGCAGTTCAGGGCTGGGCCGCCAACCCTGCCAGAGATCGAGCAAGCCACATGCCTGAAGGCAGTCTCATAAAGAGGTCCCTTGCAATGCGCCAGGCAGGCCCTCTGCTGTCCTGGGAGACCATCTCGGTGGCCCAGAGGAGCGGCCTGTGTCTGCCTGCGGATGGTGAGCCGGAGGGCACGTGAGGGAGGGCTCACCTGTCCGTTCTTCAGGCCCACCAACAGGCCTTCCCTGGCAGAAGGGCCACCGATCACCTTGATGTAGCGAATGAGAGACTCCATCTGCCACTCGCGCTCCTTGACCCCGGTGAAGGTCAGGCACTGCAAGCGCTTCTCCTGGAAAGCAAACCCAGCTCCAGAGAAGTGTCCCCGCGCTCCCAGGGGGCCTCCTGCACCTGGGGACAGAAGGTGGCCCTGCGCTCGGTGCCTCACCAACCCCACCTCGTCCTCGGGATTGGCAATGGTTAATCCCCATGCGGGGTCTCCTCCTCGGAGCCCGCCTTCACCCTTTCTTTAAAGCCGACCCCACGGCCACAGGCAGCACCCCAAAGTACAACTACTTGCTCTACCTATCTTTTTTATTTTTATTTTTTTGTATGGTGCTGGGATTTAACCAGGGCCTTGTGCACGCTGGGAAAGCGCTCTACCTCCTGAGCCATATCCTCAGTCAGCCCCACACCCTGTCTTATAATTCCTAAATAGACAAGAGTTTAAACTCCAGAAACTTCCAAAGGATTTCTTCCCCTTTTTTTTTAAATGAATTCCAACATGCGAAGGTGGAAACCTAATCCACCTCAACTCGCCTTCTCTCCAAGTCTTTCCAAATTTCTCTTGGTATTGACCTCGACACTTTTTAGATATGTTCAGAACACTTTTTCGATGAATAAACAAATCTCTCTGGAGGTAAAACTTCCTTGACTGCCGAGTCGATCCAAGTTTTTTATGTGTGAGTGCTGACCAAAAAAATCATCTTCATCTTATGGGATGAGCCAAGTTCTGTTTTGAGTCATGAGATCTAACCCCAGTCATCCAAAGTGGCCTACAACTGGGAAACAGGTCTTCTCTACTTCATGGCTCAGGTCTCCCCAGGAGAGGCTGATTGGTCTACATGCCAGTAAAGGGAATAATCACAGTCACAGAGTTACAGAAAGGGAGCATCCAAAGCCTGAGGTGGGGCGGGAGGGGGCTCTGGGGGGAGCAGGGAGGGCCACCAGCCCCCCAGCTTCAGCCCACCTGGCAGAGGATGATGTGGTCCGTGCACACCACCAGCAGGTTGCAGTCGTACTTCCGGAGAATCTTCTCCTTCACCTGGTAATGCATGTCCGAGGAGTCGTCGGAATACAACTCATAGATGAGGATCTTCTCTGGCAGCTGAATCGCTAATCGATTTTTGTAGATGGCAATCTTCTTGACAAGCTCTTTGCATTTAATACGAACTGTCAGAGACAAAAAAAAAAAAAAAAGTCAGGCTGCTAAGTAAGGTGGAAGGCAGAGAAATTAAAAGCTATCACTTACTTAATGCTACCGGCAATTACAGTAAGATGCTCTCATTAAAAATCTTTATGGAGGGGCTGGGGTGGTGGCTCAGTGGTAGAGCGCTTGCCTAGCATGGGCGAGGCCCTGGGTTCGATCCTCAGCAACACATATAAATAAATAAAAAAATAAAGGTCCATCTACAAGTGAAAAAATATTAAAAAAAAATCTATATGGAGTGTTTGATATATATAGTCGGCTCCGCTGAGCACTGGGATCCAAAGTTGTACACAATATGATCTTGGTGACCCAAGCTTACAACCCAGGACAGGAAATAACATGTTTTGGGGTTGCTAATTGCTGAGTGTGAATCTCAACTCTTCTGCACAACATGGATGGCCCCTGATGATCAGGAACCCACCAAAGTGACCAAACTCACCTCTGGCCACTCCCACCCACCTCCTTGACAGCAGGGGACAGTATGTAGTTTCTGGGACACACTAGGCCATGCCTCACTACAGGCCAAGTAGGAAAAATGGAAAAATGCCCAGTTGCCCGAGTGACTTCGCTTCACCCATCACAGAACCTTCAAATGTAGATGCTCCTGGATGGGGACCACAGGAAGCCAGCCTGGATCTGCAAGAAGATGCCCAACCTGGGTCCCTACACGAGGGCACCCACGAGTGTGCGACAGTGTGAGTGTGAGTGCTGCTGCAGCAAGGGCACCTGTTGACCCAGCAGGGCCACCCGTGTGGACTTGGACTGGGACGCAGTGCGTGAGGCCCAGGCTGAGCTCATGAGCCACCCAGGCTCTAGCAGGACTCACCCAGAGGCAAGGGGAGGCTGAACTAAGGGAGTGACCTTGACCCAAGAGGGTAGAGACCCACACTGACCCATGTGGCCAACCACCCTGGCTCTGGCAGGCCACAAGTCACCCTCTATTTCTCAAAAAAACCTGCAAACATTTTGTGAGTCAGAGCATATTTTTAGAGAGAGGTCATTGCTTTCCTTATAGCCTCAGGGAGACCCATGTCCCCCCGGCCCCTGGCCCCAAAAGCAAGAATCAGAGTTTGCAGATGTCTTCAATAGGCCTAGGAGAGACATTTCCTTGTCACTTCACGGCACTGTCACCGGCTCCCTCAAACTGCCCCTGCCCCCGGTGCCTGCCCTACCTTTCTGCTCCGTGATCAGGTGCTGGATCACCACGTCGGTCATGCCGTCCCTGTAGGCATAGCGGTCCTTGTAGAGCCCGTGAACTGTGCTGAAAATGAGCTGGTAGAAGGCGATGGTGCCATCCTGGCAGCCGACCACCTGCAGGGAAGGACAGCCATCAGCTCCGCACGGGGACAGTCCACCCTCCCAGGTCAGGAAGACACCAGGATCTGACGGCCAAGATGGCTGCCGGTCAGGGCCTCCTCAGGTAGAGGCCTGGAGAAGGGCCTTCCTCCTCTTACCACATAGTTGGAATCGGGCTTCACTTTACAAGTCCACACCCAGGAGTTCTGCTCCCCGATAGTGCCCAGCCGCACTCCGTCCTTGGTATAAAGGGACACTTGCTTGTCTGAACCCCCCAGCAAAATGTACTCCCCTTTAGTGAAGTAGCTGAGGCAGCAGGGGTCAAAGTTCAGCGACTGGTCCTTCCCGATCTGAGGAAAGAAAAGCCACACCACGAGAAGGAGCAGGTGAGGGTCCATTGTCACCACACCACCGTCAGTCGCTTGACCCCCCCACTTGAGCAGGGGCAGCTGGGAGGACGGGGAGGGCTGGCAGCCTCCATTATGAACACAGCCTCCCTGCCTCCGGGCCTCCCTCCTCCTCCCCCTCCACCCAGCCAAATCCTGACTCCTGGTGGCAACCGCATCTTCCTCAGGTGACCCAACTGTCCTGAAGTGTGTCTTAGCCTTGCAGTCAACCTGGGGGCGGGAGGTGGTCTCTCTCCCGTAGGCCCCCCTCCGTGTGTGGCTCTTGACACATGCAACGTGGGTTCCCTCCACCCCTGGACTTAGTTTTCTATCAGTTTCTCCCCCCAGGATTTCACAAAGCTGAGAGCACAATCCGTGGCTTCCAACAGTGAGACAGCTGTGCTGTCATAACTGCTGTCACACACCAGGACATTCCTGTCACCCCCAAAAGAAATCCCACATCTGTCAGAACTCCAACTGCTCAATTCTGTCTTTTCTTCACCCCCGAAACCTCTGACCTGCTCCCGTGTGCAGTGTGACCTCCTGTGACCTGCTCCCGTGTGCAGTGTGACCTCCTGTGGGCATCTTCTGTAAATGGAATCCCACGATGTGTGACCCGGGTGGCGCCCATCAGTACATCGCTCCTGCTCATCACGAATGGCTGGGTCACGTGGAAACTTTATGTCTAACCTTTCAGGAAATGCCACACTTCTTCAAAGTGACTGTGCTTGGAGGTTTCCACTGTCCTGTCCTAAGGATTCCCATTTCTCCATCCTAGTGGCGTAAAGTGGCATCTGGCTGTGGCTTTGATCTGTATGTCTGTGATGGCTTGTGATGTCGGCCTTCACTTCCGAGGCCTGCTGACCACAGGTCCTTTACCCATGCTTCGTCTGGTTATGGTCTTTGATGACTGAGTCGTCACAGTTCTCTATGTAGTCTACACACAAGCCCCCACTCAGATATGTGATTCAGAAAAAAGAAATCTCTCCCTTTCTCTGTGTGTGTGAGTGTGTGTGTGTGTCAGTGTGTGTGAGTGTAAGTGTGTAACCTCCTTTGAGGTGCCTGCCTCAGCTTTTAGGATGAAGGTCAAAGTCCTGAGCTCGGCCTTGGAGATCCTTTGCTCACTTAACATGAGTTTGCGACTGTCCACATGGATGGCACTCTCAGACTGCAGTGTCCACCCAGGTGTTATTCTTTCCATGTCCCCAGAACCAGCCACCTGTCACCTTCCCCAGGAAACATCCCAACCTCCCCAGATTTAGACCCCCACACCCCCGGCCCCGGCCCCCACCCAGCACCTCCCTCTCTGTTCTGGTCACAGATCTGAGCTCCTGTCTCTCCCTGCAGCCCAAGCCTCTCTTGCCACCAGAGTTCCTCTTGCTGCCTCTGGGGGGGGTCTTTTCTGGGGGGAGGACTACTTATTAACATTATTGAACTAATAATCAATTTATCAAAGAAAATTCTAGAAACCAGTTTCTGCCTTAAACTCAATGTACAAGTATCTCCCTATTTCTAGTAAAAGGGAACAGCCAGTTGACTTTGTTTAATGAATGCCATTTTGAACAGATTATAATGTCCCTCAAATAGCCACATTTGCAACTCAGTTAATTCCCGTAAACTAATTTAAACTGCAATTATAAGTTTAAGAAGCGCGATTTTCATGTCTTTTTTAGGAATTTCCAATGCCTAACACAAAAAGTTTCCTTCATACCTACACAGTGTTAGTAAATCTAATAAGAAAACTGAAAAAATCTCAAGAATTATGATATGAGAGGCCGGCACCTTTCGGTAAAGGCTCAGTGCTCCTGGGGGACCAACCTTCCTCTAACTTAATCCTGAACTCTGAACCCCAAATACAACACACCTGAAGACACTGGCGGGCAACCAACAGCAGGTGGAAATGAAGACGTGCGCACACACAGAAGTCAGGAATGACACTCAGGGGAGCTTCTCCCCCACCCTCCTCCCTGCGGTGCTCCACCCCTGAGCTACGTCCCCACTCCTTTTTATATTGACACAGGGTCTCACTAAGTTGCCCAGGCTGGCCTCCAACTTGTGATCCTCCTGCCTCAGCCTCCTGAGTTACTGGATTCCAGGTGAGTGCCACTGTGCCTGGCTGAGGTTCTTATTAAAAATGAGGCAGGACGTTCCACAACAGAGAGGCAGAGGGACAGCCTAGGTTCTGCACAAAAACTCAGCTGAGTGTCTGGAAAGGCCTGAGCTAAGGCTGAAGCTGCACAGACTCCAGCTACTGTGGGCCACTAATTCATCAGATACACTTTTCTCCGTTCTCTCCTTTACTGGGTGGGATTCCAGTTCAGTGGTCTCTAACAATTTCTGTTAAGCTCATCCAGCGGATTTTTTATTTCAGTTATTGCATTTTTCAGTTCTAGAATTTCCATCGGATTATCTTTCCACGTCTGTGCCTTCATTATAAGCATATTTTCCTTTATTTCCATTATTAGTAAGCCAGGTCCTCTTATGCACTTAAAATGCCAAAAATGCACAAATTTTACATAAGCCTAAGAGACTGTGTGCCACACACTGCTGAATGAGGATGCTCTCGCATTACGTGGAGGAGCTTCCAGGGCCTGGCAAACCAGCCGCCAGGTCATTAAGATAAGGGTTTGGGGAAATCAGTCATTGGACACACACACACACAAAATATATCTGCTATCTTAATCATTTCCTTACTCAGCTACAAAACAAGTGAGCACTTGTAAGACAGGCTTAGAGGAAATGGCCTAGGGCTGGGCTGGCCCATCTGGAACCTTGGTCTAGCAGACACACATGGAGGAGTAAGGATGCCCTGAAACCAAGGACCCCACCCACTGGGCGTATTTCCTTCCGGGCTGAGTGTGCAACCCACACCCGCCACCTTCACACTAGCCTGGACACTTTTTTCCACTGACACGTCATCCTGTTATCAAAGTCCCTATATTTTAATGTGCAACTGAAGACTTCTTCTGAAGCAGGACCCTGACCAGGCCCCTCGCTGCCTGCCATCTAGGGCTCCTCAACACTATGGGATGTCACGCCCAGTGCGTGTTCCTGTCCTTCACAACCATGTCCCATCTGCCAGCTCATCTTCAATCCACAAGCTCTGGGGTCCAGCCGCCCTTAGCAGCTCGCTGTTCTCGCCCTGCCTTGGCCTGAAACCATTCCCAGGATCCTTAGGAATTCCTGCTCGTCCTGTTCCCAGGGCTGCAGGATCTCCCACCTACTCCTGTGGATGTTCTATACTTGGGGTCCCTGTGGTGGCTGTGCAGCTGTCTGGAGGGGATGCCATGTATCCCACCACACTGGGACTGTCTGCCATCGGGTGTGTCCCCACCAGGCTGTGAGCTCTTGTAGGGCACAGACGAGCGCTTACACTCCTCCATATGGGGGCCAACCCAGAGGGGGCCATAAACACTGGGGGGTGCCTGGGAGTTGGACTCTCTTGGTGGTGATCACACGCATTTCAGACAAGGGCTCACCTCTGAGTCCCAAAAGAGAGACTTTAAATTCATACAATCAAGACTTCAGGGTCAGGCTCCACTATGTCCCAGCAGTGTGGGATCCTGGGCATAGTATCTCATTGCTCTGGTCTTGGCCTACTTATTTCTAAAAAGGAGACCTTGACGCAGCCACATCCATGTTTTTAGCAGCTCAAGTCACAAGAGCCAAGCCAGGAAACAACTGTACGTCCGTACGGCCCTACATACCTGCTTTCCACTCAGTTGGTAGAAGGAGAGTTTCTGTCCCCAGTCAGCTACAGCCAGGATGTCATTATGCTCCTCTCTAATCAACAGAAGACAAAAGAGGTTAAGGGGGGTCGCAGACTGCTGAGGAGCACAGCCCCGACGGCCCAGTGAGCAACAGGAAGCAGCAAGCCCGGCCGGGTTGGCAGGATGCCCTGCTTGTGAAGCCAAGGGCTGTAATCTGGCTCAGTCCACTGACCAGTCCACCAGGCTGAGCAGAGGGCAAGGTCGGGCCTCCTGGGGTCTGCGGCTCCCCTGCTGATGGGCTGGGACACTGCCAAGTGGCTGAGAGCAACACTAAGAAAGAGCAAGTCACAGTGCAAGAGCACCTTTTCTTATGTACTAAAAAATAGGGGAACAACGTTTGCAGAGAGAAGCCACAGACTCTGGTGTTTGATAAACAGAGGCAAAACTCACTTGCGCCTCCTAAAGAGGAAAAGTTAACCCCTGGAGCCAGGTTCTCTTGCACCTTACACAGGTGCAATGGCTTCTTACTGGATTTTTTTTCCTTCTTATTTTTTGAGATAGGGTCTCACTATGTTGCTCAGTCTGGCTTTCAATTTGCAATCCTCCTGCCTTGGCCTCCTAAGGCACTAGGATTGGGAGTACACCACCACGTGTGGCTTTGGATCTGATTATAAAAAGGGTCTTAGACTTCCAGAAGACCAAGAACTGTTCTGCAACTGCGATCTCTGGGGATCAGTGCCTTGGGGCTGGGGCTGAGGCTTCAGCTGAGTGGGGGAGAGGGCTACCTGGGAATCTAGTTCAAGAGAGAGGCATCTCCAGTCTTTAAGGCTGGGTCTCCATGCACCTAAAGTGACCACCTTTACTAATTCCAGCTTTTCGGAGCCCAGGGCCTGACGGTCATCTGGCAGTGTCACAAGATATGCTTGAAAAACCCAGCCCAAAGTAGCAGAGTGGAAAAAGTCATAGGTACTAGTTCAGAAGAAGAGGAAAAGACAAAGGTTGAGAGAGTGGTGTGGGCAGGAAGGGATCTGCAGGTGAGCTCTGGGCAGGCGGCGCTGAAACTCAACCCAGCCCAGGACCAACCCGAGGCCACCCTTCTGGGGAGGTCCCATGTGGCTGTGGGCTGGGCTGTGTCCCTGTGAGCTGGATTGGCACCTTTCAAACTTTCCCTGCCCCTCCCCAGGGACGTGGGACTCTTCACCACGACAAAACCTCATGGGGACCTGAAGCCCTCCTAGTTCCTCTCTCCTTCCATGACCCTGGGTTCTTCTGAAGAACCTCGAGCACCTCGGATGCTGTGTGGCGAGTCCCAAGCTAGGTCAGTACTGGCCAAGAGGACATCTGGTGGCAGCTCTCCCACTCTGCCCCCTCTGGAGCTGTCCCCACAGGAAATCTCAGGGGACAAGAGAGACCGATGGGCTTCCAGGCTTGGTGGCCAAGGACTGTGGGAAGTTGAGCATGTCCTCTCTGATGGGTGTCCTCGTCCATGCAAGGAGAGGTACGGTGTGGGGACAGGCCAAGAAAGGTGTCCAGGAATGGAAGAAGTGGTAACCGAATCATAGACACCCACACTATGCAGATATTTTTTAAAAATCACAGTTTTCAAAGGATTTTTTTCCCCTAGTACCAGGGATTAAACCCAGGGGTGCTTAACCTCGGAGCCCCATCCCCAGCCCTTTTCTATATTTTATTCAAACACAGGGTCTCACTGAGTTGCTGAGGCTGGCCTTCAACTCACGATCCTCCTGCCTCAGCCTCCTGAGCAGGGGTGGAGGATGACAGGGAATTAAAGGCCTGTGCCACCATGCTGGGCTCAGAGGATTCTTAAGGTTACTGGGAAATGTTCCTTAACTGAAAATCAAGAAGCAAGAAAATCTCTGCTCTTTCAAGATTCCCTCGTTTCCTACAGGATCACGTGATGGCTCACGTACAGGTGCTTGGTGGGCGCTCCCTTGCTGGGGACGCCGGCCTCTCCCTGCTCCCTGGCCCTTTCAGGAGGGCCCTGGCTCCTTGGGACACTCACGAGCTGCCGTCCCGGGGAGAGTCGTCGTCTTCCTTGGGCTCCTCCTCCTCTGCCTCACTACCCTGACTACTGTACACTGTTGGCTTCAGAGTGGAAGGGATTTCCTGAAAATATCTGCTGACAATGATTTCCTCAGCGTCCTCGTCCTCTCTGTTCCTCCAAAAATTCTCCCATCGGCTGTGGACAGTAAGTGGTTGTTCACAATCACAGGGCCCAGGCCGTCACTCCTAAGCCTGTCAAGGAGCCCCTGGACCCTACCCGGAAAAGCAGGCCACCAGGTACGCTGGGCATCCTGCTTCTCATGAATTAAAAATGGGAGCCTGAAGCCACAGAGTCATCTGTGGCCACAAAATCAAACAGCAGGAACTGTGGGGTAGGCTAATGGCTGCTGATGGCATGAGATACATGCTGCAGGGCCGGGCCAGGCCGGGTAGTCCAGGAAGCAGCACAGTAAGCCGGTGTGGGAGAGGCCGCGGAGTGGAGTGGAACCAAGCAAGGGCCCACCTATGAGGTGACACTGAGCTGCTAACAGTCAAGTCCTATGATTTACCTCTGGAGGACTCTGGGGTGGGGTTGGGGGTTTAAGGACATCAAGGGATTACACAAAGAGCCTCTGAGGCTGTATTAGGCCCCCTCACGTCACCTGGGCACGGGAAGGAAGTGGGGGTGAGGTCTGATCAGGTAGATGTCAGTGGTCCGCAGACCTCTAGGTTGTAGGGACACGTTTGGACCTAATTTTAACTTTTTTTGGCAAGGGCAAAAACAATAAAAAATTAAAAAATAAGGCTCGTGACTGAAAAGGCTGTGGACCAACAGGTGGGCATGTGGTCTGTCCAAGCTTGGAAAGTACAGCCGAAGGGAAGAGACAAACAGCCACAGGAAAGATGGCAGCAAGTAGTGCACAGGGAGACGGCTGTCCTGAGTCGCTCACCCCAGGCACACTCAGACACGCGTGTACACACACACACACACACACACACACGCACGCACCCCGGGGGCCGGCCTGCAGAGCTCAATCTGCTTGGCTTCATCTGTGGGATTCATTCCAAAACTCAAGACATGCCCTTTGAAAATGAGATTTCAATGGAACAGAAGAGATTCCACACCAAGCCGTCTAGTGGGTCAAGAAGACTTTCGAAATACAGTGATATTGGGAAGACAGAGCGAACTCTGCCCGCTGAGGTGTCTGTCCCCAAAGGAGGACAGTTGGGAGGGTACCTTGATGGATTCCAACAAATGGACCATATTGGGGACAGGGAGCCCCCAGGCCTCTGGATCTTGACTTTCTCCTCGCCGTTCTTGTTCCGGATGCTGATGACCCCATTGAACATCCCCAGGGCCAGGTACTGACCATCATTTGTCCAGCTGTGCACATGATTGACAGAGAAGGGGACAGGAACACATGAGGAGGAGGCCTTGATTTTAAAGAAGTGGGGGGGGGGCGGTGCAGGCTGGGCTACCGTCCTGCTCATCCCTGACATAAAATCAGAGGTCCAGCTGAAACTCCCACCTGTTTTGGGGACAAGTGTCATTTCCCAAGTGCCCACAGTTCTGAACAGGCCCCCATGACAGCCCTCAGCTCCTGCCTGCAATCCTGCCCCCACCCCACCTCCTACTCTCCAATCCCCTCCCAGACCCACAGCACCCTACCAATGGACCCTGAGTCTTGGCTTGAAAGATGAAGGAACATAAAGCCCATTTTCAAGTGGCCCTTGACCTACCTGCAGCAGGTGACCCTGTTGCTTGATTTGTGCTTGGAGATAGACTTCTGTTCAGGAGACCACAGGCCTGGGATGTGCGGGAATATAAAGGACCAACTGGTCAGAATACTATGCAGCAATCAAAAAGGAATAAACTGTTGACCTGTAGAGCAATTTAGAAGGTCTCCAGGGTTTTCTGTTGAGCGAAAAAAGTCCACCTCAGAAGGTCATACACCAGATACCAGATAGCAGATTTCATTTTTTTTTAAGTTTTTTTCCTTAGTTGTAGGTGGACACTATACCTTTACTTTATTTATTTATTTTTATGTGGTGCTGAGGATCAAACCCAGTGCCTCGCACGTGCAAGGCCAGCTCTCTACCACTGAGCCACAACCCAGTGCCACATGATTCCATTTATATAATATTCTTGAATGCAAAATATAGGACAAGGAACAGATTCATGGCTACCAGGGGTTGGGGATAGCAGGAGGAAAGGAGGTGCGTTGGTGATAAGCAGTATCTGTGTGGTGGTGGGACTGTTCTGTATCACAGTGGTGATAATCAAAATGTGATAAAAATGGCAAAAGCTAGCTGGGCGAGGTGGCACATGCCTTTAATCCCAGCGACTCGGGAGGCTGAGGCAAGAGGATCACAAGTTCAAGGCCAGCCTGAGCTACTTAGTGAGACTCTCAGCAACTTGGTGAGACCTTGTCTCCAAAAGCAAAATTAAAGGATCAGGGATACACCTCATTGGTAAAGTGACCTGGGTTCAATTCGCAGTAGCCCCCACCAAACATAAATAAATAAATAAAAGACAGAACTCTACACACAGACTGTGCCTGGCGCAGTTTCCTGGTTTGGGTGCAAACGTTACGTAAGATGTGCCCACTGGGGGAATCAGATGAAGCCTGCGTGAGACTACCCTGGACTATCTTTGCAGCTTACTGAGAATCTATAATTATTTCAAATGAAAAAAAAAAAAAAGAAGATAGATTAGTGAGGCTCTAGCCAAAACTTGTCTGCAATTTAAGTCTCAAAGAAATAAACTAGGACACTGTAACCATAGGGATGGACGCTGGGCGAGTGTCTCACGCCTGTAATTCCAGCTGCTCGGGGGCCCAAAGCAGGAGGGTCACAAGTCTGAGTCCGGCCTGGGCGACTTATCAAGTCTCTGTCTCGAAATAGAAAAGAGATGGAGCTCAGCGGCAGAGTGTCCTGGTTCGATCCCAGGGCTGCGAAATCTAATGAATAAATAAAATAATGACTGGTGCTGAGGATCCGTCTCCTCTCCCAGGACTCCGCCACAGCACACAGCCTCGTTCTTGGGACCCTTGGCACCTAGGCTTGCTCCCTGTGGCCCCAGATGCCCTGGCTCAGTGCCCCACAGCAGGGACAGCTTCAGACAACATAAGCAAATTCTACCCTTGGCCTGAGCTGTGAAGCGTAATGACAGGGAAACGCAGCGCACAGCTGTATTTATGCAGCCAGGTGCGACACTCAACAGGTTATCGTCCCCCCTCTCCCCCAGGGTGTCCTCCCCCCACCTGGCCCTGCAACATCTCCACCTAAGCACGGTATAGCTGCTGCCCCGAGCCTGCCCGGGCCTCCAGCTGAAGGGAACCCGCCCTCAGAGGGCTCCCCAGAGAAGGTTCAAGAAGCAACCAGCTTCCTGGGTCCACCCCCTGGTTCCTCCATTCACCGCTGAGTGGCCTCCAGTGACCAGGGAACCACGCTAGGCCCCAGTTCTTTGAGCAGGGTGCAATGAGACTAGAACCTGACCTTGTGGTCACCTGGAAGTCATCTTTAACCCTCAGGACGGTGCCTGGCACGTAAGCAAGCACTCAGCAAATATTGTTTTTACTTAACAGTTTTTTTTTTCTTTTACAAAATCTGCCTTCCTCCAAGAGCACAGGCTTGAGGACAGGGAGCCTGGCTTATCTTTCTAATCCTCTCAGTAAGCACAGAGAAGATGATCCACTTCCAGACCCATGAGAGCCCCCTATTTATTTACAGTGCTCTCCGTCACCTTCTCTCTTGTGAACCTCAGAACCACATCAGTGGGACACACGGGGTGGGTCACTCCTTCCTTTGGGAGAAGGACCCTGAAATGCTGAGCGGGATCAGGTCTCTGGCTATTCCCCAACCCACTGTCTCTTGGCAAAGAGACATTCGAGGTGACAGAAACCCAGGGTCGGCCTTCCATGGAGATTCCCACAGGCCCCTCCCTCCACACGCATCTCACTGAGCACCTCATTCGGGCCAGTGCCACCCCAGTCCCTGGGTGATGTCCACAGGGACTCAAGGCCTTCAGCCCCTCAGGAAGCAGAGTCACCCAGACAGTCGTGACAGCACCACCCTTGACATGGTGAAGAACGTCACACCCACAAGGACCTGGATGAGCACAGGTGGGTCAGCTGGAGTGTCCCTGGTGGGTGGCCACAGGAAATCATGCCAGGGCCCTGACCAAGTCCCTGCCTGAGGCCTATGGTCTCTTACCAGTCTCAAGGTCATTGTCACTCATGACCTTGGTTTCTGCACAGATTAGAATAAATTCCAGCCTCCCAGGGTGGAGCAGTGCTGCTGGCTCTCGGGTGGCTCTCAGGGTGAACGTGGGGGTCATGGGTGGATTTCAGCATGTGGGGCTCAGAGCTCCGGCTATTCCCAGGCATGGCGCTGGAGGTGGGGACCTACCGAAGTCGTTGGAGGAGCAGGACGCCAGCTGGTGTGTGATGGGGTTGTAGGAGACGCACTGCACCGAGTCGCTGTGCCTGCAGAGGAAATGGCTGCAGGTTGACACACAGCCCCCACAGACACCTGGGTGGGTCAACCAAGGCTGGGACCAGGAGCCATGGCTTTGGACTCTGTGTGACAGGCCCCCTGCAAATGACCCACAAGCAGCACAGGGGCTGATGGCCCTAACCACGAACATGCAGGGCGTCAGGTACCGCGCACGGCATCTGGCCCCAGGTTCATTCCTTCTGCGTAACGTCGGCCTTGCAACCCCAGCTCAGGTTCTCATTCAGACATTGTTGATTTGGGCACCTGTGTGCAGGGCAGCGGCATTCACAGGAGCCAAGAGCTGGATACAATCCGAGTGTCCATCAGCAGGTGGACACCACAAAAAACATGTGGTGCATGCACACGAGCACGCACACAACAGCATGTTATTCATCCTTAAAAGGCAAGGAAACCCTGACCCATGCTACAGCACAGACCCATCTCAAGGACGTGACACTAAGTGAAGTAACTCAACTACGACAGGACAAATCCTGTGGGATCCACTCACACGGGCACCTGGAACAGCCAAAATCAGAGACAAAAAGTAGAAAGGTGTCTTCTGACAGCTGAGAGAGGGGCAAAGGGATATCGAGGAGATGAAACTATAGAGAGATGACTTGTGCATCTGCTGTCCCACGGCTGACTGAGGAGACGCAGAAAATAGTAACTGTCAGCTGGGCGCAGTGGCACACGCCTGTCATCCCAGCAGCTTGGGACGCCGAGGCAGGAGGATCATGAATTTGAGGCCAGCCTCAGCAACTTAGCAAGGCCCTAAACAACCCAGGCAGACCCTGTCTCCAAATAATAACATAAAATAGGGCTGGGGATGGGGCTCGATGGTTAAGCACCCAGGGTTCAATCCCCGGTACCAAAAAAAAAAAAAGATGGTACATTTTAAGATGGTACCAGGATTAAAAGAAAGAAAATTGTTTGCTGAGTACTTATTGTGGACCAGGCACTGTACTGGGCACCAGGAAGACAAGAGTGAGCAACAACACAGTCTGTGGCCTCCCAGAAATTATGGGCTGGTGGGTGAGACTGTTTCACCAACAGAACATAAAGCTACATGGGTAAGAAATGCCAGCAGGGGACCTGCCCGAGTCTAGGAGAGTGGGTACAGTCTGCAGGAACAGTGACCTCGGAGCTGGGAACCCGCAGGGACATGGGGGCTAGAGAGCGAGGGAATCAGGGGACAGTGGGGGAGGCCTGGAGCACACTGGACCCAAGTTCCTGGCTTGTGACACTGGGGGATGGGGCCATTCTCTGAGGCAAAGCGTTGGAAGAGGCCAGGTGGGGGCTGAGGGGCACCTGTGGTGGCCTAGGAACTGAACATGTTATATGTCACCACCAGCCCAGCTGCCACCTAGTGGGGACTGTTCACACCATTCCCACACGTAGTGACTTAGTTTTCAAGTTCATTTCAAGTTTAAAAAACAAGTTCACCTTTACATCTTTCCTAAGAGGCTTGTGCGAGAACCATGAGCGAGTCAGACTCGTCACTCTGCCACTCGAGTGGCGGGTCACTTACGTGTACTTGAGAATGCCTTCCAGTTTTGACGTCCAGATAATAACGCTTTTATCAGCTGATCCCGAGGCAAAGCGCTTGCCTAGAAGTGATTTTAAAAAGAAAATTGTCACATTCACTTTAAACCAGCATTTTCCAGAGAGCATTTCTTAGAAAATTAGTTTTTTAAGTTTTTTAACTGTTACCCACTTCTCTACTTTTTTTTTTTTTTTTTTTTTTTTGGTGCTAGGGATCAAACCAGGGCCCTGCGCAGGCAAAGCACACACTGCCCCACCAGGAGTCCTGCCCCTCCTGCTTCTCACCAGGACTGGGAGACGGCACTCTGGGTCCCCAACCTCTCTCACCAGCATGCCCCACACAGACGACTGAGGGCCTCCAACAGGCAGGGGCAGTGGCAGATGCCTCTAATGCCATCAACTCGGGAGGCTGAGGCAGGAGGATCACCAGCTGGAGGCCAGCCTCAGCAACTTAGCAAGGCCCTAGGCAACTTAGCGAGACCCTGTCTCTAAATAAAATACAGAATAGGGCTGGGGATGAGGCTCAGTGGTTAAGCGCCCCTGGGTTCCATCCCCAGTACCAAAAACAAAACAACAAAATCTTGGAGTCGTCCTGGCCTCCTCTTTCTTTACCCCCAACATCCAGTTTGTCAGGCAATCCTACTGGCTTTACCCTCAAAATATATTCAGAATCTGGTGACTCTCCCATTGGGCTGGGGTGTGGCTCAGTGGCAGAGCCCCTGCCTGACATGTGTGAGGTCCTAGGTCTGATCCCAGCACAAGAAAAACAAATGACCTGACTACTTCTCTCGGCTTCCCTGGCCTCCACCCTGCCTGGGAGATGCTTTCCCGCCCTCCTGCCCCGGCCTCCTGTCCACAGGCTGCTCCCAACACAGCAGCAGGAGGGGGCCTTCAGAATGCAAATCGCATGGGTGCCTCCTCTGCTCAGCCCACTCAGGGCCTCTCCATTTTCACTAAGCATCAAGGCCAAGTTTGGCCCTTGCGGCTGCCCACGTGGTCTGGTGACCTCTCAATCCCCGCCCCTGTTCCTGGTACACACAGCGGCACCTGGGAGACTCTGTCGTGGCCCTTCCCTGGCTGGGTCTCTCTCCTCCAGATGCACAGTGTGCTGGGCCTTCAAGCCTTTGCTCACCTGTCCCCATCCGTCGTATCCTGTCCCCAGTCCCCCCAGAATAGAAGCCCCCCGGCCGTTTGTCTGTCCTGTTCTCTGAAGTATCTCAAGCACCTTGGACAGTGCCCAGAGCACAGATGGCCGCAAGATACATGCTGGATCGCCTGACAGGACGGAAGTGCAGGCGATTGCCCTGTCCTCGCATCTGGGAGCTCTATTTTCAAAATAAATAAAGACTGGCTAAGGGGAAAATGAGCAGCTGTGACGCCATCACGGACAGCGGGACCCAGAGCAGCCTCTCACCATCCTTAGCATAGGCCACACAGTACACGGTGTCCTTGTGTCCCTTGAGGGGCTGAACCAAGGTGCCATCCGAGGTTTCATAAACCTGGGAAAAGACAGAGAAGTACACATTACCTAGGGGGCACCTAGTGTTCAGAATTCTTGCAGGGCTGCTCCTGAGACTTGGAGCACACCTGTCATTCCAGCAGCTCGGGAGGCTGAGGCAGGAGGATCGCGAGTTTAAAACCAGCCTCAGCAAAATTGAGGCCCTAAGCAACTCACTGAGCCCCTGTCTCTAAATAAAATACAAAATAGGGCTGGGGATGGGGCTCAGTGGTCGAGTGCCCCTGAGTTCAATCCCTGGTACCCCCCAAAAAAGAAAAAAAAATCATAGAACTGAACCCTGGCTTTGCAAGTCAGAGGGGGTGTTGCAAAGCCCATCTGGAATATGGATTCAGGATACTTTATAGCCTGTGGGATGCAGAGATGTAAAAAACACACCGTCTAGAAATCAGAGCAACACTGTCCAAAATGGTCAGAGGATTGGGAAGATAATCTATGAGAAGGCTCTGGGTTGTTTACCCTGGAGAAAGGCCGTCTGTGGAACAATTCACCCAGGGCTTAAAGATCCTGCAGTTACTAAGCAGAGAAGGGACATCAATCAGTCTGCAGATCTGGAGACAACAGAGGACAGGAAGTGGGCTTACGTAGCAGGAAGGCAGATCACAAAGGTTTTTAGGTCAAACAGAACGACTTCTCTGAAGATTCCATTTATACACTGGGACAAGTTCCAGGGGGAGCTGATGTCCTTTGAAAATATGAAAAAATAGGAAAGAGCCATATGGAATTGTTTAGGTGGGCCCCTGTCGAAAAGTTGGGGTCAGGCTCTGTGGTCCCCTGGAGAGAGAGAGGACCTTCAGAACTGCTGCTTGAATTTTTTCAAGGGGACAAATATGAACTGACACCCGCCCAGTTTCAAAAGCATTTTGATTCATTGTCCTCGCCTCTTTTCAAAGCAAAGGGGGAAGATGAGTGGTCCCCAGGAGGCACTGTTCACAGGTTCCTATCTGATGCACACTTTACTTACCTGTTTTAAATAGCCCATTTCCTTCCCTATGAAAAAATAATGGCTGGTTTCTCTGCCCTGGCCTTTTTTTATCTCAAAAAAGAAAAAAAAAATAGGGGGGAGGGTCCAATTCCACAGTGCTTCTAAGAGGGTGGGGAGAGCACTTAAAAAGGAAACTCAGACCAAATCCTACCAGTAATCTGTTTCCTGCAGCCAGAATCAGTTGCGTTCCATCGGGCTTAAATGCAAGGTCATAGACACTAAATCAGAGACAAGACAAAAAGACAATTAGGAACCAAAATAATGAGGTCGGCTAATGGCCAGGAAAGCCAACTTGATTTCCATTATGAAAACACCGCCGTGTGGAGCAGGGAGAAAAATAATGGCTAAGAATTGCATTTGGTTGCGAATTCCATTCAACCACCACGCCCTGGCAGGCCACTCCATCACAGTCCCCCGGCTGGCCGTCCTCTGGGACAGACGTGATTCAGAGTCAACTGTCAAGGGCACTGACTCTTCCAACATTGTAGCCACTGTCAAGGCTGCACACCTGGGAGAAGGTGTAGAGGCTAGTGAGTGAGTCCACACTGGTATTTACTGAGTGCCTCTGTTGCTAGGCACCAGCAGATAGGAGATGAGAGGATCAGAGGCCCTTCCTGTCCCCAAGAAAACTACCATCCAGTGGGAAGGTGTCAATCAGACACCTCACCAAGAACTATTCATCCATTCTAATACACACACACACACACATACATACACACACACACATTTTAATACACCAGGGATTGAACCCAGGGTGCTCAACTACTGAGCCACATCACCCAGCCCTTCCTATTTTTTGAGACAGGGTCTTGCTAAATTGCTAAGGGCCTCGCTTAGTTGCTGGCTGGCCTCAAACTTGCGATCCTCCTGCCTCAGCCTCCCAAACTGCTGGGATTACAGGCGTGCGCCACTATAGCTGACTCAGGCATACATTTTTTTCATATTTTAGCGTCTCTGAGTTTGGAATATGTCTGATAATTGATGATACATCAGTTCAACTGATAGCATTTTTTTTGCTTTCTTATTGATACGCAAAATAATGGTATTTTAAAATAAAAATATTTGCCAGTTGTGGTAGTGCACACCTGTAATCCCAGGAACTCGGGAGGCTGAGGCAGGAGGATCACAATTTAAAAGCCAGCCTCAGTAACATAGTGAGGCCCTCAGCAACTCAGTGAGGCCCTGTCTCTGAATAAAAAATAAAAAGGGCTGGGGTGGGGCTCAGTGGTTAAGTGTCCTTGGGGTCAATCTCTGATTTAAAAAAAAAGATCAAAAGGAGAAAGACGGAGTGTTCAGATTTGAGGACAGGATTGAAGGGGCTTCATGAAGAACATAGTCTTTGAATAAGGCAGAACTTGGTGACATGCAGGAGGAGACTCACAAGGCACAGCCCTCAGGCAAAGAAGACAGATTAAGCACAGACCTGAATGTGGGGACACAAGAATATAAATAATTGAGTTTGAGAGAACCATTGGCTACCTACAAGGCCAGGAGAGAGAGGAGGCTAGAAAACCAGGCCAGAGCCCTGTTCAAAGGTTCTGGATGGCAGAGGACCTCCTTGTTCAGATGACAAGAAACGGCAGTCAGAACTTATTGCAAAAGCTTTGTGTGGTCAACTACCTGGCGCTTGTCAGAATCTAAAAATCCACACCCTCAGTGACAGGACGGGGCCCGTACTACAGACAGCTCCAGGCTGGGCTCTTCTCAAACCCACAATGTCATTTCATCTTCCCAAGAATTCTGTGATGTAAGGATCATCGCCCTCGGGGCTCTGGACAGTGGGTCCTGTATCCACAGATTCTATCAACCAGGGGTTGAAAGGATTCAAAAAATAAAACTGCAGTGAACACAGATTTTTTTTTTTTCTCGTGACTATTCCCTAAATAGACTAGGACAACTGTTTCCATAACATTTATGTTATTTCAGGTACTCAGTCATCCAGAGACAATCTAAAGCACAATGTGGGTTCTATGCAAATCCAATACCATTTTATATAAGGGACTAGAGCAGTCATAGATTTCGGTATCTGACAGGTGTCCTGGAACAAATTGCCCATAGATAGGGAGGGACAACTGGAATTGGTTTTGTGGATGATGACACCACAGTTCAGAGAGGTCAAGTACTTTACCCCATGTCACACAGCCAACAAGTAAAACGCCCAGAATATAGCTTGGGTCTGCCTCTAGAACCTGTGCTTTTAACCACTGTGCTATAATGCCATCAACTCTCTTCAACTGTCACTGAGTATTGCAAATCTGTCACCCTAATGCTGTAATAAGAACAGCGGCTAACATTTCTTAAGCACGTGTACTACTGCATGCACCAGGTATAGCTTGCTTAACTTCACAACAACCCTCTGCCTATTTTGCAGATGAGAAAACTGAGGCCTAAAGAATGAACTTAAATAACCTGCCTGAAATTAAAATGCTACCAAGTGGAGGTGGAGCCAGGAATCAAACTCAGGCAGTTAGCCCATGCCATAGTCGACAAAATAATTAGCAATGGTTTTCATGCCTTACCAAAATTAAAAAAGAAAAATATCATCAACTACTCAAGGCATTACTTGTAGAATTGGGGAAGTTAAAGTTTTATCTGTCTCTTTAGTTATTGGTACCCAGGGGCTCTATCACTGAGCTACATCCCCAGCCTTTAGATTTTTATTTTGAGACAGGGTCTTTCTAAGTTGCTGAGGCTGGCTTTGAACCTGAGATCCTCCTGCCTCAGCCTCCCCAGTTGCTGGGACTGCAAGCATGCGCCATGGCACCTGGCATTCACCTGCATGATGCTTTGATCTAGGTATACGTTATAGAAAGCTGATTGACATATCCATTCCCTCAAGGAACAACTTATCACTTTTTGTAATAAGAATATTAAAAATCTATTCTTTCAGCCATTTTGAAATATACCGTACATTAGTGTTGGTATGCAGTGGAATAAGCCAATGAAACTTACTCTTCTGGTCTAGCTGAAACCTGGTGACCTTTATCAACATCTCCCCTTCCCTATCCCTCACTGGCCCCTCCCCTGGTTACGATGAGTCCACCTATTCGGATTCTACCATAAATGAGATCATACAGCATAGGCTCCACTGAGCCAGAAGCTTCCTTGACAGGAGGTGATAAGGGAGGTGAGCTCACATTATGTCACTTGATTCTTTTAACATATGGAGTAAACAGGACAGGAGCTGGTTTATTTTTATAGATGAGGAAATGAAACTCCAGAGAGACAACTTGTCGTGTGCTGTCACAGCTGACTGAGGGAGAAACTGTAGCAAAGTGACTGTCAGCTGAGCGCGGTGGCAGATGCCTATAATCCCAGTGGTTCAGGAGGCTGAGGCAGGAGGATCACAAGTTGGAGGCCAGCCTCAGCAATTTAGCAAGGCCCTAAGCAACTCAGCCAGACCCTGTCTCTAAGTAAAATGTAAAAAATGTCTGGGGATGTGGCTCGGTGGTTAAGCACCCCAGGTTCAATCCCCAGTACCAAAAAGGAACTGTCACACCCTTTCAGCTGAGGATCCTCTGGATAGGCGTAAACTTGGGCCCTAGGGCCCGTAGCTTGCTCCTTCTCTGGTCTGTGGCTAACAGACCTGGGCCTCCCTTGTTTGTTACACTTTCTCTGAGTCCAGAGAAATGTTCCTGGCACACTTCACATTCTGAGCTGCAGGACAGTAGATTAAAAATCAGAGCAGAGGTGGGGTCAGAAAAGGTGACCTCCTACATGGGCTCGTCCTCCACACTGATGGGGCTGGGAGGGGGGTCTGCACCCCGTCCTTGTTTTGCTCTTTTCTCTGCCTCAGACACATGTCACCTGAGCTCATCAGAATGATCCCTGTGTGGCCTCTTTCTCGTAAGGCATTTGGGGTTGAATTACCAAATCATCTTCCAGGGTCTCCCTTGGGCTAACCTTGAACTATCATCCTCACAAGTGTGAAAAAAATCACATTGCTGAAATCTCTTGAAATCTGCCTTCCTAAAACATAATATGGAAAACGGATTGGCCCCAGCCTAAACTCTTACTGTACGTATAATCTGTCCAATTCAGTCTGGCTCCGAGTTACAGAGTCTTCTTTATCTTCAGGGTTTCAGATATGATCCTGCCTAATTATATGCAATTTGAGGGTAACGATCATGTTTTAGAGTGTTCATTTGTGGATCCAAAGTATGTGGCATTGTCCTAGAAACATCAGGAACGTTTCTGACCAACTGACAAAATTTTATCTTGAATCCCTCAGACCTTAATTACATCATGAGATCACAGAAACCCGGAATTGGAAAGGATTTTGTGGTGGTGTCTAACGCCCCCTCCAGGACAAGAATTCCCTCCAAGTGGCCATTCCAGCCTCAAATGTGGTCAGGCGGGGAGCCTGCTCACCCACTGGCCGTCTACTCGACTGTGGGATGGCTCTCTCCCCGTGTCCCCTTTTATGCACAAAGGAGATTTCATCAGATTCCACTGCAGAGAGACACAGTCCTGAGGGCTGTCCTCTGCCAGCCGTGTCCCAGCCCTCTGCAAAATTGAAGTCCCAAGAGGCCTCTCCAAACAATATGCAATCTAGCCCAGCGCCCTCTTATTTGCTTAGAAATCTGAGCTAAAGGATGTGGCTTTATTAAATCTCATTTGCAAATGGGATAAGAATTCACAGGTGGCTGTTCAGATTAACCAAGATGATGTTTGTGAACACGGCTGGCCGACCAGAGCTCAGTAAACACGCTGGGGGACACCAGAATGGGGTGCGCTGGCCGAATATAGCACCATGTTGAGCTTTGGGGTGGAAAACAGAGTCTGGCTGAGCTCCCAAGCTGACATTTAAATGTTTAGGAAGCTTGGGGAGAAGAGGGCGAGAAGGACCACCTAGCTAACAGGAGTCACACTGGGTTTATGAGATGAAGAATAACAAACAGAGACTTCTAACTATTATGTGAAGGATGGGGTAGGAGCAAAAGAGGAAATCAGGAAACAGTGTCTGGTCAGCTACGGAGGGCTGATCTCTGACATCTGAGATTTTTTAATTTGATCATCTCTTACTTTTTCCCAGTCACCCCCCTGACCCACCCACCCAGGCTATCAGTTGGCCTATCTGGCTGCCAACTGTTGGTCAACAATCACTGGACCTACTATTGATTTATTTTTTCATTCATTCATTTATATATTTGGTTCAGGGGATTTAACCCAGGGCACTTTACGACTGAGCTCTGGCCCTTTTTATTTTTTACTTTTGAGGCAGGGTCTCTGTGAGTTGCTGAGGCTGCCCTTGAACTTGGGATCCTCCTGCCTCCTCTGTTGCAGATCTGCTGTTCTAATAAATCGTTTCCAACCCCAGTGATGGCCAAGAAGCAGCCAGCCAATCCTCATTCACTTCCTGATTCCTTCAATCACGAAACATCGATCCACCAAACAGCAACCACCAATGACCTGTCCAGGCTCTGAAATCACGTGGAAATGAATGAAGACATAGCCCTTGCTTTTCAAGGGTTTATGGTCTTCTGGGATAAATAGATTTAAAAAAAAAAAAATTACTCTTGCGCTTGACAGACTCTAAGTACCACAGAGATGAAGGGAGACAATTCTGTGCCAGGGGATGAAAATAGAGCAGATCAGGCTGCATTTGGCCAGCAAATGTTTAGTTTGGCCCACATGGTGTTTTACTTTGTATTTTCCTTTTAGATGCCAACATTGAAAAATTAGGGCATTTCACATTAAAAACCCAGATTCCTAGCTTGGTAAAAACAGGAAGATCTGAGCACCCGAGGCCAAGTCCCTGTAGGGTGATGATTGGCAGGAGCACAGCCACAGCTGCCCCTTTCCAGGAGAGCTTGAACTCTTCAGGTGGCCACAGTCCGTGCCATCCCTGATTATTCTGTGACACGGAAGCCAAATGTTCAGTTGCCAGTTATCACCAGCTTGTGCAATGGGTACTTCCATGATAGAGGGAGAAAGAAAAAAGAATTTGACTTTTTACTCAATTTCCATTAAAAGTAAAAAAAAAAACCAAAACCTTAATGCTGGGGGTGTACCTTGGTCGGTATGCATGCTTATCAGGTATGCGGGAAGCCCTGAGTTCAGTCCCCAGCACTGCAAAAAAATTATAAAGCTTAAGCCAGGCTTGGAAGTACATGTCTGTAATCCCAAGCTATTTGGGAGGCCGAGGTAGGATGATTGTAAGTTCAAGACTAGCCCAGGCAATTTAGTGAGACCCTATCCGCCCCCCCCCCACACACACACACAAATAATTAAAAAGGACTTGGGAGCTGGGCATGGCAGGTGCATGCCCATAATCCTAGCGACTAGGGAAGCTGGGGCAGGGGAGGAGGATCTCAAGTTCAAGGCCAGCCTGGGCAACTTAGCAAGACCCTGTCTCAAAAGAAAAGAAAAGAAAGAAAATGACTAGGGGGAGTCCTTTGGTCGAGGCAAAGTATCCCTGGATTTGATCCCCAAGACTGCAATCAATCAATCAATCAACAAAATCAGATAAATAAAGGGGGCCTTAAGAGATATTTAGGATTTTATTGTGGAATTGGGGACACAAGGTACGCTTTACACAGAGAAAGGCCTCAGAAGAGACAGAGCTAATGGCAAACAACCTTCACAATGTAAAGATCACTGAGAAAGATTCTGAGCTGCTGAGAACTATCCAGTCAGTCAGTGCTTGCCAAAATGTACCCCCCTGGAAGATGGAATTTAGGTGAGAAAAAAAAAATGGAACAAGGGCATTCAATAACACTGAATCACAAGGAGAAAAACTCTTTCGATTCTTTTCCGGACTTAATTCTAATTAGGAGAAAATCTTGGTTCTGTGCCCATCTGAAATCTCTCTCTCCTCATACTTGTGAATCGAGTTTTTAGGTGTAAAGGTTCCCTAGCAACAATATCCAGCTACGACTTACAAACACGGCGGTTTCTCCCTGCTTGAAGTTGAACATTTGTCTTAAAGTAAATAATGTTGATTTTTTTTTTATACACGAAGCAATTAAGTCTCTGGGGAAAATATAAAATCATATTTAGGCAACGAGAGGGGGTTGGCACGGTGTTGCACGTCTGTAATCCCAGCGACTCAGGAGGCTGAGGCAGGAGGATGGCAAGTGGGAGGCCAGCCTCAACTGTAGGAGGTGCGACCTGAGCCCTGGACGGATTCTGAGCCAAGGAGAGACCAGACCCGATCGTGTTACGTATAAAGCCGCCTCCACAGGCCACAACCCCCTGCCCCATCCCCAAGCCTCAGTTTCTCCACCCACCAAGGGGGGGTGAAAACCTTGCAAGCCCTTAAGGACCTGGGTTCAGCGCCCTCAGCCCAGGCCGCAGGCCCGTTGCCCCTGGCAACCGCGAGGGTTCACTGGAGTGGCTCCCGCCATCCCCTCCCGGGCTCGGCCTCCCGCTCCTCCCCAACTGCCCCGCTTCTCACCACTGATCGACTTTTTCTTTCCACGTCAGCACGGACCTCATCGCAGCTTTCCTCCCGCCTCGGGGCCCCTCCTACCCCCGCCTCAGCAACAGGCGCCGCTACGCGGGCCACTTCGGCTACCTGCGCTACCCCTGGCAACGCACATGCGCACAACACCACCTACGCGCGTGCGCCCGCAGAGCTCCGAGTGCGCAGGTCTACAAGGGAGCGCGCGCACAGGAGCGAAAGCGCCATTGGAACCGGAACTCAGAAGGCGGGAGTGTAGCTGCGGCGTACGCGATTGGTCGGCGCGGGCGAGGGGGCGGTGCGTCTTCCTCGACCAGGGATTTGATTGGCGGAGCCATGGAAATGGCGGCTGCGGTCCAAGGGGCGGTCGGAAAGCGGCTGTGGAGTGTGACAGAGGTACCCTACCTTAACGCTTTGGTGGCATCCCAGTGCCTTGAATCGAAGGAAGTTTCACCTCTTACTCTGCTTCACCCCGAGGCCCTTGCAACTTTCGGCCTGTCGCTGCAGCTGGACCCCGCTTGACTGGCTCAGCCTTGATGGAGACGCCGAGCCTCGGGGACGGCGGACCCGCCCCCTCGATGGCCTCCAGCGACCTCCCAGTCCCAGAGCAGCAGCGTGACCTCCGGCAAGTTCTTTCCCCTTCCGACCGCAGTTCCACCACCTGAAAAATGGGAACGGCGGGTGGACGGTCTGTGGGGCCCTCTGGTCTTCGGCAGAGGGTCGACCAAGACCTGGAGGCCCACAGGCTTAGTTAGTAACTCTGGGAGAAGGTCGCTCCTCCTGTAGGATGAGCCCTGGGGTGTCCCAGGCTTTCTTTACTCCGGCAACTAGAAAGCTGGGAGGAGCAGGGAACTTTTGTGGTACAGGTAGAGATTGCGGTGGCACACGGAGGCTGAGGGAGGAGGATCGCAAGTTGGAGGCCAGCCTCCACAATCTAGAGTCTCTGTCTCAAAATAAAATCAGGGCTTGGGAATGTTGCTCAGTGGTAAAGCATCTCTGGGTTCAATCCCTAAAAAAAAAAAAAAAAAGAGGTGTAGTTCGGTTGGAAACTCCTACAAATATCATGGAGGAGATGTGTTCAGTAAGCAGGGCAGCCCAAAAATGGGTTTTAAGAGAAGTAACAGAGGAAACTACAGTTGTTTGTTGCATACTTGGATATGTGAGAGATGGGTGTAGGATGACTTGCCTACATTTAAAAAAAAATTTAATATTTATTTTTTAGATGTAGATGGTCACAGCATAATGCCTTTATTTTTATGTGGTGCTGAGGATCGAACCCGGGTCCGGCTCGTGCTAGGTGAGCACTCTACCGCTGAGCCACAATCCCAGCCCTCAAAAAATTTTAATCTTGTAAATGTTATTACAAATGAAGAAATGAGTCTTGGAGAGCTTAAGTGATCTGCTCTTGGACTCACAGATTTGAGTCTTTTCCACCAGGTTTCAGTTTCCTTAACTCTTAAGTAAGCTACCATAAGATTCCTACAGCTCCCCAAAAGTATTTAACCCTAAATTACGTCAGAAGACTGTGATTCTAATACTTATTAGACACTAGTTCTTTCTTAGTTTCCCCGTTTGTAGAAAAGATGTTGGATTAGATGATCTCTTTTAAAATGTATCATTTAGTGGTTAAGATACACTTTGCTGAACTTTTTCAATAATAGTACAGGAGAGAAGTGTTAGACCAAACAGTAGGTCTGGGTTCTGGTATCAGTTCTGCCAGTATTTTAACCTTCTATCACTCAGTTTTATCAATACAATGAGAGTAAATCTTGTCCTACGTACTTCACAAGGTTATTGTGAAGATGAAGAATCAAGGAGATTTGAAAATTCTTGTCAGAAACTATTTGCCTTTTAAAGGATTGCAACCTCTGAGAGAAATGATAGAGGCTCTTACTCAGAAAAATGCACATCTATGTAAAATTTTCCCCGTACTTGTTTGCAGAAGAGGGGGTTCACTCGCTCCTTTAAGCAGTCCTTGTGATCACTGGTTAACAGGTTAGCTATTAGTTCCTGTTCTCCAGCTTAGGTCAGGTGTCATCAGAAATCTTTATAATAGCTGGGTGCAGTGGCGTGTGTCTGTAATCCCAGCAGCTGAGGAGGCTGAGGCAGGAGGATCCCGAGTTGAAAGCCAGCCTCAACAATTTAGTGAGGCCCTAAGCAACTTAGCAAGGCCTTGTCTCTAAATAAAATATTTAAAAAAAAAAAAGGCTGAGATATGGCTCAGTGGTTAAATGCCCCTGCGTTAATCCCTGGTACCAAAAAGAAAAAAGAAATCTTTTTTTTTTTTTTTTAATAATTTATCAATTCTTTTTTTAAATTTTTTTTAAGAAGAGAGAGAGCGAGAGAGAGAGAGAGGGAATTTATTTTTAATATTTATTTTTTAGTTCTCGGCAGACACAACATCTTTTGTTTGTATGTGGTGCTGAGGATCGAACCCGGCAGACACAACATCTTTTGTTTGTATGTGGTGCTGAGGATCGAACCCGGGCCGCACGCATGCCAGGCGAGCGCTCTACCGCTTGAACCATATCCCCAGCCCAAGAAATCTTTAAAATAGGTGTATGCAATGATTAACCCAAAGAGTATCTAGCAAGTAGCTTGAGCTTCTCATTGTAAAGAGCTGATCACTTGTGCTTTGTTTTTCCAGCGAGGAAGATGTGGCTGTGGGATCGGAAAGAGTGGGAGAAGACGAAAGACAAATAGCAATAAAAAGAATCAGTGAGTGTCAGCCCCTGCTACAAGAAGCCATCGCCTCTTCTCAGTTGGGTGACACCACAGTGACCGGATGCCATAAGCCTGTCCCTTGTGGATGGGAACGAGTTGTGAAACAAAGATTATCTGGGAAAACAGCAGGAAGATTTGATGTCTACTTTATCAGGTGAGCATGCAAGGTGGAAAATAAAGATAGTGCAGCCAGATAATTTTGTCTAGACAGGTAGAGGGGAGACATAGCAGGAATCTTGGCTTCTTGCTAATTTTGCCATCCTACCAATGGATTCTGTTTGTTCACTGTGACTGGTTAATTATATCAAGTAATTTGAGCTCAATTGCATACATTTTGTCCCTCCAACTGGGAATGACATTAATGGTGCAGTTGCATTTGAGTTATGTTTGTGAATTTATTTGTGCTGTTACAGAGGAAACTATTTTAAAATTCCCTTTATGGCTCTTTTTTTTCTTTTTAAATAACAAATGCCTATGACAACATTAGGAAATTATCAATTAGAAATCTGAAATGTGGTTCAGTTCTTTTGCAAAAGTCACTCACAATGATACTGCGTATGGTAGTACACACCTGTAATCCCACCTTCTCAGGAGGCTGAGGCAGTTTGAGACCAGCTGGACAGTTTGGCAAGACCCTGTCCCAACATAGAATTTTTAGAAAGGGCTGGGGTTGAAGTTCAGTGATAGAGTGCTTATGCTTGAGGCCCTGGGTTCAGTCCTCAGTATCCGCCCCCCAAAAAAAAAATAGGCACTTTTATTTGCTAGTAGTAAGTTTCCTTTAATATCATTTTCTAGCCCACAAGGACTGAAATTCAGATCCAGAAGTTCACTTGCTAATTATCTTCACAAACATGGAGAGACTTCTGTTAAGCCAGAAGATTTTGATTTTACTGTACTTTCCAAAAGGGGCATCAGGTCAAGATCTAAAGACAGCAATGTCGCAGCTCTGACATCCCAACTGCAGAATGAAAGTCACATTTCAACCCGGAACCTCAGAACACGAAGCCGGTGGAAGAAAGTGTTTCCTCTGCCCAGTAGTAATTCCGAGCTGCAAGATAGCAGGGGACTGTCCAGCCCTGAGTCCATTCAGGTGCTTTTGGAAGAAGATGAGGGTAGTAATGATGGTAACTCCAGGAAGGTTAGCAAGTCCAAAAGGAAGGTGACAATTTTGAAAGGAATTCCAATTAAGAAAACCAAAAGACGGTGCAGAAAGAGTGTTTCAGGTTCTGTTGAAAGTAATGACAAAGGAGAATCTCCATGCGACAAGACAGATGCTGAAAGAGAGCCTGTTGCCCAAGACAGTGAGCTGGGCAGAACTTTGTGCATCTCTGACACCAGAGTGAGCGACAAGACCCTCAGTGTGACCGATAAAGTCAAGAGCACCGTGAAAGAAAACTCACCCAATTCAGGATCAGACGTTCATTTTGAACAAATAACTTCTGGCGCCTCAGACAAATTATGTTCTACCAAAGAAGCAGAACGCAACGAGAAGTGTGGGGAGACCGATTTAGAATCAGAGGAAAGCAGATCGAAAGGAGACCAGGCGGAGAGGAAGGAGCATTTGCATATGGACCTTTTAAAATGTGGCTCTGAAATAGACAGCAAACGCTCAGAAGGCAAGAGAGATTTTACTTCTGAGAAAATATTTCATGGTATTCAGTGCATTTAATGCTATTAGCCATGGACTGAGGAGGCTCCACTTCCAGATCTTACATTTCATGTCTGTCCATGGTTAAGACACAGTCTAGACAAAGAAATAGAGCTATATCTTAGATCTATTCTTCAGATCATCCTAACACCCTGTTAACTGACCTTCTTCCCATCCTCTTTCCAGCCAGTCATCTTAAAACTAGAAGGAAAACTAAAAGACTTGTAAAAAATTCTCAGAAGATTCCTCTTATACACAAACTGACAATAGCCAGTGTCTTCGCACATCTCCTGTTACTTACTACTGAAGTGCGACTTCCAATTTAATTTCGTACATACCACGGTCACTTTTGTCTTCTATTATAATGTAGTGCTTCTCTAAAAGGCCTAAGGGTTCTAAATAATTCAGAAGTATAATCACATAGTTCATCTATTATTTGTAATATGCTCTTAATACAGAGTTCAGAGCTGAGCTGTTTGGCTTTTATAATACCTCAGTGAATAATTGATAAAAAGGACATCTTCTGAGCAGCCGGCTGTATTAGTTATTCATTATGCCATTATGGTATAATGAATACCTCCCTTAAAGAAGAATAGTAATAGTACTTAATAATCCTGTGGGGGCCAAATTGGTGGAGTGGGGGCTTAGACTTGATTTCTGATCTCAAGCCCCCCATAATTCAATGTCTCCTCTGTGCCTGGAATTTCTCTACCTGTGACAGAAGATGGCCGTGTATACCTGGGAATCTCAGAGGGTCCAAGTCTGTCCTTAAAGACTGAGCATCTTAAAAGAAAGCATTGGGGTTTATGTAGATTTATTGCTAATATAATGGACAAATTAAATATTAAAAAGGATGACTAAGATGAAAGTATTCTATTCCGTAAGTTTGGTTCTCAATAAGATGAAATACCCTTAGCTTACTAGGTGTCCGGTGGAATAGTAAAGATTTTCTTATTGGTTGAGCTACAAATTGCTAAGTGAACTAGTTATAAAGGAGACTAGTTAGTAATTATTTATAGAAACCCACAGAAAACGTTAGCAAGTAACTAACTGGTAAGAGCAGTTCCTTTTTTTTTAATTTTTTTTTCTTTCTACCGTGTTTTATGTACTGAAAATAGAAGACCAAAAAACATTCGACCAATCTGAAGACCTTGACACTTGTCCCAGTGTCCTCAGGCCCAGTATCATTTAAGTATAGTTGCTTCATTTCTAAGCCTCAATTTCTTCATCTGAACAATAGAAATAATAGCCTTCCCTAGTCCCATTTTTCACATCAAGAATATTGTAAGTTAAATCGAGAATGGAAAAGATGGTTTCGTGCTGTTCATATGCAAGGTATTATTAACTGCAATTCAAATTTTGAGGGTATGAGTGGAGGAAGTAAGTAAATATGACTGTTAAAAATAAGAAAAGTGGGCTGGGGATGTGGCTCAAGCGGTAGCGCGCTCTCCTGGCATGCGTGTGGCCCGGGTTCAATCCTCAGCACCACATACAAACAAAGATGTTGTGTCCGCCAAAAACTAAAAAATAAATATTTAAAAAAAATAATAAGAAGAAGAAAAGTGGCCACTCACCAATAGCCATTATGCCATTTTGGTTTATGTCTTTTATTTTTGTATTTTTATTTTTTCATTTTTGAGACAGTTCTGAGGCTAGCCTGAACTCGCTGTCCTCCTGCCTCAGCCTCTCAGGTAGCTGGATTAAAGGCTTGCCCCACCATGCTCAACTGGTTTATGTCATTTTTAACCCATGATGTCCTAGCATCCTATATACAGGGACATCATGGGTCAATTTCTTGCTATGTATGCACAAACATACGTATACGTTTGTATGAAATTGGGATCATATGTAGAATCTTGCTTTTTTCATTTATAAGTTAATAGAAAATAATCGTGTGTTTTTGAATATAAAATATATAATTTTTAATATTAAAAATATATAAAATATATAATTTTTTATATTAAAAATATATAAAATATATGATTTTATATTTTGATGACCACATTGAATAAATGGGTCATAATTTAAGATATTCCATACTGTTTCCAATTTTTCAATACTCCAAGCTCTAAACAGAAATCCTAGGAAATGAGTGTGACTGTTGGCTAAGGGCCTGGACTTGGGAGCCAGAGTGCCTGCCTCTGAATTGGAGTTCTGATGCTGGCTGTGTGTCACTGGACAATTGACTTAGCTTCTCTGTGCCTCAATTTCCTTATCTGTAAAGTAGAGCTAAAATAGTGCCTGGCTCATAGGTCTTTAGTAGGATTCAGTTAGTTAAAATTTGTGTAAGTACTCAGAATAATGCCTGAATTTTTATTGTCCTCTGATCCTTGACTGTCTCTTTAAGCTAAACCATAATTCCGTGTTCTCTGTCCACTGTGCCTTTTCAGAAGACACCACCATCCCACGGACACAGGTCAAAAAAAGGAAGACGAGCTTGTATTTTTCCAGCAAGTATAACCGAGAAGGTATCGCTTCCCCAATGAAAACGTCAGATTCTAAGTCACTGTCGGGTGCTCGACTCTCATGCAGTGTGTCTTTTAGCTCTCAGCCCCCCACGACGCAAAGCCTTTAAGAAATGGACCCCTCCTCGGTCACCTTTTAACCTTGTCCAAGAAACACTTTTCCACGATCCCTGGAAGCTTCTCATCGCGACGATATTTCTCAATCGGACATCAGGTTTGTGGATCCTTCTCATTGGTGTCTTAGAAGCAATGTGATCAGGAGAAAGAGCAGTGAATTGAGGCTGAGGGAGGCCTGGGTTCAAGGGCCCTTTCAAGTCTGTGACCTCAGCTAAGGTCTTCCCTTTCTGCCCTCAAACTCTTCCCCCATGAGGAAGACTAGATGACATCCAGTGGCCTTTTTAGCATCAAGGGGCAGGTCTGATATTTCCTACTTCCACGTTAGGTTTGGTGATCAGTGCAAATCCGCCAGTGAGCATTTCTCCACCCTGTATCCTTTATAAAAGCATTTTTTTGTCATTGAATGCACCTTGTGTCCTGTGTGATTCTCCACTAGCTACCTAGTGATCTGATTATTTAAAAACCAATATCACACAAGGCCGGTTTCAGCGGAATTTGGACTATTTATTGGCCAAATAGCAGTGCTGGTATTTGAGTGTAAAAAAGTAGCCTCTTGTCAGTGGTTAAACAAACAAAACCTTTGCTTGGGATTTCTAGATGAGAAACTCCCTGAACCTAAAAGAAGCCCTTCCAGCATCTTGCTCATAATCACTGGTATGTCCCTTTCCCAGGAAAAATGGCAATTCCTGTGCTTTGGGAATTTCTAGAGAAATACCCTTCAGCTGAGGTAGCAAGAACAGCAGACTGGAGAGATGTGTCAGAACTTCTGAAGCCTCTTGGTCTCTACGATCTTCGAGCCAAAACCATTATCAAGTTCTCAGGTGTGTTCCTTATGCCCAAAGGAAAAAAATAGAGCCACCTTGAACGTTGATGTCTTCAGATGCTACCCTAGTAGGGTCCAAGCACTGATGGCATTTATGAACAGCCTGCTTGCCCCAAACTGTCGTCTTCCACCCCAACCCAGGTAATAAACCTTTGTCCAGCAGCATCAGGCCACGTGGGCAGAATTAGGGAAGAAGTCAGTGGATCAGAAAGCCCTGTCCTTAAGGATGTCTCCCCTGTCGAGTTAGCACAGCACAAAATAGTGGCTAGGAAGTCATAAAGGTGCTGCAGGAATTTGAAGGTTATCTGTCCCTTTCCGCCACACACTCTCTCCATCTCGCCCTGTCACCACACATTTATGGAAGGTGTCTTCCTGGAAGCTGAGCTCATGTGAGGGGTGTTGTATTCTCAGAGGAGTACCTGACAAAGCAGTGGAAGTATCCGATTGAGCTTCATGGGATTGGCAAATATGGCAACGACTCTTACAGGATTTTTTGTGTCAACGAGTGGAAGCAGGTGAGGCCCAGCCCTAGCCCAACCCGCACATTTGTCCCAGAAGCAAAAACGTCCACAGTTTTTATGGCTCAAACTACTCATTGCATGCAAGTGCTATTGCAGTTCTAACCAGTTTTGTACCCAGCTCAAGGGAAGCTGGTGGCATGGGGTCATCTGCAGCAGGGAGGGGTCATTAGACACTCCCCAAGTCCCCAAAGACCCTTGGGCATGGCTCTGACCCTGTTTGTGCCTTGCCCTGTTTATGTGCTGTCAAAAGGAGGCCAGTTGGGCCCACAATGTTTGCTTGTGGGTTTCTTGTGGTGGTCTCAGACCGTTTTGGGTGGTAACTGGGTTCTTCTTCAGCTGCCCCTTCTGTTGAGTATGCCCAGCCCTAATGCATCCTGACGGCAGCTGGTGGGTGGCCTGGTACACTGTCCTAGCAACTGGTGACTTGCCCTTAAGCATTCACCCTGCAGGGTCAGGTCAAGCTGGGCTGTCTTATCCCTGCCCACCAGAGCAGTCCACTGTGACTTGAGCAGTCCATTCAGCCTCTAGAACCTCCTCCTAGAAAATGTGCTGATACTTGACTCATGTCCTCACCACCTCGACCTTCCAGGGCTGAATCAGGGCTGAACTAGAAAGCACTTAGCAAACTGAACAGGGTCACCTTAACGTAAGGGATGATTTTACCTGTGAGTCCTATTATCTGTGTTTCAGGTGTATTATTATAATGTGCTAATCCTCACCAAACCTTCCTAAGCCCATCTTACAAAGACGTATTGATGACTAGCTTACCTAAGGCCCCTGTCTCCTAATGTGTCGTATTTTTTCCAGGTGCACCCCCAGGATCACAAGTTAAATAAATACCATGACTGGCTGTGGGAAAATCATGAAAAATTAAGTCTGTCTTAAAGCCCTTCGAAGTTTCCAAACTTGTCTTTTGTGCACTATTTTGCAAACAGTGGGTGTGTTTGGGGTTTTTTTTTTTTTTGCGGGGGGGACTTTTATTTTTTGCAGTGCTAAGGCTAGAACCCAGGGACTTGCACACGCCAGCACCCCCGCCCCCGCCTTCCCTACCCACCCCCAGCCCCCACCTTCAGTTTTTACGAAGTCCATTAAAGGCAATCGAGCTACCTTTCCGGGAATATGATTTTAATTAGCTCAACTAGGAACACAGTGTGTATTTTCTCAGTGTGTGGGGTATTGGTGGCCCTTTATTACTGAATGTTCTAGAACATATTTTGAGATTTTTAAAAAAAGAATAAATTATTTGATAACAATCCTAAAAACGTATATGACTTTGCCAATAATGGAATGGAATGTGAAAGTGAAAAATGCTTTTCTGGGTCATTAATAATACAAAGCAGATTTCCATCAACCCAGCTAGGGGAAGATTTGATTTTCTCTTCTCTTTCTGTAGAAAATGATGTTACTGAACAATTATCTTAGGAAGAATCAAAGAGTTTGCCATTTTTGTTACAATAATAATTTATTATTACTATTTTTGGTATTGAGGATTGATCCCAGAGGTCCTTTACCACTGATCATCATCCCCAACCCTTTTAACCCTTTTTATTTTTTTATTTTGAGACAGGGTCTCTAAGTTGCTGAGGCTGGCCTTGAACTTGTGAACCTCCCAAGTCACAGTGATTATAGGAATGTGCCACTGTGCCCATCTTATTGCGGATATTGTAATGTTATAGTTCAGACACTGACACATTTATCTTAGAAACAAGTTACCAAACAAAAATCCTTAATTATTAAGTCTTTCTTTTTTTATATTGGTACCAGGTATTGTACCCAGGGACACTTCACCACTGAGCCACAATCCCCAGTCCTTTTTATATTTTATTTAGCAACAGGGTCTCACTGAGTTGCTTAGGTCCTTGCTGAGTTGCTGAGGCTGGCCTCAAACTCTTGATCCTCCTGCCTCAGCCTCACAAGCCCTTAGGATTATAGGTGATTAAGATTTTTTTCCCCTTTTTTTTTATTGGTGTTATTAAGTCTTAATTACCAATTGCCGTTTAAAAATATAATTTGAAAATTAAATTATAACTAATTTATAAGTATAAACATCCACTTCATAATGTCCCATCACATTTTCATTTAACAAAAATTCTTGTAGCACACCCACCAGCAAAGATCCACTGCTGGCCCACATGTTACACAGTGGGGCTGGGGATGTAGCTCAGTGGTGGGGAGCTCACCTCACCTGTGTGAGACCCTGGGTTCAATCCCAGCACCACAAAAAGAAAAGAAGGGTTGGGGCTGTAACTCGGTATAGAGCACTTGCCTAGCATGTGTGAGGCACTGGGTTCGATTCTCGGCACTGTATGTAAAGATCCATCAACAACTTAAAAAAATATTTTTAAAAAATTAAAAGAAGAAGAAAATATACAAATACACACTGGGTTCTCAGCTGGACTAATACTATTTGTCTGGAAAGGTGACTGGTTGTGTTTAATGGAGATCTTAAGAACTGAAGTACAAAACAGTCAAAAGTTTTAGAGTGTATTAGACAGGTAATTAATAAAAATATTTTTATTACAAAAAGCTAAACTCCAAAGAAACTGGGGATTGAACCCAAGGGCACTTATCCACCAAGCCACATCCCCAGCATGTTTTGTATTTTAACTTAAGAGAAAGGGTCTCACTGAGTTGCTTAGGGCCTCACTAAGTTGCTGAGGCTGGCCTTGAACTTTTGAGCCACTGGGATCATAGGTGTGTGCCGTCCTTCATGTGTGTTCTTGATAGCTCTACGCTGGCTCTTAGGAATGCTAGGTCTGCCCCCGCCCCCACCCACATGTCCATTTTGTTAATGTGAAAGTCAGCTCATATCCTTTACCTTGATCCCTTTGTAGACACCCATCTCATCTTCCAGTGTGGAGGGTGGGACCTCCAATGTTTTATTCCATTTTTATTACAGGTACTGTAATAATACAGTTCAAATACTGAAATGTTTTCCTTAGAACTCACCAAACCCCCCCCCCAATAAAAAATACAAATCCTAAATTATGAAGTCTTAATTACCAATTGCCATTTTAAGATTTAATTTGAAAATTAAATTGACTGAATAAAGGAAAAATGAATGAATTGTTTGGGAAACTGCCTTGTAGGGTGGTATGTAAGCAGATCAGATGCAGTGTGTCCATCTCCCCAACAACTGTTGGTTTTTAGAGAAGGCTGGATTTTGACCAGAGAACAGGAAAACTGGCCACACCTTCCCCTCCCCAAGACATCCTAACTCCACTCCATACTAACCCATCACATCTGAACAGCACTCACAAAACGCAAACCCTCTGTCGGGGAAGGAGACAAAGAAGAAAAGACTGTGGAGATCCTCGAGGAAGAGAGAATGGCAGACACAGTAATGAAGGGGGCAGAGCTGTCTGTCCCTATCAATGGCAGCTAAAGATGTAGAAGGGTCTCTGAAGCCTTGGGCCACAGTCAGGGTCGGAGGGTGTGATATGCTCACCAAACTTCAGCATCGGGTAGGGCTGCATGCAGCCTTGATGACACATCCTGACCCGTCCCCATGTCCCCACTGGTATCCTGAGCCGTGGAGGTGAGCTCGGCAGGACCACAGAGGGCTGCCCAGGCTCCGGGCTCTAGGCTGGCCTTCCCCTTTCTTGTAGGTGAGGTTTCCTGACTTAGGGACCTGTTTCCTCATCTCTGAAATGGGATAGTACTGTCTCCCGAGGTTACTGGGATCGTTAAGTGCTTTAAGGGTGCCTCCTTCAATAATGCTGTTGATGTGGCCCCAGGGAACACCGCTGTGACTGCCTCTGGCATTGAGGGTCCCAGAGATAATGCAATCCAGTAAAGATGGTGCCCAGCACAGAAACTGCACTGAAGTGGCTTTGTTTTTACCTTTTGGGGGGTAAGATGTATAAAATCCATCACCTAACCCCTTCAGGGAGGTAGTCCACTAGCAGAGCGCTTGCCCAGCCTGCGGAAGGCCCTGGGTTTCATCCCCAGCACGGGGGAAAAAAAACAGTTTTCAGTACATTTACAACGTTGTCCAATAGTCAATAATTCCAGAACTTTCCATCACTCTGAAAAGAAGCCCCAACCTGTTGCCAGTTATTCCTAGCCCTCCCCACCCCATGCCCTGGCAGTGATGAGTGGGCACTCTGCTGGGTCCCCCTGTCCTGGGTTTCCGCATAAATGGAATCTCCCGGCCTCCATTGCGCTGTGTTGAGGGGGGCTTCAGACACCCCGGAGCTCCCAGGGCCTCTTCTTAGGGTGAGAAAACCCGAGAACTGAAGGCGTGGACGTCTGCCCAGACCCTAGTTTTATGGGAAGCCCGCGATTGGTTTCCTGCAAGTTCAGGATCAGACCAGGACGGGACGAGAGGGAAGGCGGGCGGCCACGCCCTGCGCTCCTCCCACCTGGGCGCTCTGGGCCAATCAGCTCCCGGCGTCGGTTGTCATGGCAACGGGTTGTTGCTACTCTTTGCAAAGCAGCGCGCCTTTCTCGAAACCCAAGAGAGATTTTCCTTGAGCGCTGGCTCCCGCCACGAGCCAACGCCCCGATGAACGCAGACGTTTTGTCACCCACCCCCGATCCCAGACGCGAGACCCTGGACTATTACTACAGGATCTACCAGAGTCTGTTTCTGCAGCCGCCGCGTAAGTCCTGAGGCTGACTTCCTCCAGGATGTCGTCTGTAGGACGCCTCAGTCCCCCCAATGACGTGTGAATGTGGGGGTGACGGTGAGGACAAACCAACATCTCTTTGTGCCATGTCCCTGCTGGGTGAGGGGGTTTCCAGAGAGTCAGGGCCCGTCGTCATGTGCATTTCTGAGATTTCCATGCTGCAGCCTGGTTGGTGGAGTCTTTGGAAGACACCTCCAAACTTCAAGGTTCTGAAGACAGTCACCGCAGGCTAAATTCTTGGCAAACCTCTGCAGCTTCAGAAGGACAGAGATAAATGGATACTTTCAGAATGAGAAGGGGTGAATGCGGGGTTCAGGGGTGTCCCTCAGGAGTAAGAGATCTGCTGAATGTAGGGGACATTGGAGGAATAGTTCCAAGCTGCTAGAAAAATCTTTACACCAGGCCTTAAAGATAAAAAAGGAGTTCCCCAAGTCAGAAGGAGAAGAAGAGCCACACTCTAGCCCAGAGGACCTGGCTCATTGGACCCAGGGGCATGGAGACAAATTCATTTTTAGTTAGTTGTCACCTAACTCCTGAGCTTGAGATCCTTGGAAGCCACCCAGATGAAATGTCTTAGAAGCATCTGGATGTATAGAACAGGGGCTGGTTTCACATCATAAATATTGGTATGGGTGTCCTTAGCACGAAGGTCATCAAAACACGAGAGCAGAGGAGATTCTCTGAAAAAAGAAGAGAACACCCATATTTAAGGGCTGAGCAGGGAGACAGGGTCTCAAGAACGGTGGCCAGAGAGGCGACATGAGACTTAGCCAGAGATTTGAATCACAAGCCAAGAGAGGGGAGAATTCCATGAACACATTCATGTCCAGACAGACTTTCCCAGAAAAATGGGAGCAAGCGTGTTTTCTAGATCATCCATCAGGAGGAGTAGGATCGAGAGGTAGGAGTTTCTGGGAAACCAGTTCTGGATCAATCTAAGGATGTCCTTTCTAGAAGCCACAATTAGTCACTCACAATGTCATGCAGAGAGCTCCATGTCCCCAGGGGTGTACAAAGAGAAGCAAAGTCTGCCAGTGACATTTTAGAGTCTCAGACCTGGGCAGGGAATGGACCTCTGAGGGCTTTCCTCCTCAATCCAGAGGCAACATGTTCACAGAATGCACCTGTGACTATGTGACAGCAGCCTCTGTCACATAGGAGCCTATCTTGCTTTCCTATTGATGGACACAGGATCCCAAGGAACTTTAGGATGCAGTTTTATGAGGAAGGTGTTCTGGGTAGACACCAGGGTGACATTTGGACTATAAAACATATAATAAAAAGTACTCAGCCAGGGGGAGACTTTAGGGACTCCTCTGCCCTTCAGAGGACACAGCTAATCTCAGAACTAGAAACTCAGGTCACATACAAAGAAACTTTCATCAATTGAGCGCTTCTAAAAATCACCACCACCCAGTAGGGTTGTACTTTAATTATCCCCATTTTACAGATGTAGAAAGTGAGGCCCAGAGGGGTCAAGTGACTTGCCCAAGATCATGCAGCCAGGAAGGGGCAGGGCCAGGACTCAGATCCGGGCACTCAAGCTCCCATAGGTACTGTGGTGCCTGAGATGAGTGGATCAGATCAGACTTTCCTTCTTCCAAGTTCATTCTGATATCCAATGGGAGCATCAATGCGGGGCTGGAGGTGAAAAGGAGTTCGTTAGGGAAAGTGGGTAAAGTCCTTAGCTTGGTGCCTGCCATCATGAGTGCCAATCACATAAAAAAAATCCATCCATAAAAAGGAGCTTCTCTTTGATTTTCTCCCAAGGGATCTACCAGGATAAGCTGTTAGATTTTGAGGAAAATGTCAGCAACCTGTTTGATTCCGATCCCATCATTGAGCACTGCTTCCGGCAGTTCAAGCAGAAGGACTTCCAACTGCCCGAGAGTCGCCGGAGGATCATCATCCTGCCTCAGAGGCAGGAGCCAGTGCCCAGGGATCCCACCCTCCCGCCCACGCCACCCCCGCCCCCCGTCCCCAGCTACAAAGCCCTAGAAAACGGTGATATCCAAGGGCAGCCCGAGGACAGTAAGACCTGGCTGATCCGCAGGCTGAGGCTCCGGAAGGAGCTGGAGTCGTTCGGTGACGTGAAGCGGTGGCTGGAGAACAAACCCAGTATCACGCCTTCAGAGGCCAAGGTGCTGCACATGATCCACAGAGAGCTTGACGCCCAGAGGGACCTCGCCTTGCGTACTTTCAAGGCCACCATGGTGAGCTGTCCCCTGTGTCAGAGGACAACGGTGAAGTTTTTAGGGATATGTTGTCATTTTTCATCCCTTGGGTTGGTCGGGAGGAGGATGCTTCAACCCATTTCACAGGGGAACAAACAGAGGTCCAGAAACAGAGGTGTGTCTGTCACCCCATAACAAGTTGCCCCAAAGTGACTTAAAGCAAGAAATATTTAGCATTCAATCAGTGGTTGACATTTTTTTTTATTATTGCAGTCTCCCTGGGTTGGTTGGACTAGAAACTTCAGGGTCAATCTTTCTATTATCACAGCCAAAGCCCAAATGTCATGGGTCTAACCCACACTTTCCTCCCAGCAACACAGTGTCTATGAATAAACACTGGACTTGGGTTAGAAATGCAGCTCTGTAGCTTACCTGCTGTGTGACCTTGGGCACATCGCTTTACCTCTCTGTGCCTAATTCCTCATCTGTAAGTAGACAAATATCTAATTCACAGCATCCTTTATTTCTTCCCCCCCCCAAAAGTATTGCCTACCTGCCTGGGGCCTGGGGCTGTGTTCATGATGGGAGAGATGTGCATATGAGGGAAATCTTAGCGCTCATTGTCCAAGACTCTTGTTCCAGATGAGGAAACCGAGGCTCACACAAGCAGTCTCCATGTGTTCTGCAGCAAAACACAGATGCCCTGCATCCTCCTTTGCTCTCCATCTTCTGTCCGTCTGTTGAGAGCTGCTCAGCCTCTGTCTCCCATCGGTCTTCCTGGAGATTGCATCCCATGGGTCCATCTCCTTTAAAATCTCCCCTCTGCCCCTCTCTCTTGCCTTTTCCAGGTAAAACCCGTTCAAGCCTCTCCAAAATCGGTGCCCCGTCTCCGGCTGCCCAAGCCCCCCGCACTGTCAGACATGTACTCCTTCCTGCGCAGCCGCAAGGTCAAGGTCCTGGAGCTGTTTCACAAGGCAGACCGGGATTGGAAGCAGAGGATCTCCAGGGAGGAGTTCATCATGACTTTGAAGGCAGTGAGCAGCCCCCACGTCTTCTGGCTGGGCCTCAGTGGGTGGGAGGAGGCTGCACCTCCCCTGGGCCCCTCTCCCCAGGTTCTGGGTCAGCTCAAAAGTAGACACAGGGAGGGCAGGGGCTGGGGCTCCGCGGTAGAGTGCTTGCCTAGCATGTGTGAGGCCCTGGGTTCGATCCTCAGCACCACAAATAAATAAAGTTCATTGACAATAAAAAAAAAAACACCCCTGCACTAGTGTGACCTTAAAAGACCCTACACAGGACCCGAAACTAAGCCCATCAGACCCCAGAACTGAACCCAGACAGAGCTGGGCCTTCAGTCCCGCTTCCTGAACCTTCTAGAACCTTCTCCTGGGTATGAATCACATCCGGGTCTTGCTTCTCAGACCCTTTGTGATGGCCCAAGGTGTGGCCTTCTTGAGGACTTCTCAGTGATGCACCCGGCCCCCAGAGCACCTTCTCCCCGTTTCTACTCTGACTGGCTCTGATATAAATTGATTATAAATAAATAAAATTAAAAATCCAATTCCCCAGTCGTGCCAGTCACTTGTCATGGGGTCAGGAGCCCCATGTCGGGGCTGGGATGTTGCTCAGTGAGACTCTTTAATCCCCATAAACAAAAAGGCAAAATATTAAATCCTTTAGTACCTGGAGAGTCCTGATCCTCATTTAAGGTGACTTCAGTGGACAACGACAATTATCTAAAGACACTGAGGAGCACAATTATATTTCCTTTAAAACTTCTAGAACATTCCGTATTGCTGGCAAGCATTATATCCCTCCAAAGTTGCTCGTTGTCCTTAAAAGAATCAGGTGTATACTGTTTCTGGTCCTATTTTACTTCAGTTAAGGGGTGAAAAGGTGCTCCTTGTCAACAAGGATGACAGAAAGGCGAAACCATGCTTCCTACGGGTGTCTCCTCTTCTCTCCTGAGGCCGGAGTCCCTCTGAGTGGCCAGGAGGTGGAGGACATCGTGGTCTATCTCAGCTCTCTGGGGAGGCACAATAGCATCACCATGGACAACCTGGCCAACAGCTACAAACAGTGGTCTCTGAGTCGGCAGAGGAGCACCCTGCGCACTAGAAGAGAGGGTGCGTACCCCACCCGTCCTGGGAGCGAGGGTGGCGCAGGAGGCCCCAGAGTCCCCTCCATATTTACGGGGGGTCTCCTCACCCTTCCTGAGATCCAACTTGCAGGAGCCCTACCAAGGGCAGCAGAAGGGTCACCTCCTATAGGTGAAGAGTTGGGACAGGACTAACCCCCTGTCACACCAAGTGGGCTGTCCAGTATCCTCGCTGGTATGGGGGGAGCTCCCCCCAAGCACCCATCCCCAGTTCCCCAGTCCCAAGCTGCCCTGCAGAGCAGCTGTCCCCTCCTGAGCAGGGCCTCCATCTCGTCAGAGCCCAGGAAACGTGAGCATCCTCACAGTAGTCACGAGCCAACTTTGATCCCAGTGATTGGGGAGGCTGAGGCAGGAGGATGGCAAGGTGGAGGCCAGGCTTGGCAATGTAGTAAGACTGTCTCAAAATTAATTAAATAAATAAATAGGGCCAGGGGTGTGGCTCAGGGGTAGAACAGGGGCTCAATTTCTAGTACCACCACCAAAAAAATATTTTTAAAAAGTAGTAGTGGCAGTGGGCAAGTAGGTGGAGTTGGATGTCCCTTTGTTTTGTCTGAAGAGGCAAGAGTTTGGGCACCTGGGCACAGGAGGAAGTGCTCGCGTTTCTAGATGCCCACCTGTCCACAGTCTCAACAGAAGGAAGAAAGGCCCAGATTTCGGGTCAGCATAAGGCAGTGAGGGCAGAATCAGGGTAGGAGCAAAGGATTTTCCCATTTATTCTCATATTGTTGAGCACCTACTATGTGCCACGCACGGTTCTAGGAACTGGGAACACAGCCGTGGACAAGCCAAAGCCCTTACCTTCAACCGCTTACGAGTCAAGGGTTACACAGGTGACCATGGCTTGAAGACAGTAGGACAGAGTCAGAGGGTGGCGGCCGGGGAAGACCTGTCCCAGAAGCAGGCACTGGAGCTGACCCAGGGATTGAGGAGCCAGCCTCAGGTCAGTCTGAGGAAAAGGCGTCCTAGGCAGATGGAACTATCAAGGCAAAGGCCCTGGGGCAGGAAAGGCTTGGAGGACAGAGGGCAGTCAGGGTGGCCGTGGGAAGTGGGTGAGGGGGCGAGCAGCCAGGAATGGGTCAGCCAAAGCCAAGGCCATATTCTAACAGGGCCTTGTGGCCCAGTGAGAAAGGCTCTGGGCTTCAGCGCAGTGAGAAGCCAGGGCAATGAGATGATATGGTTTGGTTTTTTGGTTTTGGTTTTGGTGCCAGGGATTGAACCCAAGGCACTTAACCCCTGAGCCCCACCCCCAGCCCTTTTTATTTTTTATTTACAGACAGGGTCTCGCTGAGTTGCTCAGGGCCTCACTAACTTGCTGAGGCTGTCCTCCAACTTGTGATCCTCCTGCCTCAGCCTCCCAAGCTGCCGGGATGACAGGCGTGGGCCACAGCACATGGCGTGGTTTCTATTTTTTTAAAGGTCCTATTAGCCACCTGGAGGAAACAGGGCAACAGAGGATGAGGATGTCACCAGGAAGGCTGGGGAGGTGGAGTAGGGAGATGAGGGGGCCATCAGGGGGGAAAGGAGGGACATTCGACGCGTGTCTGAGATGGACGCTGACCAAATACGTGGCGCGGGAGCAGAGGGCTGGCTTGGCTCTGCTCAGTGTCCCTGGATGCCTGCTTCCGTGGCCAGCGGCCTCTCAGTCCCTCCCTCCTCGTCTCTTCTCTCCGACTAGACGTGGATAAGGAGAAGAGTTGCCTCAGGAGCTCCGTACGTAAACAAAAGGACTCGACCATTTCCAAGATGGACCTTCTGACGGTGCCCGAGGTGGACGTGGAGACAGAGGCTCGGCCCATGACCCTGGAGGAGATGGAGGAGGTGGACAGGTGGTACAACGAGAAGAAGCAGCAGTACAAGGTACCCCCCAGGCTCGGAAGGGCATGGGGACTGGGGATGGGCCAGGCTGGGTTCAAGCACCCTGCACCCTATTGGATGGAAGAACCTTTGGAAGGGGTGTTTTCCCCTCTCTGAGCTCCCCACTGCCCCTTACCTGTATAATAAGAACCACACCTGTCTTGCAAACTATAGAGAAGAAGGTGGGCATGGTGGTGCACACCTGTAATCCCAGAGGCTTGGGAGGCCGAGGCAGGAGGATCGCAAGTTGGAGGCCAGCCTTGACAACTTAGCGAGACCCTAACCCAGAGGTGCTGTACCACCAAGCTACATCCTTTACCCTTTTTTAAAGTTTTGAGGCAGGGTCTCCCTAAATTGCCTAGGGCCTCCCTAAGTTGCTGAGGCTGGCCTTGAACTTGGTGATCCTCCTGCCTCAGCCTCCCGAGCCATTTTTCAATAGAACTCCTCCAGAGCGTCTGTACCGTGCCCTTCCGTGCGTGTTACACAACCATGGGCTCAACTCAAGGGCTCTTCAGGGGTGACCTTGACCATGGAGGGTTCTTCTTCAAAGTCACTGTCTTTGGAACCTGAAATACAGCTGCTTTTCCATTTCCCCTCTTGGGGACCTCTGGGGGAGGTGAAGAAGACCCTCCTCCTGCCTTCGGGCCAGGAGGAAGGTCCCAGGCACACAGACAGGGAAGCCTCCCTCTGTCCCCCCTTCATCCCCTCCGTCCAGTACTCTCACCGGGTGCACCGAGGGAAGGAGCAGGTTGACGCCCACTGCCTCCCGTCCACCATCCCTGGGGACATGCAGGGGCTCATCCACAAGGCCCGCAAGGACGTCTTTCTGGTCTACCTGCAGTGCTGCAGTCTCTGTGAGTCCTACGGCCTCCCGCTGACGGAGGACATCCTCATGAGAGGTGAGGCTCAGCGGCTGGCCCTCAGGAAGCTGCCACTTGTTCCCTAGGCAGGGTGAGGGTGGCGATCATCAGGGCTTGTCCTTCTCCAGATGGAAGTCACCCCGCCAAGCCACTGTGGCCTGGGGGGCAGGCGCTGGGCAGGAGGAGGGAGGAGAGCTGGGTGCCCATTCCCTGATGACTTACGAAGTGAGCAGGCAGGACCCTGTCTCTGCGCTTTAAAAACATGAAGGAACTGGGGTGGCGCGCATCTGTAATCCTAGCAATTCAGGAGGCTGAGGCAGGAGGATGGCAAGTTGAAGGCCAGCCTCGAAAAATTTAGCAAGTCCCTAAGCAACTAGTGAAGCCCTGTCTCAAAAAATAACAAGGGCTGGGGATGTGGCTCAGTGGTAAGGCACCTCTGGATTCCAGCCCCCGTACCAACCAAAAAGGGGTGGGGGGAGGGAGGGAGAGAGAAAAGAAATCAGGGGTGCCTTTTGAAAATGTCAGTATTGTACATCTCCCCTTCCCTTTCTTCAAAACCTTCTTACTGCTCAGCCTCCTCATCTTCCCCAAGTAACCAATATAGAGTGGAACTTCTGTTGCTTTTTCTAGAACATAAAGTGTTCACATGGTGCCATCTCAGGGCAAGCACAGCTCAACACTGGCAGGAGTTATCAGAGAAACTCTCCCAAGGAGATCTGTGAGACAAAGTCAAGCCCAGGAGCAAACCGCCCTAAGAACAGGGCTGATTAACCTCGTGAGTCTCGGCGGAGTCCTCCTGCTTCTCCTGTGACTGTCCCCTGTGCTGTCCCAATGCAGCCAGGCTCAGCCTTTGCTGACCCCTTATATAGCAGCCTCTCCCTATCCATTGAGCCACACTGCCCACGCAGGGCCCTTTCCTGATCATGTACTGCAGCCAGATGCCCCATGAGCACTGGAGGGAGTTGGAGAGGGCTCAACCCTCTCTGCACTTATTTTAAAATATATATTTTTAGTTGCAGATGGACACAATACCCTTATTTTACTTATTTATTTTTATGTGGTGCTGAGGATCCAACCCTGCGCCTCACACATGCTAGGCAAGTGCTCTACCACTGAGCCACAACCCCAGCCTTGTTCACTGTTTTTTTGCAATTTGGGGGTGAATCGACTATCATTTAAAAATAGAAAGTGAAATAACGTGTATAGGACAGAGATCTGACGTTGTATTACGAAGTGGGGTGACTATGGCTAACAATGTGTTGTTATATTGGGGTCTGCAGGTGTAGAGTGGATGCCTAGCAGACGTGAGGCCATGGGTCCAATCTCACACACACACACAATTGGCCAGGCACGGTGGCACGCGCCTGTGATCCCAATGACCTGGGAAAATGAGGCAGTAGGAGGCCCAGTCAGAGGCCAGACTGGGACTGGGGGTGTAGCTCAGTGGTAGAGCACTCGCCCAGCAGACAGCATGCACAAGACCCTGAGTCCAATCCCCAGCACCAAAGTTAAAAAAAAAAAAAAAGAAGTGGTTTGCATTAGTAAAAACAAAATGTAAAAAGACAGCTTGCATCTAAAAAAAAAAAAAGAAAAGAATCGCACCACAACAGCCCAGGAAACTAGAAACAGTGGCATAATAAGCAAAGCCAGGCACAGAGCTGGAGTGGGATTCCACAGCTCCTCAGCTCCCCAAGTTACAGAAACCTGGCCACCCACACGCTCTCCCACCATCAATATTTTTGGATATGTACTCAACTGTCAGAGGCAATCAGAATAATTTAGCTAAGAATATCCTGTGTCTCCTAACGTGAGAGAAAACAAACGAACAAACAGAAAAAAGAACAACTGGTCCCCTGCGTCTTGCTCTGAGCAGCTTCCCTGCTGGGGGATTGGAGGGCAGTGGACTTACCTGCCCCCCAGGGGAGGAGCCACACAACGCTGCCCTCTGGGAGGCACACGAGGACAGGTCACTGTGAACATGCTCCAAAGCAGAGGGTGAGATGCAACATGAAGCTAAGCCTGAAAGAGGATTCTTATTTCCTCTCCTTTTCCTTCATGTTTTCCCCACTCCCCCCTCCTCCCCCTCCTCCCCTTCATCCCCTCTCCCTCCTCTCCTCCTCCTCCTCCTCCTCCTCCTCCTCCTCCTTTCTCTTCTTCCCAGAGATTGAACCCAGGGGCACTCAACCACTGAGCCACATCCCCAGCCCTTTTTTAGATTTTAAAATATAAAATATTTTATCCCCTGTCTCACTGAGTTGCTTAAGGCCTCTCTAAGTTATTGAGGCTGGCCTCCAACTCGTGATCCTCCTGCCTCAGCCTCCTAAGCCACTGGGATGACAGGCATGCGCCACCACGTCCAGCTCTTTTTAAACAATTTCTTGAGGTATAACTGATATATCAAAAACCAAAACCAAAGCTTCACACACTTAGTGTGTACAATTCAATGAGTTTGGACTCGTGCATATACCCATATGACCACTAACTCCAGCAAGGTAATAGACATCTGTTACCTCTAAAAATGTAAAATAAAATAGATAATAAAAAGGAAAAAAGAAAGAAAACATCTTTTAAATAAAAATGTGAAAAAAAAATATTTTTTTAAGCCTCATCTGACCCCAAAGTCTTAGCTAGGGGGACGATCTTGGCCTGATGGCCCTGTCTGTCTCTCTTGCCACTCGCAGCTCTGCTGTACCCTGGAGACAAGATTATTTTCCACAAGGGCCAGGTGCGCCCCATCCGGCAGCCCGGAGGCTTCTATTCTGACTGGAAGATCACCCCGAAAGTGGCTCCCTTCAAGCGCTTCAAGAAGTCTGGGGCCGAGAGGTTGGACACGCTTCCTTCCAGATCTGTTTCTTCTTGCCCTTGCCACGGGCCCCGCTGCCAGCCCTTCAGCCACAGGACCTGGGTACTGGGTACTGGGTGACTGGGTACTGGTACTGGGTGCCAGTGTCTACACCTCACCTAATGGGCTCACTTGGACTGGCCAGTCCCCAGTATTATGCGTGTCTTTGAGTCCCGGCCTCCTCACCTCCCTTCCCCGGTCCCCTCCTGAGCACAGCCTCGCCCACTCGCAAGGTTGCGGAGAAAGACCCCCAGGGGGGTCACCTTCTCCCAGTCACAGGACACTGGGGCCTTCCCTTCTCGCCCTGCTGCTGGGGGGTGGAATTCTCATCTTTCTACCTTTGCTGGGGTGCCTCAGCATCTCCATCTGTAAAGTGGGCACACGAGCTCCTGCCAAACCCCGAGGGTTTGAGGACAGACCCCCGTCTGTACCCAGGTCGCACTCAGTCACGGGTGCTGGGTGACTTCACGCTGCCCCGAGAGGCGTCTCCAGAGCTGTAGGGAGGCCTGGTGGGGAAGAGCGAGGCGTGAGCCGGGCAGTGGTGGCCTCTAGGACCCCGACTGCCTCCCAGTCCCCAGGTGGCTGGCCCCAGTTCCTACCCAGGGGCTCAGGAAGGAAAGGGAGTTTTGTCCATTGATGGGCCCCGGGTGTCAGGGATAAGGCACAGTCCCCAGGTCAAGCAGGGACCCTGGCTGTCCTTTGCCCCTTAGTTTATAAAGGATTCTGTGGGCAGGGGCTGGGGTGGCTCAGAGGTAAGGTGTGTGCTCAGCAAGCCGCAGGCCCTGGGCTCCATCCCCAGGGCCTAGAAAATACACAACAACCACAGAAAAACGTCTGGGCCCCGGATGGAGACTTGGAGGGACAGAGCGCAGTGACCAGTCAGTGATGTCTGCTGGCCCCGGCTGGGAAGGCTCAGGCTTTAGCCACTTGTCCACAAAGCCGGGCTGGGCTCTGGCAGGGGTAGGCAGAGTCGGGGTGGCCAAAGGGATTGAGATTCAGCAGCTACTAACCACCAAGGGTCCTCCATTCTGAGAGAGAGAATGTGACTTCCCTGTCACCCAGCAGGCCAGGGGCAAGGCCAGGTCTGGGGAGCCGAGCCCCAGCGTGTTCCCCTGGCTTGAGCCTCAGGAATGCACCTCTCACACCTGCTCCCCATTAGCCCGGATGCCCCTCTCCTCACAGAATGCCTCCGTCTCTCTCCCCCCTCTCTCCTCCATTAGGAAAATGTTCAAAACGAAGAAAATGTGCTTTACGGACTTTGAGAAATTTGCCAGGTTGGCCCCTTACTCTGTTACCTGTAAGGTGGGAGGGCAGCCTGGCGTCCCCCAGGACAGGGGCCTGGGGCTGGGCCCCTCTGCACGAGGCCCAGGGCTCCTGGCACCGCATGGGATCTTGGTGCCCGGGACCATAGGGACAGTGAAGTAGCACTTAGAGGGCCCCAGGCAGACATTGCTTCTGGAAGGTTCCATGGTTCACTCATCACAAAGCTGTTGTTCTCAGCATACGCACATCACAGACGAGAAGACCAATGTCCACAAAGGTGGACTCTCTTGCTCAAACTCCTAGTAAAGGGTAGAGTGGGGACTTGAACCCCTGCCCCAGAGACTGAACCCCAAACACCACCCTGCAATGACCCTGCATGGGGCTGGGGGTGCAGCTCAGTGGTTGGGCCTGGGCAGCAGGAGGCCTGGGTCCCATGCCCGACACCTCAGCACATAAATAAATCACAGAATAATCTAGAGGGTCCATGGCTGGGGTGAAGCCACCTGCTTAGGGTGTGACCTTCAGGAAAGGACAGCCTCTGTGGGCCTCTGGGTGCTCATTGCTGACCAGACCTGGGGGTCTGAGGTGCGTCACATGGCCTGTCCCCCTTGACGGCCCTCCCTGTGTCCTCTTGTTCCCCAGGAGGCTGAAGAAGAAGAGCCCCAGTGGTTCCCCCACAACTCACCCGAATTCCTTCTGGCCGGGTCACCTGCTGGATAAGCTGCGGCTCTACCTGCCCACCGTGGCCCAGGAGAGCAGCCTGGCCCTCTTCAGTCATGTTCGACACAAGCCCCAAGTCTACCCAGCCATCCACCACCCAAACCAATGGTGGCCCCTAAGGGACACCAGTGACATGACCCGTGTCCACTATGATTGCACCAAGATGTACTTCATCAGCTAGTGCCCGCCACAGCCACCCGGAGCCAGCAGCCAGGACCCTGCGCCACGGACCCAGAGTGTCAAAGAGCCAGAAAAAATAAATAATTTCAGGGGGACGGCCTGGGCTAGTGTCCCAGTGGGAAAAAAAATGTGACATCCACAGTCGAGGGGAGAGATAAAGAATGTCCACGAGCTTCTGCCCTTTTCAATGGTTATTCACTCAAATCATCCAACACGATTCCACTCTATAGGTTCCTGTGTGTGTGGTGCTGGGGATGGATCCCAGGGTGAGCTCTACCAACTGAGCTCTGTCCCCAGCCCCAAAGAATGACAGTCCTTAATGCTGGGCACTGCCACAGGCATGATCCATTCACAGCCAACAATTCTAGGTCGACGCTAAGCGCTGTCAACACACCATGACAGACCTGTTACACGCCTTCCCTCCGCGTGCCAAGTGTGAGTGCTGGGTTTAGTCTGGAGTCTGGGGCCTTAAGTCCAGCCGAGGCGCACTCAGACCACAGTGACCAGGTCAGGGACCAACAGAGGCTTGTCCTGGGAGAAGCTGCTGTCCTCACCAGGGTCAAGAGGTTGCTGTAGAGTTTGAGGATGATGCAGAGGATCAGGAAGAGGGTGAGGAGAGCTAGCATGTCCGTCCAGGTCCTCCTCAGGGTCCCCTGCATGTGGGCATCAGTGTCGCCAGCTCTAATGTCGCCAGCATTGGCTCCCATGTTTATATTAAAGTTTGGGAGCATCTGCCCACGCTTTCAGTCCCTATCAGCTGTTCCTGGGTTTCTTGGTGACGTCTTCCATTCTAGGGTCAGGACATCTGGTCTGGTGGTTTCTGTCCTGATCTCTCACCTCTGACTCTTATCAGGGCGGAGACAAATGACAGGGACTTCCCTCTGAGTCTTACCAGGGCTGTGGAAGGTGACTTGCTTTCATCAGGCTGTGCCTGGGTGACATATTGCGGGCTCGGTGGCTTGCCTGGTGAGACTGCAGGTTTGGTTTAAAATGGAGTTGCTTAGGCTAAGGCCGGAGGCCATCCGGACAGCCAGCTCCCCCTGGGACACAGGGTGCCCAGTGTTCAGAGGGGACATGTGTCCCCGGAGAGTCACGCAGTTGGCCAGAGGGGTGTTCAGGAAGATGGAGGCTGGGGACGTATAGCAGGGACATTCCTGGGGACACTGACAGCAATGACAACATGGCACCTCCCGCCTCTCCTCCTGGGATGTCAGTGCACGCGGGAAGCCACAGGCAGGATGAGACTCATGTCCCCACCGCTGTTAAATGAGATGATAGCATGTTCCTCATTCCTGAAGACGAGCCATTGGGCTCCTGCTTCCAAATCTCCTGGGTCTTTGGAAACTAGAGACATGTTCATGAGCCCTCCCTGTCATGACAGGCCTCCCACGGGCAGCCATCTGCAATGTGTCCCCACGCCCCCCATCCCACTGAACATCACACAGCTGCAGGGGGACATCATTCACCATGTGGGGTAGCCACAGATATAACATCCTGACCCTACAGCTGTGTGACCTCAGACAAGACACTGCCAGTCTCTGGGTCTCCTCAAACTCCTCTTCACAGCCAAAAATCTCCTGGTGACATTGTCAACATGCACTGCTTTCTTCTCCCCTCACCTCTCAGTCATTAACACAATCCGGTTTAGCGTCTGTCCCCGTCTCCCTCCTGGAACAACTACTAGCAAGATCACCAAGGACATCTGCATTGTGTTTGAGTGGCAGAACCAAGGTTTTTTGTTTGTTTTCCTCCTAGATCCCCCTCCTAGGTCCTGAATTTGATTCTCATGATGATCTTAAAAAACAAAAGCTACATAAAGAAAAATCAAGAACAATTTTAAAACTGGGCAGGAGAGACACATGGTTAGAAGGCGGCACTTGGGATTCAAATCTCCAAACTTTGCTTTCCCCATGTCGAATGAAGAAAATAACAGAACCACCTTATAGAATGCTGATAAGGATATGAAATCCCACGGAACGTGAGCGGCTACAGCCTCATTACTATTTATTCCCCTTGTCAATTCCTAAACAATACAATTATATAGAACTCACACTGCATTAGTATTATAAGTTATCTAGAGATGATTTAAAATACACAGCTAGAGGTTCTGTGCAATACTATGCCATTTTATGGGGTGGGGTGAGATCCTGGAACCAACCCCTGCCGCTAGGGAGGACCATTCTCTTTGATTAATCATTAGGAAGTGACTGTTTTGTTCCCTCCCGACCACTAGGCGGCGCACTTCCGGGAGAAGAAACGAGGGAGGAAATAGTCTAAAAGCTGGTTTTGGCTTCTATTTCTGGCGGAAGTAGATCCCCCTCCTAGGTCTTGGTTCAGAAAGCATTCCCAAATTTTCCATGTAGTCCGGAGGGAAGGGAAAATACATTTTCAATTTTATTCCTACATATTAACTTCCAGTAAAACACAGGTGCACTGGGCATTTTTGTAGCGTTATTTCTCGGACACGTCCTTATTTTCTTTGAAGGACCCGGAGCCGGAAGTGCTCACCTTTTCCCTTCCAGGACCCACAGGTTACGTCCCATCAGCCCTTGCGCGCCGTCTTCCCCTCTCTTCCTCGGTGCTGCCTTCGGAGGTGGCCGCCATTCGTAGTCGGTGAGTCTTAATCGTTCGCCATCCGCATTTGGGGGGGTGACCATCGGGCCCCTTCGCCCCTTGGTGAGAAGGCCGCCTCCTTTGCGTGGTCAGCTAAGTGGGTATTGTCTCTGCCGGCCTCCTGGGACGTGCATGGGAACAGCCAAGCGGCCCGGTGCGGTGATGGCGCTTTGCCTCCCAGGGCCGCTTGCTCTCTTACGGAGGCCGCCTTGGGTCAGTCGGACCTGCGGACGGCTTGATTGATCCCTGACAGCTCATGGTGCATATTGAGGCCAGACTACGCGGACTCTGGGGGCCGTGGAGCGAACCGAGTCCCGGATGACAGCTCGCGGCTGGGATCTGCGGGTCACTGCGCGCGCTGGCCAGAGTGCCCTTGTGCACTTTTTTAATTGTCGCGCCCTAGGCCCCTTCGCTTCCATCCTGTGGCCCTGAGGGACTGTCAACAAAAAGACGACCCTTCAGTGCATTCGATCGGTCATTAACAAACTCCCGTAGTGGGTCGGGATTCCTGGAAAATGGCACTGGTCCCTTACCTTCGAGGAGAGCATGGTGCTAGGGGGCACCTAGTGCGTGGCGGACAAAGTGAATTGATGGCTGTGAAAATGACAGAAAGGATTGTGGTAGAGACAGATGGGGTGGCCGGGAAGACCACCTTGGGGATGGTTAACTGATAGTTCTGGGTAGAATCTGGTTTTCAGGTTGGCTGGTTTTGGGGGTGCAGAGTGGTTCTATGCATGGTTTTGAGGGTATCTCGGGGCTGCAGCACCCTACAGGAATTGTTTTATTGAACATCTATTTTGTGCCAGGCACTGGGCAAGCATGCAGTGTGCCAATGTCTTGTGCATTTTGCAAATAAGAAAAGGGCTCACGGCTTAAAAGACCATCTGGGGGTAGGGAGATTTCGGGGTGTGGGGGTTTGCTGTCCTTTGCAAGTTAGAAGGTCTTGGGTTCAGTTTTGATTTAAGTCAGCTGTTCTGGGGGGCTGAGGTGACCCCTGACCTCCTGAGATCGCATCTGGAGAGTGCCTAGTATTCTGCCAGCTTCGGAAGCAGGAGGGAGAGCAAGCCTAGCAGAGGCACCCATTCCATTCCCAGCTTGCTCAGTAACTGGTGATTGGAAGACACTCTGCGACACCACTCAGGTCCCAGCCAAGCCCTGGGCCGGAGCCCCTCGGGAGGATTCTGCTTCAACAGGGATCTCCCTTTTCCTTTTAGGCACCATGGCTGCCCTTAGACCCCTCGTGAAGCCCAAAATCGTCAAAAAGAGGACCAAGAAGTTCATCCGGCACCAGTCAGACCGATATGTCAAAATTAAGGTACGGGGTTCTGGGGTGGGTGTGAGTGTTGGGGTGCAGGAGGGAGTTGTCAGCTTGCCCATGTGTGTGGCCTTACCTGGTCTAAGCAGCTTTTGACAGGGGAGCTGGTTTGTGGTTGGCCTGAGAGCTCTGCATAGGAATTGGGGTCTCCCTGGTGGGCGTCACTGGGGCTCCTGCTGAGTAAACTAAATTTAAATAATACAGACCCTGGACTGCCCTGGGGCCATTCAAGAACTTTGTATCTATGCCAGGCATGGAGATTGTCCCTGGTGTTTTGATTGTGAAAACTCATGTCCTAAGAACAGTGAGGACACCCGTGCTGTGCTCTTCATCTCCCCAAAGATAAAGCCCCCCACATCCCTGCCTGCTCTATTTGACCTTCCCGTTGCTTAGGAGTGAGAGTGTGGGTCTCCACTTCCAGTGGGTAAATCTAGGAATTTTTTCTCCCTCCCCAGCAAAGGAGGAGGAAGTCCTGTTACCCAAGGGCACCTAGTGTCCCGCATCTTCTCTTTCATTTGTTCTCCTTAAAAAGAAAGGCTGGCAGTTTGCCCAGAGTCCAACCCAGCTGTGTGTTCCTTGTTTCAGCGCAACTGGCGGAAACCCAGGGGGATCGACAACCGGGTGCGGAGGAGGTTCAAGGGCCAGATCTTGATGCCCAACATTGGTTACGGGAGCAACAAGAAAACCAAGCACATGCTGCCCAGTGGCTTCCGCAAGTTCCTGGTGCACAACGTCAAGGAGCTGGAGGTGCTGCTCATGTGTAACAAGTGAGTCGGGTCCCTCCTGCCGCAGGGCTGCGAGTTGGGGCAGCAACTGTGGATCCTCTTGGTCCTGTGGAGGGATTGCTCATCCCCTGAGGAAACATGAGATGGCTCCTTGCGGGAGGGACTGCTTGACACAGGGCACACCGCAGCACTCACAACCTCAGTCCTAGGGGACACCTCGATCTGTGCTATGGCAAGAGTTATCTGGAGACGGCCACTGAGGTGGAAGAACGGCTGCCTACCTGGGACAGGGCTTTAGAGCCAGGTGCCATCTGGAGTTGAGAAAAAGGGCTTGCTGGGAGGGGGCGTGGAGGGACACCAGCCCTAGGTTCTATGTTTTGATGCAAGTTACACATTTGGGCAAGCTCTGTGGGAGACTTGGGCTGCTGCAGTCAGGACCACGGCAAGGAAATGAGAGCAGTTTGTCATGGGAGAGGCCCTTGACACTTGAGGGAATTGGAGAGGATGGGGAGAGTGACTAACTGGTGCCATCTGTGCACGTTCCCAGAGCTCTCCTTAGTGGCTGTAGACAAGTGATGGCCATCCAGCCAGGTGGACAGCTACAACTCAGTATCCAAACACAGGGTTTTCTTTAGGCAGGGTGGGGATACTGACTGGAGACCGAGGCCAGGAGCACTTGATCACTGGGCCACATGTGCACCATCTTGTTTGAAACCATCTTGTTTCCAAGAGCAGCTGCACTATTTAAGCTCCTGAAATACCGCATGATATATATATATATATATATTTTTTTTTAGCTCCATTTTTGGGCATTTGCCCTTAAAACAACTGAGGCAGGGAAGCTTATACAGCTGGTTGTAGCAGTAAACAGTTGGAACACAAGTGGAAAGGCGGCAGAGTGCTGGGACCGGGCGTCAGACAGCCACTCACCGACGGCTGTGTGGCCGTGAGGGAAACGTGCTGCACCTTAAAACAGTAGGTGCAGCCACTGTGGCTATTGTGTATGCAGGTGGCAAAGACCTAAAGCATCTGAGGAAAATGAAGACAGACGAAAAGTGCGATACAATAGACATGTCCTGAAAATGAAGCAC